AAAAAAAGCAAAAAAAAAAAAAAAGGAAAAAAAAAACAAAAAAAAAAAAAAAAAAAGAAAAAAAAAAAAAAAAAAAAGAAAAAGTAAAAGAAAAAGTAAAGATAAATGATTTAAGGATCGTCTTCGGTTTCGGTCGTCGTTTGTGGACACACCTTCTCCTGTTTGTTCGAATTCGATTGTTTGTTTGTTTGTTTGTTTATTTTCAAATCGAATGTTAATGATGTTTTTTTTTGTTGTGTTGATTGTGAACAACAACTAGGCCAAAACTACTATGAGGCTATTTGTATTTTTTGACCAAATTTGCATTTATCGACAAAGTATTTGTATTGCCAAAAAAACAAATTGTATGATGTCAAGAAAATGGATGGACAAAACAACAACAACAACAACAAAATGATGATCGATAAAGAGATATTGAACAAAAAAAAAGAGAAAATAATGATGATGATGATGATGAGAAAAAAAAAGAAATTAACGAAACGATCGATGACCGGCCGGTCAAACCTTCGTTATTATGGTCGATATTTAATGATGATCATATCCATCATCATCATCATCATGACATATGGACCACCACCAACAACACCACAACAGATTTTCCCAAATATGGGGCAGATAAAAATTTTTGAGAAAAAAAAAGCAAAAATTCAAAAATGATAAGGCGGAAAATTAGTATTCATTCATCACAAACCTATTCAATTTTGTTATCGAATAAATGAAAATTTGAAAATTTTGAAAAAATTTGATTAACACCGATCCTTTAACCTGGTTTTTTTCATTTTTCTCTAATTTGACTATTCACACACATTTGACTGATCAAGAGAACGAAAAAAAAAAGATTTTTTTAAGGAAATTTTCATCGCATCATTTTAAAATGTCATTTCATATCCGATGAATGAATGAAAATCAAAATTAAAATATAAACAAAAATCTTTTTTCCCCTTTCAATCTACGAAAAAGAGATTGAAACTTTTGATCTGAAATCTGATGGGGAAAATTTTTTTTTTGTAACCATAAAAAAATCATTATTTCGTTATCATCAGCTGGATTCAAATGTCTATGGAAATTTATTTCGTTATGTCATTTTAAGAAAAAAAAATGGCCTCAACAGTTGATTACGATCATCATATGAACAGACCTGATAAGAATGAAAAACATTATTTTTTGTTTTTCACTTTTTTCAATTTTTTTATCTATTTTGATCAAAATTCAATGGAAACAAAAAAAACAAAATAATTTTACTTCCTATGATGATTTTATTTAATTTTTTTTTATTTTAAAAAACAAACTTTATCCTTATTTGTTGTTGTTGTTTTTTTTAATTAAAAAGAAACAGGTGTTATATTTTCATGTTTTATTTATGAAATTTTTAAAATTTAAATTTTTGTTTTAAAAAATGAATAATTAATTGTGTGGGTGTGTTTGTGTGCAAATGCAAATACTATCTATGAAATTCATTATAATAAGAATGATGATTTGATTTGTATCAGATTCAATTTTTGTTTCAAATGAAATCATTTTTTTTGCTTGCCTTTTTTGTTTGTTTTTGCCATACAAACCTGTTGCTGATTTGCATAATAGATGACATGATTATTGATAATTGTTATCATTGTTATCGGAATTAAGATTTAGAAAAATTTTTTCATAAAACATTAATATCATTGGTATATTCAACAAAATTAATTCAACATATTTGAATTTAGTAATAAAAAATATATTACCACATTTAAAACCAAAAAGATTATTTGTCATTGTTTGTATGAATAAATTCATTTTGATTCGATTACGATTTGAAATGATAATTAAAGAATTTATACGATTTCTTTTTTGATTATTATTATTATTATTATTTTTAAATCGATATTTTATTTGTGATATTCTAGCATTCCATGCTAATAATTGTCGACAACATTTATGATTGAATGCCGGTACATTAGATAATCGTGCATAAATACCTGTAGCAAGACAAAAAATTGTCAACAAACAAATAACAAATATTTTACCATGCATAGTTTCCGTAACACGTTTACTATAGAATACAGTAGCAAAAATTATTGATGCTTTTGATACAGTCTCAATAGCTAATAAAACTTCTTTTAAATCTTTATTTAATTTTGATGTATGATCAAAAATATGGCTATATTGTGTTTGAAAATCGTGCCATTTCATACTTAATGTTATTAAAACTGATAAATGACGATCAAAACGATAATCAAATATTGTTTGTGTTAATGAAACAACTTGTTTCAATTGAATGATAAGAAATTCAACCATAATAATCAATGCTTTGAATGGTATTATAATTAATGATATTAAAAACAGACAATGTATATATTCGATTATGATTAACAATATTGAAAGAATTAGAATGATTAATGAAATTTCACCTGCATTGTATTTCAGAAATAATTCATAATTTGTTCGAGCCATCCAATATGTGAGAGCCAAAATGAATGAAATTGCTGATTGCATTGATATATAATCAGAAAATAATGTTAATCTATAAAGATATTGTTTATATTGTTGAAAAATATCCAAATCATCATCATGTATTGAATAATAGATAAGTAAATCATTAATACCCGAATCATAATTCAATACTTTACGAATGAATATTATCCATAAAATTTCCAGAATACAATTGATAACAATCATAAATCTAACAACAATCATAAAACAAGGAATATGAAATATACGAGCTGATTCATCAATGGTAACCGGAAACACATCATTTGGCCATTGAGTTTTTGCTATCCAAAATATTGTGCATATCCATCCAGTAGTAGTTATTATAATAGCCGGTATTAATGATGAATATGTCAATGATATTTGTCGTTGTTGATATTGCCATAGTTGATAATTGATTCGTACGATCAAATATTTTAATGCAACAAACGAATATCTAACCAATGGACGAAGAATATTGTCCGGTTTTTGCCTAAATGATAAAATATTCATCTTTTTTTGATGATCATCATTGTTGATGTTTGAATAAAATGTTTGTTTAATAACAAATATCATATCATTGTTTAAATTCAAATGTCAAATTATTACAGGTAATTAATGTATGTAGTCTTGGTAACACAATAATACATTTGTTTATCGTGTACTTTTGCAATCAATCTATTTTTGACAAGTTCTTCGTTTAAAAAACAATAAGTTAATTATAAAATAACTATAGTCAATATTGAACAAGAACTTGTTATTAATTTTGTAGAAAACAAAAAAAAAACAAAAATTAAATTTTCCTAGCAATCAAACTTGAGAAGCATATATATACATGGATGACATTTTGAATTCGAAAAACGACAAACAGAATCGGAATAATTTCCATGTAGAATGTTTATATAAATGAAATTAATGACAAAAGTGAACAAGAAATTTTTCCAATTAATCATCATCATCATACCGAAACAATATATTTTGAATCATTATCAAAATGATTTCAAATTTGACTCCATCTTTCATTTTTGTTGGAACTTTTTCTTCTTCATTTTTTAAATATTTATTTGCACAAGATGGCGACTAAGAAATGGAAAAATATAAAATAACCAATTGGAAGTAAGGTGATTAATTATGATTGATATTGGAATTACGACAAATATTGTCATAGAACATTAGTATCAACGGTATGTTCATTAGAATTAATTTACAGTCGTCCCTCGTACAACGCGGTACTTGAACAACGCGGTTTCGATAGAACACGGTTCTAGAATTGCGAAATTATACAGTTTTCCCTCGTACAACACGGTCAGGGTTTCGATACAACGCGGTTTTGAAAAATCGAATTCGCAAAATAATTAAATTAAAAAAAATTATGTCTTATGCCTTGGTCTCGATATAACACGGTACAAATTTCCATATTTCTACTATTTGTAGGTCTCGTACAACACGGTTTCGATACTACGCGGAACACGGTTTCGATACTACACGAGCCATTTCTTCTATTTTACATTCATTTCGTACAACGCGGTTTCGATACTACGCGGAACGACAAAACCGCGTTGTACGAGGGACGACTGTAACGTATTCGAATTCGTTAATGAAAAATATATCACCACATATAAAACCAAAACGATTATTAGTCATTGTTTGTAAGAAAAAATTTATTTTAATTCGATAACGGTTTGTAATGGTGAGCAAATGACGAAACCGATTTTTTTGCACAATATTATTGATTCGGCTATTTAGTTGTGGTATTCGAGCATTCCATGCCAATAATTGACGACAACATTTTTGATTCGATGATGGAAAGTAAGAGAATCGAGCATAGATACCTGTAGCAAGACAAAAGGCTAAAAAAAGATATACGACGAATAGAGTACCAGGTATACTTTGGGTAACTCCTTTACTGTATAATATAATTGCAAATATGATCGCAGTTTTCGATCCAAATTCTATGGCCAACAATACTACTTTTAAATCACTATTTAATCTTGTCGTATGATAAAAAATACTAACGTATTTTCGGTGAAAAACATTCAAATTCATTCGCATTTTCATTATGACTGATATTCGATGATTAAAACGATTATCAAATAGTAAACGTGATGTAAAAACAATTTGTTTGAATTTGACAATATAATATTCGACTGTTATGAATAATGCTTTCATTGGTAATGCAAACAATGAAAACAAAAACAAACAATGCATATACTCTATCAAAGTCATGGGTATCGAAAGCATGAAAACAATAAAAGAAATCTTTCCTGCACTAAATAATAAAAATAATTCTTGAAAGATTTTGATCATAAAATATGTGATACCAGAAAAGAATATGATTGACGTTTGAATTGACAAATAATCAGAAACGGTTGTCAATCTACAAAGATAACGAATATATTGAGGCAACATATAAATATCATTTTCATAGATATAAAGATGAATGAATATCTCATTGAATCCAGAATCATAAAGTAATACTTTACGAAAAATTATTAGCCACATAAACTCTATAACGAAATTGATAACGATCACATATTGGAAAAAAAATTTTAAACAATAAATATTAGATATACGAGCCATATCATCAATTGTCAACGGAAAACCAATATTTGGCCATATAATTTTCGTAATCCATATTATATTACATAACCAAGCATTGGTTGTTATTAAAATGGCAGGTAGTAATGATGAATATGTTAATTGTATTTTTCTTTGTTGATATTGCCATTGTTTATAATCGATTCTAAAGGCCAAATATTTCACTGCACAAAACGTATATCGGATAAATGGACGAATAAATTGATCCGATTTTTGATTGAAAGGTAAAATATTCATTTTTTTCAATGATCAACTGTGTGATGTTGGAATAAACTACTTTCACTATTATTATTTTTCAATAGATAAAATATCAAATTATTGAAGACTACATTTGATATCTACTGTAGTCTTAGTAACAAATAATAATTAAGGTTTGTTTTGTGTATCATCGATATCTTTGGGATAATGAATTTATTTTTGACAAATTCTTATAAATTAAGAAAAACAATAATAATTTCAAACGCTAATTTTAAAGTGAAAAAATGACAAATTAACTTTTTTTTTGTTGATTATCGTGACTAATGAATGATCAAGCCAAATGATAATGATTCAAATTAGAAAAATAAATTAAATTCACTCTACTCCATTATTTCTTTTTTAAAAATCTAATGACATTTCTTCATACAATAAAAATGATTTTTTTTCAAATCGATCATTTTGAAGAATAATGGAAAAAAATTACTAAGAAAATTGTTCCATTTCATCATGGAACTTCGATCAAGTTTTCAACTAACCAAAACCACAACCAACCTTTGACCTTTTCATGTTGAATTTTTTAAAAAATAAACGTTAATTCTCTTTATTTTCAAAAGATGGCGATTATGTAATTGATGATTTAAAAAAAAAATATAAAAGTAATGTGATCATTAATTGTTATCAATCTTGTAATTAAGATTAAGACAAATTTTTTTATAAAACATTATTGTCAACGGTATGTTCATTAAAACTAATTCAACATATTGAAATTTATTGATGAAAAATATTTTGCCACAGGTAAAACCTAGACGATTTCTTTTCATTGTCTGTAAGAACAAATTTATTTTGATTAGATCTCGTCTGGAAAAGATAAGCAAATCTCGAAGACGTTTTTTTCTTCGATTAGCATTGATTTTTGATTGTAATTTTGATATTCGTATAGTCCATGATAGTAAATGTTGATAACATCGATGATTAAATGATGGAAAATTGGAGAATCGAGAATAAACACCGGTTGAAAGACAAAAAAATGAAAAAAGACATATAACAAATATGGCTCCAGGTATAGTTTCAGTAATTTTTTGACTATAGAATATAGTGGAAAAAATAATCGAAGCTTTTGATACGGTTTCCATAGCTAACAATACTATTTTTAAATCATGATTGAATTTTGCAGTATGATCAAAAATACGAATATAATTTCCATAAAAATCATTCCAATTCATACGCATTTTTATTATTACCGGTATTCGATGATTAAAACGATAATCAAATAATTGTTTTGTTGTCAAAACAATCTGTTTAAATTGAACAATAAGATATTCGACTACAATGATTAATGCTTTCAATGGTATTGCAAACAATGAAATCAAATATAAACAATGTATATATTCGATCATAGTCACATGGATAGAATAAATAAGAACAATAAAAGAAATTTGATATGCATAGAATAATGAAAATAATTCATAAATGATTCGAATCAACCAATATGTTATAGCCAAACTAAATATCAATAATGATTGTATTGATAAATAATCCGAAATGATTATTAATCGATAAAGATAACGTCTATATCGTGGTAACATATACAAATCATTTTCATAGATATAATAATGTATAAGTAATTCATTGAAACCAGAATTATAACTCAAAACTTTACGAAAAAGTATGAACCACATAAATTCTAATATACAATTAATAACAATCATAAATTTAATAAGCATTGTAAAACATGAAAGATGAAATATACGAGCCGAATCATCATAGGTAAGTGGAAAAACTAAATTTGGCCATTGAATTTTTGCAATCCACATTATTGTACATATCCAACTATGTGTCGCAATTATAATGGCAGGTCGTAATGAGGTATATGTTATTGGTATTTGTCTACGTTGATATTGCCATGGTTGATAATTGATTCGAATAATTAAATATTTTAAAGCAAAAAACGAATATCGAACTAATGGACGAATAATTTGATCGGGTTTTTTTCTCCACGGAAAGATATTTATTTTTATCGAATTAGATGTTTGAAACCACAGTTTTACAAAATTCACCATCATTGTTCGATTCAAATAACAAAAAGAAACAAAAAAATTTCGACATTTGTCTCAAATTTTTGTTAGCAATACTTATTTTATAGAATGATAGCTATTTATCAAAAATACAAACAAACAAACTACTTTCTAACAAGTGAAGTTATCGTTTATAGAATTCTAAAGAAAAAATGAAATAGTCTTAAACTGTCATTGCAAAAAAGAAAAAGAAAAAGAATTTAAATAAATGGAAAAAAACTCCAGAACTACAGAATTAGTCTAAGAACCTACCCAAGAAATGTGAATCGATTGTAGAATCGATTAAAAAATTAACAAAAGTAAGAATATAATAAAAAAATGGAAATTTATTGCCCAATAATTAATGCTTGGCCCAAAGATTTACAAATGAATGATTGATGATATCATTTTTTAAATCGGTTTTCATAAATGTCAAATTTAGCCATACATAGACATATATCATATGAAACAAAATTCATTCATTCTTTGAGTTTAGGTCAGATTTATTCGTTATTATTGTTGAGATATGACGATCCTGAAATGGTTTTGTCTAACGAATGGGCGAATCATATTCGACTGTTGTTGTCTGTCCATTGTTGTTTGAAATTTGATTTTTTTAAAATTGTCTGTCAAATGTCTTCCCATTTGATGAATAGATTCCAAATGATAATAATTATGTTCTGAATAATCATTATGTTTGAAAATTGATTTTCTTTTTCTTTTTCAAAAACAGATTCGGAAATAAAATGAACATACAATGTATGCATTGAAAGATTGCCAAATCTTTTCCCGGAATATCGAACGATAAGAATGTTTTTAAAAAAAGAGAAAAAAAATGCAAATTTTTTTTCCCAAATTTTGTTTTGCCATCATTATCTACAGGGAAAATAAAAAAATAAAACATTATCATATGGCCATGTAAATATGATTACTTTTTTATCCTTTACTTTTTTCACACACACACAAACACACACACTAACAAACATGCAAATCTTATTTAGACATTATCATTGAAAAATTAAAAAATGAAAATGAAATTGATGATTCACATTTCTCTCTATTATTACCTAATAGATTTCACATTTTTTCCATTCATTCGACGTACATATAATGTAGAATGTATAGTCAAATAATGTTAATTGATTCCAGAAAACAAAGATAAAATTAGTCGTCGTTATTGTAATGATGCGAAAAAGAAAATTTCAAAATTTTTACATTCCGTTGATCATCATTCATTCATTCATTCATTCATTTATCGATAAAAACAAAAGTGTAGGTCATGGCTAATGAATGTGTTCGTGGTGGAATATGAAAATGAAATCAATTTTCATTTCTTCATCATCTTTTTTTTTGTATATAGAAAATAAATTATCAGTTAGTAGAATTTTTAAACATGTGCACAGAAAAAAGACTTGTTTCACTAGGAAAAAAAATCCTTCAAATCGATTGATGAATAATAATGATAATTGATTGTTTTATTCACGAAATTTTCGTTAAAATTGGAAATATAATACGATCAAATTCGTGAATGAAAACGAAACCCTGAAGTATTTTAATTTTTATCCAAAATTTAATTTCAAATGACATTGAAATTGGATAAACAAAATTAAAGAAAACGAAGATGATGATCAAATCTGAAGATTCATTCAAATGTTAATCTGTTCTGCTCGTAAATTCTATTACGGATGTTTCAATAATGATGATAAAAAATTGAAATAAAAATTCCAAAACACAGATTTTGAGACAACAACATAAGAAAATATCACAATTTAACTAGATTTTATTCTCCATTTAAAAAAAAAACAAGATAAAAATTTCGATTTTTGTCTAAAAATATACACAATTCCCAATGAATTTGTTTGTTGTTTTTTTTTTGATTATTATCAACATTGATTGTTTCGAAAAAAAAGTTAGATATTTATTTGGCTAGTGATCGAAAATTGGCTGGATTGTTGGTAGGTTTGTTCGTAGTAATCGTTTAAATTTGAGAACCATTTATTTATTGGACTTGATAGTTAGCACCAGCTGGTGCACTATTGGTAAGACCTGGTTCATTTGAAATAATATTAGCACGGAAACCATCATCATCAGCAATATATTGAACAGTACGTGTTAAACCGGTAGCATCAGTATATGAATATTGACCTTGAATTACACCACGTTCATCACCGGATTCTTGTCTGGAAAGTTTTGTACCAAATTCATCAGTTTCTTCGAATGCAAATGAATATGGATCTGGTTTTTCATCATCGGGTGTTGGTGCAGCCGAAACCATATAAACGGCAAAAAAAAGAACGATAAAAAGATGCTATTGAAAAATGACGACGACGTCGACAATTATGATGATGATGATGATAATGATGAAAAATGATAAAAAACAATAACAACAAAAATAGAAAATGAAAATCAATTGATAAAAAAAATCTATTTCCTCAACAATCGATACTTACTTTGAACATTTTCTTTGAAACAAAAAACAAAAATTTCTTTTTTTAAACAAAACAGCAAAACAATATAATCAATGAAATATCTTTTGATCAGGTTAATTAGTTTTTATATGTTTCAAGACGCATCCAAAATATGATGTGGATTTTTTTTTTGAAAGGATAAGAAAAAGAAGAGTATTGAAAAACGCACGAAGTAACAAACTTTCTACGTTACATTCAATTCGATTATTTAGATGTGTGTGCTATATTCATTTATTGAATTGAATGTTTCTTTCTTATTGTTATTATTATTAAGTATATAATATATTTGGGCATTGAAACATAAAAGGAGGGATGATCCATTTGAGATGACTATTGAAATAACAACAACAACAACCACCTCTATCATCATTTTTGGAACAACCTTTATTTGTTGAAAATCTCTAGAATTTAAAAGAATAAATCAATTGTGTGTGAGAAAAAGAAGGAGAAAAAGATTTTCAAATTTGACATTATCATTTTGTTGTTGTTGTTGCAACTCATCCTCGAATTCTGATTATTTAATTTGATGGGGAAACTGATTGATTTTATTGGACTAGATTTGAATTTTCATTTCGGAATGAAAGAAGAAGAAAAAATTTTATTTCAATTTTCTTTCCAAATGTCAATAAAAAAATTGATTGTAAATGATATTCGCATCACGCTACAATTATAAAATGATGATGATGATGATGATGGTCAACTCAACGATAAGTCGGATCGAGAAAAATGAAGAAGAAGAAGAAAAAAAAAATTCAAAACGGTTGTGTTTCAATTATGATCATCATTGATTTTTTTAATTTTAATGGCTGCCATTGAAATCAAACAACACAATGTGATGCACACATTAACACATACACACACGCACACGTGTTATTTTAATTTGGAAAAATTTTTTTTAATGATTATTCTATAATCAGAAAATTTAAAAAAAATGAAATAAAATAAAAAATCTATAGAGGTCGAATGAATTTTACTTTTACTTTCGTTTTTTTCGTTTTTCAATTAAGATGAGCATTAAAGAAAATCTGGAACAATTTCTTCTCTCCTTTCGTTATGAAGAAGAAAAAACTAAATTATGATCATCACAACAATGATGTTTTCTTTTCCAACAAAAAAAAAAAATCCAATGAAAAACGGTGAACAAAAAAAATCAGAAATCCAAAACATTAAATTAAATTAAATTTTTTTTAATACCATTTTTGAATGAAACGAAAAAAAAACAAATTCAACAAATCGGCCAAACAAAGTCATAGTTAATCACGATCTTTTAAAAACTGATGATGATGGTGGTGATTGAAATAAAATTTGAAAATTGAATTTTAAATTCAAATAATTTTTGACTTGTTCCCCGCTTTTTTTCATCCCCCTGTTTCAACTAAAGATGTGTATACGCGTTTTAAGCTCATTGAAAATGATTTTATCGATTGGATCAGTGTCGAATCTTTCTTGTTTTTTATTTGCACGAGGATTATCAATTGAACCGAATTTAATTGAAACGTTAACATTTTTTGTTTGTTGTTTTGTTTTAAAATTCAATGTTGTTGTTTTTCAAAGAAAACATCGCATAAGTTCGAGGCATAGGTCACATTTACATGTGATAAGAAGATGGAATTATATGTCTGACATTCATGTGACAAATGTTTTTTCTTTTTTGGATTCAATCACTATTCATCGAATTTAATTGATGATCGATGAATGGTAGGATGGTGAGAAACTATTTTCAGAATCAATTCAATCAATGATTATTCATTCAGATGATTGATGGTTTATAATAGTTATTGAATTCATTTTTTTCCTCAGTCGTTTCAAATGATAATGTAAATTTATCTTTTTTTTACTTACATTTCTTACATCTTTATCATCAGACACATTTCATCTTTAAATCTTCAAATAAGGATAAAAAAATTTTTTGAATCAATTATATTTATTCAAGTTCAACGAAATAAAATCCAAATAAAAAAAAAGACAAAATCAAATGTCCTCGAATTATCAATTTAGAGGAGGGGGATTCAAAAAAAAATCAAACATTTTTTTTTGTTGTTTTGGATCAAAAATGTTCGACATTACATTATCTGTAAATGGATTTGTTTTTTTTGACGAACAGGAACATATTGTTTACTTTTTTTTTATTTGAGAAAGGTGAGGTCTATATTTATATATCATACAGGTTATAGGTGAGAAATTACGTGACTAGAAACAAACAAACAAACGAAAAAGAAAAAAGTCAAAAGATCAATGTAATAGGATAATTTATGGCTATATATCGCGAACTTTAAAATGATTTTCGACCTGATTGTTTGATGAAACAACAACAACAAAATTTAAAATTTGAAAAAAAACGAAATTGTCAAGAAATGTAAGCTTCACTGTCGAACATTTATTTTTTTATGAAAATGTAAAAAAGAGTGTTCGGGGCCAATTCCTCTTTTCTTTTTTTTCACATGATTGGTAATAAAAGAAAAAATTTTATCTTTTTTTTGAAGAAGAAGATGTTTCAAGAACTTTTTTTTTCTTATGTAATCCAATCAATGAAATGAAGAGAAAATCAATTCACAAAGATAAGATAACAGTATGTATGTAAATGTGAGAAAACAACATAATAAGCTTGTTTCAAAAAGAAATGAATACCAAACAACAATTGCAACGTATTAGTTGCCCATTCAGATTCCCTTTTAGAAGAAAAATAAAATATATGGACATAACGGATGGGCAACATGTGCACAAAAAAAAATGAAGAGGGGAATGTGGATAGTGTGGATCTTCTTTCTAAAATCCATCTCAAGATCAAATGAAAATAAGAAAAAAATAACAAGTCACTTATGAAATACAAAAAGAAAAAAAAAACATTGACATGTGATGGACAATATAAAAAGTCAAAAATCCCTATGAATCGTTTGTGCAGAAAAAATTATCAACTTTTTTTTCCAAGTGGTATGTTATTCAACAATTTGGTCATTTTTTTTAGTGTGATTGTTGTTAATCGTTTGATTTTTTTTAATTTTTTCCAATTTTTGTTGTTGTTAATATCCGTTTTATATATTTTATAGCTTTATCGACTAAATATCGATTTAAACATCAAACAATCGAATCAAAATGTTCAAGGTAATTTTTCTCTACTAAATCAATCAATCAACGAATTGATTGCTTTAACACGATATTCGAATTAGATGATAATGATAAGGACAGATGCTTTTCGTTTGCCATTAAATCGTATATTGCAAAAGAATCTTTTTTTTAGTTATTTCTTCATCCAGATTTTTTTTATTGTGTTTTTTTCAAATGTTGTAATATCATTCAACAAATGTTCATGAACAACATTTAATCAAATCATCTTGATAAATGATATTTTTGTTTTGTTTTTTTTTGAACAGGAAATTATTGCATTAACATTATGTTGTTTGTTTATAGCTGTTTATGCTGCACCAGCAACAACAACAGCTGAACAAGAAGAAAAACCACATCCATATAATTTTGCATTTGAAGAAAAAGATGCTAATTATACATTAACACGTCAAGAAGAAATGGATGAACAAGGTACCGTAAAAGGTTCATATTCATATATTGATCGTGATGGTATATTTCGTACCGTTAATTATATTGCCGATGAAAATGGTTTCCGTGCTGCTATACAATCAAATGAACCTGGTCTTACTAATTCAGCACCAGCTGGTACTACCTTTCAAATTAATTAAATTTTAAATTTTTTTTTTCTTGTTATTGTTACTGTTGTTAATTATTATTTAAAAATTTTACCTAATTTATACTGAAAACAAAAACGAAAACAAAAATCCATGATACAACAAAACAAAAAACATTTGCATGCCTTTTGATACAGTTTCACACACACAATTCTCATTGTACAAATAAATATTTGAAACCTTCACACACACACACATAACACATTCACATATCGATATTCATGATAATCACAAACCATAACAATATTTTGCATTTTCAAAATAGAAAGAAACAAAATCTTGATGATTTATTTATCTCTCTTCATTCACTCCCCCACAAAAATCTGCTTTTTTTCTACCGAAAAAAAAGATGTCTAGACAACTTTTTTTGAAAATTTATGATTCTTAAAATAAATATTCAAAAAAATAACGATCATCAGGATCAATTAATCAATTATCAAGGTTTTTTTTAATTAAAAAGAAACATTTCAATAACATCAAATTTCAATCAACATTATCATCGATCATAATTTCTTTTTTGGAACATGTTATTTTCATAGATTAAATTGATCTTGATTGCAAGATGTTTTTATTATTATTATTTCAAATTTATACTGTGTGTGTTTAAATCAACATATTTTTGTTTTTTTTGCTATAGAAATTTCATAATTTCAAAGATGATTATCAAATGAAATGGCATCACAACAATTTTTTGGCTTGTATTTTGTTGAAAATAAAAACCTTGTTGACCTGATTTTTGGAGTAGCAAACTTGATCTGAATGTTTTGTTGTTGTTGTTGTTGAACTAGCTGCCTGATATCAAATTCAATAACAAATTTTCGGAATATTAGGAATGATTTTATGATATAATTTATTGAATGTTTTTCTTTTCTGATAAAACGGTGATAATAATTTCAAGTTTAACACTAATATATTTTAATTAATCATTTAATCTTTTTTGATTGTGTAGTTGTTGATGGCTGATGTTTTGAAAATAGAGATTGTAACCATTGTTGAATGGTGAGAAAAAAATCTTCAATCATATTATAATGTGAAAGACCAGGATACAATACAATAAACATTGTGGACAAATAAAGTAATAACAGATTATGAATCTGTGTACCAATCCATGCGATTACCATCAATACGGTCAATAATGTTGAATAATAAAGTTTAGTCTTTGAATATTTCCACGAACAGACTAGTTGATAAAATTCCTTTACATTTAACCATGTTTTTGCAATCAAATGACATTCATTATTGAACAATTTTTCAGATGAATCGTTCCATTTAGGTAAAGAGAAAATTTCATTTATAAACGGAAGAAAATAATCAATCAAAGTAGCTATTATGCCCATGAAACAAATTTTTGAAATTATTGGCACTTCGATTAACCAGAGACACCTATATATATCATATTAAAAAAAACATTATTAAAAGAGAAGACAATTTTTAAACAATTCACTTACATGAAAATAAATGTGATAAACATGATAATACATGGTGCATGATATGATTTTTCCCAGATCAGAATTGAATGCATACGTACAACAATATCACGTATGGGATTCAATTTCTGTCGAATATATTCAACTGTCTTATCGAATTCGGACATTTTTGACAAAATTATTATTTTTTCTTTGTCTTTGTCGATGTTAAAAACTGATGAATTTGTTATAATGATCACGTCGTAACAAAGGTTTTTAAACTGATCACTAAAAAGTTTTTAGTGATGTTGATGAATAATGTTCAATTGACTTGTTGTTTGTTTTATTATTATTTACGTTCGAATTGGATTGGTCATGCGACGCAAATGATGAAATTCAATAATGTTCGTAAACATCGATTGTATCGATTGTGACCAGAATGTCGTGCATATACCATTTTTAGCGTGTGTATTTGTGTATCTGTGTGTGTCAATAAAATTCAGAGAGTGAAAGTTTGATTGGATTTTTTTTTAATTTTGTTAATTTATCCATAATAATATAACTGATTAATCAATTTTCGTTATTGACTTTAAAATATTTTATTAATTTAAAAAAATGGTTACAACCATGTCGACAATGCCGACATTGTTGAAAAAAGACAACAAAACTGAAATGTAATTTTTAATGAATAAAAAATTTAAAACAAAAAAAAAATATTTTATTTATTTTTTTCAAATTCATTTTAACTAAACAGAATCAAACATTGTTCATCATTAAAGGACATTGATGTATTGCGACAGACTATTTATAATCTTGGTCTTCAGGTAGTCCATGGAGAAGTTACTGCCGATTTAGCTGTTACAACTTTTTATGAAATAATTGTAATTCCAAATGATTCATTTGTTGCGATAGCATTTTATTAACTTTTTTATTTCTGGTATTTTCAGAAATCTAATGAACAAATTATAAGTATTCTGAGCGATGTCATCACCATATTGGATATTGAAAGTCAAGTACTTGGCCAGATTGATTCAAATAAACGAGAAAACTTTATTGAATTTCTTAAACTATCTAATAATGTATGTAATTCAAAAAAAAAATCTATTATAACAAAATTATTTTATTTTTCCACTATTTTAGAATATAATTTCCGATTGGTTGCTCAAAGAACGGCTCGATTATTCAACTTTAGCTGATGCTAAAGTAATCAACAATGAAAAAGCGGCATCGACAAAATTCATCAAATTAAAAACCAAGTTATAGTAGGTTTATCAATCTGAATCCATTTATATTTTTGTTTCATTTTTTTTTTGTTTTGTTTCAAAGTTATAAACAGCAAAAATTCAATCTTTTTCGTGAAGAAAGCGAAGGTTATAGTAAATTATTTACTGAACTATGTCAGGATGGTCAATTTGATCCTGATTACATGTTGAATGCAATCAAATCATTAATTGGCTGTTTTAACCTCGATCCGAATCGTGTGCTTGATATTATCCTCGAATGTTTTGAAGCTCGTCTGTATCTTCGTGATTCTTTTATAAAATTAATCAAAAATTTCTCCAACAATCCTGTAACTTTGAATCAAATATTAGCATTTAAATTTAGCTTCTATAATGATGTAAGATTATATCTATAGTTTTTTCCTCGTTTGCCTTAAATAAACATTTATTTTATATTACTTTAGAGCGATAGCGGAATCGAAGATCCATCTGCATTATACGATGTGGCCGCTCTTCTTTTACACAATAACTTGATTTGCATAGAAAACCTATATCCATATCTTTTTCCATCAGATTCGAAAATCTGTGAATTGTATCAAAATGATTTGAATGAGGCAAAAAATTTCCACAAAAAAGTCTCAGCAATTTTAGCCGTAGAAGGAGCCAAACATGAAGATATTAACATATTTGAAGAAGTTCGATCACAAAATATCGATGGAAATCAAAAACTTGGCTTTATTTTGGCCCTATTAAAATTAGGTGATTGGCCTAATGCTCAAAAATTAATACAAATGTTACCTGAACATTTCGCCATATCATATCCAGATATTGGCGATGCATTAAGTCAATTGGTGCACTATCTTATCGGTCCATTATATAAACGAATGTCAACATTACCTTCCGTACTATCCGCACGCATTCCTTTGCACGAAGGCAATTTTTCGTTTGAACCAATTGAAGATATGAATGAATTTCGAACAAGGATTATGCCCATGGTTTTAACCTTTGGTCCTTATCTATACCGGGATCCTTTGCTTATGACAAAACTACTCAGAGTTATACGTTCTGCTTTGCAGGCGAATTTCGATGATTTTCGTTATGAAGTTATAAATCTTTTAAACGTTACTATTTTACCATCGTTTTCTCTAATTGAAAGCAATTCTGCTCTTGGTGAAGAGCTTTGGTCATTAATGCGATTGTTTCCATACAATGAACGATTTCTTTTGTATAACATTTGGAAAGTCGAACCAACAAATCCATTGCTTATAAAAATGAAATGTTTCACAATGCGTCGTATCAAATATATTATGAAACGGATAAGCAAAGATAAAGACAGTATTAAGCAATCTGGAAGATCAATAGGCAAGCTTAGCCATTCAAATCCAACATTTTTATTTGAATATGTAAGTGATAGTCTGATTTGAAATTAATTCAGCTAATTTTTTTTTCTCTAGATGCTAGGACAGATTCAATCGTACGATAACTTAATTGGACCTGTGGTTGATTCGCTTAAATATCTTTCATCTGTATCATACGATGTTTTATTATTTTGTGTCATTGAAGCATTATCGAACCCAACCCGCGAACATTCGAAACATGAAGGCACGAGTATTTCACCTTGGCTTCTTAGTTTAGCCAATTTTTGTGGATCTGTTATTAAAAAATATCAAATTGAATTACCTGGTTTATTACAGTTTGTTGCCAATCAACTGAAACTGGGAAAATGTCTGGATCTGTTAATCTTAAAAGAAATTGTACAAAAAATGACCGGCATAGAAACTTCAGAAGAAATGACCAATGAACAACTTGAAGCAATGAGCGGTGGTGAATTACTTCGTACTGAAGGTGGATCATTCAATCAGATTCGAAACATAAAAAAATCTACTCTCCGTCTGAAAGAAGCATTACTTGAAAATAATTTAGCCATGCCTTTGTGTATTCTTATGGCACAGCAGCGGAATTGTATTGTTTTTCAAAGCGAAAACACTCATCTCAAATTGATTGGCAAACTATATGACCAATGTCAAGAGACATTGGTTCAATATGGAAATTTTCTTTCAAATGCATTGACAATCGATGATTACAAACGGAGGCTACCATCATTGAAAGAGTTACTTTTGGACTATCATCTTAGTCCCGATGTTACCTTTTTCCTTATGCGACCGATGATTAGTCATGATATTACTTCAGTATTTGAAGAACTCGTTGCACAACGAGCAGGCGAAAAATCCAAGCAAGTTTTATTCGAAAGTTTTAATCAGGCCAGTGAAATGGTATTGAATCCAATGGTAGAATCGATAAAACCTGCTCTGAGTAGCCAAGTTTCCATCGATCTCAAGTAAGTCTACTCATTTTATTCATGAATTCACTAATTTTTTATTTTATAGTCCTAGATTTTTCATCAGTTTCTGGACACTTACAATGTATGATCTTCAGGTCCCGGAAAAAAGTTATCTTCGCGAACGAAACAAAATCAATCAACAAATTCAAATGCTTGAAGATAATAAAGATATGGTTTTAAGCAAGAAGCGCAAGGAAAAAGATCGTCTGGTTAGTATCATAACTAAATTGACAAATGAAGCTCAGCAACAGAATGAACATGTAACAAAAGTAATTCATCGTTTGGAAAATGAGAAAAAACATTGGTTCGAATCTAATGTTAACAAAATTGATGTAACTACAAATTTTCTTCAACACTGTTTAATACCTCGATGTAAATTTACAGCTTCGGACGCCCTTTATTGTGCTAAGTTTGTTCATTTTTTACATTGTCTCAAGACACCCAACTTTTCCACACTAATCTGTTTGGATCGAATTTTTGGAGACATTTCCAATACAATGAGTTCATGTACCGAAAATGAAGCAAATCATTATGGACGATTTTTATGCGCAATTCTCGCCATCGTAATGCAATGGCATAAGGATATTAAAGTATTCGAAGTAGAATGTGCAAAATATCCAGGATTTGTAACGAAATTTTGTGAGAAAGATCCCGTTCATATCGACTATGAATCGTATCGCCATGTATGCCATAAATGGCATTATCGCTTAACCAAAGCATTTATTCTCTGTCTTGATTCGGGCGATTATATTCAAATACGGAATTCCTTAATTGTTCTCACTAAATTATTACCACATTTTCCCGTAATGATCAGTTTTGCGCAGGCTATTGAACGACGTTTGGAAAAAATTCGCACTGAAGAAAAAGAAAAGCGACCTGATTTGTTTGTATTGGCCACTGGATACTCAGGTCAATTGAAATCCCGAAAAGGAACATTCATACCTGAAAGTGAATTTCATGAAAAGGAGAGTAAAAAGATGCAGTCATCGAATTCATCTTTTCATCAGCAGCACGCTCAACAGCAAAAAGATTCTGATGGTTCTCAACATCAATCGCAAACAAAATCAGAACCGACGACCGCTGAAATAAAAAAGGAATCCTATCGTGTTGAAGATCCCCAGAAAATCTCTAGCAGCAGTAGTAATAAATCGAGTAAAAGTAGTTCATCGAAAATATCATCCAATCGAATTGTCGAACCAGAAACCACGATGGAATCATCATCGAAGAAATATAAATCTGAATCGATGACTCGAATGAAAAAATCCGAAGAAAAATCATCTACCTCATCAATTTCAAGTCAATCCAGCGTTGTTAATTCTAAGGAACAATCAACAATTTCTTCGATAAAAATCGAATCACGTGCATCATCCGCATCTAGTTCACCTAAGCGTGGTGATTACCGTAGCAACAAAGATGATATTGATGGTAACAGTAACAATGATTACCGTAAACGAAAATTGGAACACACTAGAGGATCATCGGAGCGTGATATGACAATAAATGACAAACGATTCAAAGAATCGGAAATAGCGCATCCAGCATCATCATTGTCATCATCATCATCATCATTGCAACAACCAACTAGATCATCATCACGCGAAAAGAAATCATCATTACGAAAAAGACAGGTTAGAATTTATTGAAAAATGTATGGCTGTTATATCAAAAAAAATATCAATTCGAATCTTTTTAATGCAGACCAAAGATTCCATACCATCATCCACCATTCAAGAAGTTCCAGATATGATGAAACCAACACGTAAAACAAAAGATGATTTGTCGGGCTCAAGTAGAAAGGCAAGAATTTTTTTATTTTAAAATTTACTTTTTAACTCATATATAAAATTAACAATAATGAATATCATAGAATGCAAGTGAAAGTTCCTCTAGTAGTAGCAATAGTAAACGACCATCAAGACGTTATAAAACCGATGTGGACAAATAATATAAACAATGGATCAAGTTTTTTGTTTTTTGGCTTCGGATATGGCTTCTATCATGGGTTGATTCGGTTCGATTGATGACGAAGGACGTTTCATTTTATTTGACTTTTTTGATGTTTGCAGATTTTCATCCATTGCACATAATTCATCATATATACTTTCATTATTATTATCATCATTATTATTTTCAATTAAATCATCAGCAACAATAATGCTTGTGTTGATATTTCTTCGTAATTCTATTTTATTTTTTAAAAATTATTATAATTTTTTTTTTCGTAATAAATAAAATTTAAGATTACCTGAGTGATTGATAACGGCTTCGGTGTTTCTATATAATGATCGTTTACTTTGATTTTCCTCTAGGCCAAATAAAAGACCACTGAAGAACAAATGAGAAAAAATAATAATTGAAAAGAATAATCTTACATGTAGATGACATCCCGAGGAGATCTTATACTAGTTGCAATACTGGTTCCGCTTGAAAGAATTATATTCTATAGATGTTCGAAAGAAAAACTGATAAATTATCATCATCATAGCGCATTAAACGTCACACAAACCTTTGATCTGGTTTTATCGACTAACATCTGACCAAATGCTATACTTTGTCGACGTTGTGATGAACTTGATAGGCAATTTGAATAATTGATTTCGATTCCAATTCCTTTTGAAATAGGCTAATAACAAATGCAATGTATGACAAGATAATTATAAAGATAACAAAAAGAAAAACAATTCTTACCAATGAAAAATTGGCTTTTTTTATCATATTCACAATCGATGAATCAATGGAACTAAATGTGAGAATATCGAATTCGAAATTACCACCATTCAAATAGTTGAGAATTTTTTCATTCATCGGTTCGATAGCTAATATGTCGTAATGTTTTAGATTTTCATTTTTTGACTAGTTTGTCACAAATTTGAATTTAAAAAAAACAATTCGATAATTATTTTGAAAACTTACCAAATGAAATAAACTGTTAGAATCTTCAACCTGGACGGTTAATCGTGTGTATAATTTTATATTTTTTAAATTATCTCGAAGTTTAATTGTTGGTGGAATTGGAATCTTGACATCTTTACCCGTAGCGACAATTTGAACAGCTAATGCTATTCGTTTGTAATCGACTTTTGTTGAAAAAAAAGAAAAAAATTAATAATAATCAACAGGTAGTAAACAACAATAAGTTCATACATTTATGACAAGATTGAATCAATTTCTCAATGGATTTATCCAAATTAAATCCATCATTATAGATGACAAGGTTCAAATCCATTTTTCTTATCAACATACAGATTCTGGATCAATCATATGCACGTGGGTATATGACAATCCGTTAAAAATTCCAAACAATATTCGCTCAAGTATCGATTGTTGACTATCGATAAAATTTCAAAAACTCATGTGGTATTTTGGAATTTGGATTCTTTTATTTTCTCTTAATCAGCTGGCAAGATAATATCAATATCATAATGGTTCGGTACGGTCGAATTCCTTCGTGGTCATTTCCACATATTACTTCACGATTACCTGAACATTATTATCGTCACCGACAAGAATTGACTAAACCATCGGAACGTGTTCATGATCGTCCAGTGCCTACAGATTTTCTTGATTTTAAATACAGTTCGGAACTTTCGAAACCGTAAGAGTTTTACCGATTATTTTTTCTTTATTTACCAATAATTCACTTTGAATATAGCATAAGAGTTCCTGATGTTCCTATATCAGTGACCTATCCAAAAGAAGCCGATGCTGGATTATGGGGAGGTGAAGGCATTGTCAAAGGTTATGTAAAACCTAGAAAATATTTTCAAGCTGGTTGGCCGTAAGTATAAATTAATTTGCTATTTCAGAGTTCAAATTGAAGATTTTCTCAATAGACGACCAAAATATTGGTTTCCGAATTTAAAAAAAGTCGTCATGTATAGTGAAATTCTAGATACTCATTTTCAAATTATCTGTACGCGACGAACTCTCTCATTAATCGATGATTATTATGGATTCGATAACTATATACTTAGATCAAAAGTACATGATCTTAAATCACAGTTAGGTCTAGCTCTACGTCGTCAAATGTTACTAAAATTAGCTAAAAAAGAATTTAAAGATGAAAATCATGAACAACAAATGTTAGATAAATATGGTGATTGTATTATACCGGTGAGTGTAAATATATTGACACTAGACAAAAAATTTTCTCTAAATTTTCGATTATAAAGCTTGAAGAAGCTGAATGGTTTGGTCTTACTGTACAACAGGCTGTAACAAGACATAAAAAATTAACCGCAAAAGATAATCAACCAATTCCATTGAAATATGAATTGGCCAGAAAACTATTATATGATCTTGAACGTAAGTATCATTATATTTGATTATATTGATAAAATCTTATTACCAATTAATGATCAATGTTATAGATCCAACACCGGAAACAAGTGACCAAAAAGTACATACAAAGGATTCATCAGGGTATGATACGATTGTTATCCTTATTCAATCGATTTTATTTATTAATTTATTTCTATAAATACTTTTATAGATGGTTCGATAAAATTAAATCCACATTGGGCCTGAATAAATCATCATCTCCATGATATCATTTTCTTTTCTAGATTTTTTTTTGCCTTAAATTTTATCATTGTTTCGAAATAAATTTGATTATTGATAATGTTAGTAAATAAAAAATAATCTTATCTTGTCTTAGTAATAATAATAAAAAATATATTCAGTATGAAAATGACATGATCGTTATTCGAATGTTGTTGATAGGGGAATGCCCAATAAATGTATCGAAAGATTTGATTTTGCCTTTCTTTTAAAATGCTTCTGGCAAATATGATGATACGAAGACGAAAAATTTCAAGTTTTCACGTGAATTTTTTTTTGCTTGTTGCCACTTTCATTTTAAATAATCCAAATCTTGTTTTTATTTCTATGTGTGTGTATTATGATATGATATGAAATGATAGGAAAAAACAAAGTTGCTTGGTAGTTTCAAGGACTTGATGATGTTCTGAATTTTAATTTCATATTCAGTTACTTTACATTCATCATCATATTTATTTATTTTTTTAAAATAAATTTTGTTGCCGCTTAAGTCCGTTTGTTCAGCAATTAGAAAGGTGTAGTGAAGAAAAAAAATGTCGAAAAAGGTATTGGTAATTGGTAATGGATCAAGAGAACATTGTATTGCATGGAAATTATCACAATCATCTAAAGTTTCAAACATAATTGTTTCACCGGGTAATGGTGGCCTATCACAATGTGGCGGTAAAATTTCTATGATTGGTATGTATTTATTCAAATTCGATATGAAAAAAATTAATTCTATGAAAATTATCAATGGTCAGATCTGAATGTATCACATCATAATGAATTGATTGAGTGGTGTCGAAATAATCGAATCGATTTGGTTGTCGTCGGACCAGAAGATCCTCTTTCGAAAGGTATATCGGATTCGTTAAATTCAAGTGGTATTCTTTGTTTTGGACCAAGTCAAAAAGCGGCTCGCATTGAAAGCGATAAAGCTTTTGCCAAAAATTTTATGAAAAAATATAAAATCCCGACTGCTTCTTACCAGAATTTTACGGATCATGAAAAAGCAAAAGAATATGTTCGTTCTACTGGTGCATTGGTAATTAAAGCTAGCGGTTTAGCCGCTGGTAAAGGAGTGATCGTTGCAAAAACAATTGATGAAGCTTGTGAAGCTATCGATGATATGATGTTGCGTAAAAAATTTGGTAAAGCTGGTGATGAGATTGTTGTTGAAGAATTTCTTGAAGGCGATGAAGTTTCCGTTTTCGCTATGACTGATGGAGTGAATCATCGAATCTTGTTGCCAGCTCAAGATCACAAACGAGCTTATGATAATGATGAAGGTCCAAATACCGGAGGCATGGGTGCTTATTGTCCATATCCATTCTTAAACGACGAACAATTGGATCTAATCAAAGAAAATATCATACAAAAAACCATCGATGGTATGCGTCAAGAAGGTCATCCATTTGTTGGTTTACTATATGCTGGTCTAATGATTACGCCGCATGGACCAAAAGTTATTGAATTTAATTGTCGATTTGGTGATCCTGAAACACAATCAATTCTTTCATTATTGAAGTCAGATATATTTGATCATTTCATGGCCTGTATGTATGGTCAAGTGGATGAAGTTCGATTTGAATGGGATGATCGTTATGCTGTCGGTATTGTTATTGCTAGTGGTGGTTATCCAGGACCAATAGTCAAAAATATTGAAATTCATGGTTTGAATATTCTAAATCAATTAAGTGATGTTTATGCATTTTATAGTGGAACAGCTTTAAAAGATGGTAATCTTGTTACAAGCGGTGGCCGAATCATGACCATTGTTGCATTAGACCATTCGTTGAAACAAGCCGCAATCAAAGCACGAAATGCTGTTTCGATGATCAAGATTGAAAAAAGTTTCTATCGAAATGATATTGCCAGCAAAGCAATTCAACGGTAATTTTTTTTATAAATTTAATAAGAAAAAATTATTAAAGTAATAATAATAATATTCGTGGATAGGCTGGAAACACAAATCGATTACAAACAAAGCGGTGTTGACATCGATGCTGGAAATGAATTAGTCGAACATATCAAAGAATTTGCTCGACGTACAACTAGACCCGGTGTGATGGAACAGATTGGCGGTTTTGGTGCTTTGTTTGATATGAGTAAACTGGGTATGCAAGATCCAATCCTAGTATCTGGTACTGATGGTGTCGGAACCAAGTTGAAGGTTGCAATTGATACTGGCATTTTGAACACTGTTGGCATCGATTTGGTTGCTATGTGTATCAATGATATCCTCGTCCAAGGAGCCGAACCATTGTTCTTTCTAGATTATTTTGCCTGCAGTAGATTACAAGTGGATCGAGCTACTGATGTTATCAAAGGCATTTCCGATGGATGTCTTCAATCAAATTGTGCTTTGGTCGGCGGAGAAACGGCCGAAATGCCAGGCATGTATGTTGGAGACGATTTCGATTTAGCTGGATTTGCTGTCGGTGCTGTTGAACGAAAACAAATGTTGCCCAGAAAAAATTCCATCGCTGAAGGTGATATTATCATTGGCTTAACATCAAGCGGTGTTCATTCCAATGGATTCAGTATGGTCCGTAAAATTATGGAAGTCAATCAGATCGATTTCAGTGATCAATTCGATGAACAAAGAAAATTTCATGATATTCTTCTAACACCTACGAAAATCTATGTAAAATCTTTGATGCCAGCTATTAAAACTGGAAAGATCAAAGCTTTAGCACATATAACCGGCGGTGGCTTAATCGAAAATATTCCACGTATTTTACCCAAAGAATTTGGAGTCGAATTGAATGCAATGTCTTGGCCAATGCATGAAATATTCACGTGGCTAAAACATGCGGGGAATGTTGCCGATCATGAAATGCAAAAAACATTCAACTGTGGTTTAGGAATGGTAATAATTGTCGATGCTAAAGATGCCCAAACTATTCAAGAACTGATAAAATCTTCAAATGATGAAGAAAGCTATCAAGTCGGCAAAATCATTCAAAGATCAGATCGACCTGTAATCATTAGGAATTTTTCGCAAGCAATCGAACGAAATTCATCGAAAATAACAATCAAACAAACACAACGACAAAAGAAACGTGTTGCCGTATTGATTTCAGGCAGTGGAACCAATTTAAAAGCCATAATAGAATATGTTAATCGTAATGCACATAAAACCTTTATCGATTTAGCCCTTGTCATATCGAATAAAAGTTCTGCACCCGGATTACAGTTTGCACGTGAAGCAGGCATTCCAGTTGAAGTAATCGTAAAGAAAAAAATACAATCACGTGAAGAATATGATCAATTATTAAACAAAGCATTGGACGATGCACACATTGATATAGTTTGTTTGGCCGGTTTTATGCAAATGTTGACTGAAAATTTTGTCAACAAATGGCTAGGCAAAATGATCAATATTCATCCATCATTATTACCATCGTTTAAAGGAATGGATGCATATGGACAAGCATTACAATATGGTGTAAAACTTACCGGATGTACGGCACATTTTGTTGTACCGGAAATGGATGCTGGACCAATTATTGCACAGGGTGTCGTTAATATTAATCCAGGTGAAACACATGATTCATTGGTTGAACGTGGTAAAGCTGTTGAACATCAAATCTATCCACAAGCATTAGAATTGGTAGCTAGTGGTCGAGTAAAATTTTCAATGTAGAATAAATTATTTAATTTGATAAATGAACTGAATTTATTTTTGCTGATCCAATTAAAAATAAAATGAAATCTTTTTATTATCATGAGAACAGATGAAATAAATCCGAGTTTCCCGCAATTATAAATCGTTTCAAAGTTGTAAATTAAAAAATACAAAAATATTTACCAGTCACGTTTGTTATGAGTGTAAAGCTTATGTTTCTGTTTTCGATGTTGAATTTATGTTGTTTTTTTTTTGTTTTTACGCGTTTCGCAGAATTTTTTTTCAATGTATTTTGGTCAGTGTGAATACCTTTAGTTTTTTTTTCTCCGGTGATTTTTGTGTTTGTATTATCCTTCAGCTCTATTTCAGATTTATTTTAACAGTTTACAATAGTAAAATGAAATGTATCCATAAATTGTAATAAAAAAAACGATGAAAATCGAATGTATAATTTGATGATCAACAGGAAACGAATAGAATATGGCAAGATTACCGCCGAATAAAAATTTTCTTCATATGCATAATAATTTAGTTGTTAATAATAATGATAATAGCGATAATACATTTTTGGATTTTATGATTCTTAGATCTTATAAATTAGATGTCGAACCATGTAAATCACGAGCAAATCGGTATGTAATTCTATCTCTGAAAATTATTATTATTAATTTTTTATATTATCTAGTAATTGTACCAATAATGCACGTTGCCTTAAAGGTCTTGGTCAGGCAACCTGGCTAATCAATCAAGAAGAAGATATACAAGAAGAGGATAAAAATTTAGCCGAAGAACAACAATTTTGTTTTCGTGGTTTAAAAAATCTTGGTGCCACATGTTATATAAATACATTCCTACAACTTTGGTTTCATAATGTTCAGCTAAGGGAGGCAATATTTAAATGGCGACCAAATCATTTATCGAATTGTAATCCATCATGTTCTGATCAATTTCTTGCAAATCCAATCACATGTCTTCAATTGGTTTTGGCTATGATGCAATTTAGTGTTCGACGTTTTGTTGATCCAACACCGTTTATCAAATGTTTACATTTAGATGCATCACAGGAGCAAGATACTCATGAATTTTCCAGTCTTTTCAATTCATATATTCAGAATAAATTGAATTATGAGAATGATAAATCTATACAGAAAACAATCAATCAGCAGTATTGTATGAAAATTGCTTATATAATCAAGTTAGTTTTTTTTTAAATTTGATTTCGATTCGAGCATTAAAACTTATGATTTCTATATCAAATTTCAGATGTAGCAGATGTAAATTTGTCAGCGAACATGAATCCGATTTTTATGAGCTTCTTCTTCGTGTTAAAGGCTTCAAAGATATTGAAGAATGTATAGGTGATTATTTGAAAGAAGAGAATCTTGATGGGACGAATAGATATGCCTGTCAAATTTGTAATGGATTACAAGATGCGAAGCGATTTATTGAATTAAGAAAATTGCCACCGGTTTTAAATCTTCAGCTACTTCGGTTTGAATCTTCAAATGGCCATAGTCGAAAGATAAGTTCATTTTTAAAGTTTCCAAAACGGCTTGATATGAACAAATTTATACGACCCGAACAAACGAATTCGACCAATTCAAATGTATACAATCTGTTTGCCGTTCTTATCCACGAAGGTCAAACCGCCTATTCTGGACATTATATAACTTTTATCAAGAAAGATAATTTTTGGTTTAAATTTAATGATGAAAATGTTGAACAATTGAAAGATTTTAATTTAAAAATTGATAACGATGATGATTTTCATATCAGCCAAAATGGTAGCAACAATGATGGCAATAATGGCCGCAATGAAAAAGGTTTTCATAAATCTAAAAATGCCTATATGCTTGTTTATAAACTTGATTCTGAACCTAATCGGCTATTACTTAATGAATTACGTCAATCCAGTCTACCTAATTATATTATTGATTATATCGAAAAAGATAATCAAGCATATCTGAAAGAAAAAGAAGATTTACTACATCAAAAAGTTTGTTGTAAAAATTTCATTCTTTTTTTCACACAATTAATTATTTTTTTCTTTAGTGTCAAGAACGGCTAAAAGAACTGAATCATCAAAGACAGGTTCGACAAATTTTTTCCAAAATGGAACTTGTTCATTTGCAAACAAATCAATGTGATATAAATAACAGCAGCAATAATAATCATGATAGTCAATTGAATGAAAGATCATTCGATGCTATCAATAAATCATGGTTGATGAATTTTTTTCGTGCATCTACATCCGATGAAGTGCCCGCTATAGATAATGAATCTTTATTATGTATGCATAAAAAATTAAACATTGATTCATCTTATAAATTCATATCAACTGAAAGTGCCGATCTAATCTATTCATTATATAAAAGTGATATTCGATTGAAATTTCCTGAATATTTTTGTAAACAATGTGTACAATATCGGGTGTATATGTCGAATGTAAAACAAACCATCGATGATGACCAAAAATTAATTCGTAATTTAGGAAAATTTAAAAATTGTCAAGATGAAAATCTTTATTGGGTGGGTAAAGAATCTATGAAAAAATGGAAAAATCTTCGTATCGAATCAATAAAAAGACAATATGAAGTGGATTTTCAACCTGGTTCGTATTCACTTGGATTTTGATTATCAATTTATTGAATTTCTAATTGTTTTTTTTCTTGTTTAAAATTCAGAAAATAATTTAAATTTTAATGAAGATCTTTTATGCCAACATGGACAACTTTGTTCTGATTCATCCAAACGTACACTTATCCGTTATCAAGCATGGCTAATATTACGGAAACATTTTCCTGAATCACATGAATTTGTTGAAAATTCATTGCCTTGTTCTGATTGTTTGGTATTTTATTTAATATGAATGTTTTTTTTTTCAAATTATTTTTATCCTTAACTATGTACAACACAGGAAATTGATCGTAATAAACAAATTATTCGTGATAAAAACTATGATATAGCTTTGATTCAACGTTCTAGTCTGATTAGTCTTTACAATGGTGAGCTTTTTCGTTATTGGCCTGATTTACTTGCCGGACATTCCTATCATATTATTCCAACAAAATTTTATATGGCATGGAAAAAATTCGTTGCACATCCAAATACAACACCATCACCCGATTCATTAATATCATATGAATCGAATATTATTTGTACCAAACATTCATTTTTTATGTTTCCACCATTCGATGATGAATATGTTGGCTTTGATAAAATGTAAGTTAAAAACTTACCATGTCTTCTTATAATCAAAATCTGTGTTTGGTTTTGTTGTAGTTATCTTATTTTGGACCAAAATGAATGGAAAGCTTTGACAGATTTTTATGAATTTTCCATCGATGTATCATTTATCCGAATGGATGATGAGAATAGTGATCGATATGAATTAAAACCAGGATTCTGTTTGTCTTGTCATCAAACTTTTGTTCATGAAGAGAAACAAAAACGATTTTTCTATAGTGATTCACCTATTTATGTGAAAAAAATTGTTACCGAAGAATCATTTAATGATAAAGATCCTGATGATAACAATAATGTATGTGTATATTATACCAATTTATTATTAATTAACTTGAATGTTCTTTAAAATTGGTTATAGCCATCTAAAAAATTCAAAATAATCGACAATTGCAATCATCATCAATCGAAAAATGAATACGAATCTATGCAGCAAAATAATCAACAACAGCCACCAACGAATCAACGAAAACGTACACTAAGAAAACGACGTATGAATAATGAACTTGAAATTATTGTCTCATCACAGGATAAATTAAAAGATGTTAAAGTTAAGGTGACTATTTCTTTTCTTTAAAAATTAACAAAATTGAGAAAAAAATCTCGAAACAACATTATGTATCATTTGATTTATTTAGATAATGCAACATTTTAATGTTGCCACATATGATCAAGTATTATGGTATAACGGTAAACAATTGTTATCCGCACAGAATAATTGTACACTTGGTGAATTGGAAATCGAACCATTTATTACATTGTTATTAAAGGTAAAAGAAAAAAACAGGCCCAATAATTATCCCCAAATCAAGAAAACCCTTCATTTTTTTTACTTTGTTAAAGACGTTTGAAAATATCCATTTTAAACATCTCCTTTTCTTTTAATTTCCCAATCAAAATTGCCCATTTTGACCTCGAGCTTTTTTTGAAAAAGATTCGAACAATACTAGCTTATTATGATTTTAAGCGACACACTTGATGCTTCACATTACATATAAGCTCGCTTAGCTCTTTGATGCGAGAAATGTATTTGAATATATAAGTGAATGAATGAAAGCGAACGTGAAAAACAATATGAAAAGAAAGTTAGACCCGTATAATAATAGTCGGGATCGTGAGAAAAGCACCTTATAACCTTTGCCATGACAATAATATTATAATCATTCTCCCACAATCTTTTTTTTTGGCTACGGTAACCATTTTCTTCTCGGGCAGGTTGTTAAACTCTTTCGTTATTTTATAATGATATGTATAGATGTTTTTTTTTGTGTTGGCGGCGGCGGCGGCGATTAATAAAACAAAACATTACCATTAGAACGAAAAAATACGTTCCAATGTCAAGGTTGCTTACAAGGATGGGAATTTGAAAATTGATTTTTTTTTTGCATTTCCGCATCAATTTTTTTTCTTGTTGTTTTTTTTCACATTCAGGTTGACGATAGAATGGATGAAAATGTTTCACCCGAAGAATGTGCCAACGGTGAGTTTTTTTTTGTTTTTTGTATTTTTTTTTCGATGAAAAAAACGCAAAATCCATCCGCTTGCGTTTTTTTTTCATCCATTTTCCGTTGTTGGGATTTTTTTTTTGATTTTTTTTCTGAAATATTTACCTAAAGTATTTATATTTTTTTTTTTAAATTAACCCTTTTTGTCCTTGTTTTTTTTGGTACAATCTTTACATATATGTCAACTATAGTTGGTAATCTTGGTCCGGAAGCTGGATTCAAAGGTGAGTTTTTTTTTGGATCGTCTTTGGTAACAAGATAACAAATATTTAGTGTCAGTATAGATATCAAATATTTGACCTTAGTATTGATGACCTTATGTTGTGAATTGAATTAAATGATGATAACTCAACTTCTTCAAGGCTGAGAATCATCATCATCATCATCCAAATGTATGACGAATTATGTTATTCAATCCTGTATCTTTTGATGACAATTTGGAATTGAAATTTTTTTTCTTTCTCCATTTAATTGTCAATTAAATGATGATATGTGATGAGCGAAACTGATAGTAGCGATACCGGTAAAAGATGATTGATGAAAATTGAAAAGAAATTTTAATCCTTTTTTTTCTTGATTTGTCTATGCATCGGGTAACGAGAAGTGAGAAGAGTGTGTGTGACAATTTCAATTTACATTACTTGTCATGTAATGCAACATATGTCTTGTATTGTCATCGCGATGATTTTAAACGGAAAAAAAATTGAAATGATGACATTTTTTTTCTCTGGTTCACATGTCATCTTGTTGTTTAAATAAATTTATCATATCTTTTTTTTTCTTTCTTTTTTTTTATTTATTTTAAATCTTCTTTCAGGTACTCAGCTTCATCTGTTATGAAAAAAAATTTTTCCTATTCTTTCGTTATTGTTATCAATGTTTCATTGGATTTATTTCATTCTTCAATCAACCATCTTTATTCGAATTGAATTTCACTGAACAAAAAAAAATGAAGCCAAATTTTGATTTCGCATTTTCCGAAGCAAACAAAAACTGAAGAAAGATACATTTTCAATCATTATCATCATCAACAAAAAAACATCAAAAAGATTATTAATTTTTTTCTAAAATTGTTTCATTAACACACACACACACACATTAACGATTTTCATCATTTTTTTACTGTCCAAAAAAAACAATATTAAAAATTTTTTGAAATTTTACAATTTTTTGTACAAAAAAACCCTTTCGTTTTTTCTTGCTTTCATAAAATGTAACTGTTTTTTCTCGCCTTTCTATCACCAAGAAAAACAATCCCCGCATCTTTTTTTTTGGTTGATTAATAAAAAACAAAATTATTTGATTTAAAAAAAAAATTTTCAATTACAAAACAAAAATGCATTCCAAATTCTAAAAATTAAAGCATTCTTTTTCCCAAAACATTCCTTCATTTAGCATCATCATCATCATCATCATAACCCGTTCAATTTGTTGATAAACGATTTTGAAACAAAAAATTTAGCCACCTCCTTTCTTTTTTCCCGTGTTTGTTGGATTTTTTTTTCTTCTTTCTTACCTTACTTTCTTTCGGGTTTCGGGTTTGTGTTATCTAACAAACAACAACAACAATGCGAACAAAAAAAACGGTCTACGATGGTAGGAGGAGTTACCTGTTGATAGATGTGAATGGATGTAACTAAAAGAAGAAAAAAAATGTTGAAAATTTTTTTCTTTATTGACATTTTTTTTTTGCATTGTTTTTCATTTTCGTTTGTTGTGGTGGGTAGAATTGTTTAGCTTTTTTTTCTGGCTTGTTTGTTGACGCCTTCAGGGGATGTGGTCCATGATAGTAATGAAAAAAAAATTATTTCATTGGATGCAACAACAAAAAAAAACAAAGTCATAACTGTTGAATCTAAAGCAAAAAAAAAATTGCGAAAAAAATGTGGGATAACGGGATTCAGAAAAGATCAAAAAAAACAAAATTGTTTCATTCACATTCGAATATTCCGATAGTTCATACCTGATTTGAAGTTTTTTGTTCAATTTTTTTTTCTATTTGTGAAATTTTTTTCTATTTGGCCAAGTTTTTTTTGGATTGATTGATTTTTTTTTTTTGATCATCGGTTATCAACTGTTTTCCATAAACGATGCTCGATTGCGAAATTCAGGTAAGTTTTGTTTCTTTTTTTGTTTTTTTGCTTGTTTTTCATTTCATTTGTTTTTCATTTCATTTGAATTCATTTTGTTCTGACATCAAAACCATAATTGTTTTTGTTTCAAATCATAACCATTTACCCTTGAAAACTAATGATGAAGGTTATGTTTTCATAAATAAATAACAATTCTGGGATCATATTACTTTCAAACAAAAAATTGATTGTTCGGAAATCCTTTTTTTTTCACTGTTTTGTTTAACTTTTGGATCATCATTTATGATCTATATATTATAAATCTGTTCGCGTTTATATGCTTGAGAACGTTTCGAGATTTTTTTGATTCACACTTTTTTTGCGTAATATTTGTTGATTATTTGACTTTGATCGATTAGATATGGATGGTTTTCTTTTCTTTTATTTTTTTTTTTTAAATCTTGAACGTTCGGTTCAAATGAGGATTGTCAATATAAAGGTGAATGAGAGAAAATACATCGTTTTAACCTTTTACATTGAACGACAATGATGATGATGACATAATGGAATGTTGTCACTTTGCTTTTTAAAAAATGTTTTGTCGATCATAATCGATCATAAAAAAAATCGTAAATGTCATAAATGTTTTTCTGTTTGTTTCGGATATACAATTAATTGCACGAAACAATGGCAATGACTTCAATTGAATCATTCATCGTGAAATTGATTTTTTTTTGCTTCTCTTTTTTTTGCAAATATTGAAAAATTTCGTGCAATCAAATTTGGTGGTTAAATCTGAAATCGATTATATAATAATGACGATAAGTGAATTTGATGATTATTGTTATTTTTTGTTTTGTTTTAATCATTACCAAAATAATCATTAATGATTAGTTTGTTGTTAATTGAATCAAGAAAAATTGTTCTGTTTTGGACCGTTAAATTCAATCTTGGAGAAGAATATTCGAATGTAAAATATTAGGTGATGATTATAATTTTTCTTTTTTACAATTTTATTCCGAAATGGTTCGTTGATTTTCAATTTTCAAACTTTGTTTTGATTGATACGCTTGTATACGGATGATAATCATTTTGTTAATTCCTAATTGATTGATCGGTCGATTGATCGGGCTATATTCTTTAAATCAAATATGTGATTTTTTTTTTGTTGAAAATCAATAATGATAGGCTACCCATTTTATATTGTTTTTTTTGAAAATAATCATTGGTTGACAATTTGAAGCTAGTTTTCTTTTCTTTATTTGATTCAATATTTTGTTTGGCAAACAATCAAACCAATAAAAAAAAAATAAATGCTGGACAATTGAACATTGAGAATTGAAAATTGTTTAGATTGTTCACACTCATTTGATAGTATTTTGTTGTTGTTGTTGTTGTTGTTATTGTTGATTTTATTGAAAATCAATAAATTCAAATTGAAAATGACAATATGATGATATTGATGATCATTAAATTAACCACTTATTGTTGTTGTTGTTGTTGTTTTCGGATCGTAAATAATCGATAGTCGTCATCAATGAAGCGAATACAGGAAAACAATTCTTTCATTCTATTTCGATCCAACCTATTTCGATTGTCGAATGTGGAATTTGTTCATTAATGGCTGATTTGATTCGAATTTGTTTTGTTCAAATGATATATGAGAGAAGAGAAAGAAAACAAAGATTTAATTCATTAAAATTTTTATTAAATTTAAATTGATTGACAATAACAACAACAACAAAAAAAATCGGTAATTGTCATCTTGTTTTTGAATTAAAATTTGTTTATTTATTTTGTTTTGTTATCTTTTGTTATATGATCAAATCAATTGATCGTAACTGAATCGTATCCAATTTGTTTGTTTTTTCTGGTGAATTTTTATGATCTTGTTTTACAAATTTTGTTTGTTTGTTTGGTTTAAAATTATTCATTTTCTCACACACAAACACATATATTTTTCTTTCTATAGAAAGCCTTACTTTGGCCATCAACCGGATCATCAAATAATTTATCAACAACAGCTACATCGGAAAATTCTCCTTCTTCTTATCATCATCATCATTATTATTCATCATCAAATCATTCATATCATACGAATGAAATTAATGGTAAAATTTTGTTATTTATTTAAATTTTTTCCAAATGAAAAATTAATTTTTGAATTTTTCAACCAAATGAAAATGAAAAGGGTCCAATCGTTCGATTCCAATAAAATCGAATGCTACTACTAAAACTACCAGTACAGCAGAAGCTGCAGCAGCGGTAGCAGCAGCCGCTGCTGCTAAAAGTTCCGATCTTATTCGATGGATGTCAGTAATGTCGTCCTCGGTCATATCGGCAGCTACAGCAACAACAACAACCAGCGTTGATGACATTAGCACGAATAACAACAATAACAACAACAACAACAACAGTCCAACACAGCATCACTATCAACAACAACACCCAAATCGACATAAAATTAATACAAATTTTGGATCATCATCTTCATCTCCACCACCATTATCATCATCAACATCATCATCATCAATAACATCATCAACATCACCACAAAATATATCGCCATTATATGCTCGTGGTTCATCATGGAATAGTGGCGGTGGTTGTATTGATTGGCCTGTTTCGAATCATGCTCATCAATTCAATTCACAAAATTCTAATAATCGTTCATCATTATCAACATTGAAATCGAATAATTTATTGATTCAACAACAACAAACGGCATTATTGACAAAAAGATTGACAGGTAAGTGTTTTTTTTTTTTGCTAAAATCAAATGACAATGGCTATATATCGAAAAATACCATGTGAGTGTGAGTAAATGTGTGTATGTTTGTGTGTTGAAGTGTGGTGTGAATGCTGAACGTTATTTTTTTGAAAAAAATATCATCATACCATACCATTGTATTGCCGCATGATCGTGATTTGATCATAAAATCAAAACAAAAATTATTTTTTTTATTTGATTTCTTCAGTGTTTGTAATCAAAAGTTGATTCTCCATTCATTCTGTATTAGTTTATTATAATTTATATTGCAATGGATCAAACCAAAGCAAGGCGAAAAAAAGAATTGAGAAAAATAGTTATAATTTTTGCAGTTTTCCAAAAAAAAAATTTGTTCAAGTTTTTTGATAAAAATGATTTCCATGAAAAAACAATTGAATGGCTATTTAAAAATGAAATATTGAGTTTTTTTTTCATAAAAATGATTATCATTGATGATTGACGGTGTTAGCTAACTTGGTTGTAGCCTTGGTTATCTCATATTGCACATGCATACACAGGTGCCTTCTAATGTGGTTGATCAATATTTAATTCTCGAAATTCATTTTTGAATTAATTTTTAAATAAAAATGTGTTCAATAATGATTGATGCCAGTTGATGTTATATAAATTAATGATTATTTGGTGATGATGATGATGTGGGGGAGGAAGAGATTAAAATGAAATACAATCTTTCGATATGATTGGATGAATTGAATTGAAAAAGGTTTATCTTTCTCTCTCCATCTTCGTAATTATTGTCACAAAGAAATTTTTTTTCGCTCCCTTTTGTTAAATGGTGTGAAAAATCAAGGCAGGGGCAGCAAATGACCAGTTTCAAAAAAGAAAAAAAAAATTAAAAACTGGGAGGGAAATTTTTTTTTTCAATATGCGCACTCAAGTATCGCACACATAATAATAGTTTGTTTTTATTTGTTGTTGTTGTTGTTGTTGGTTATTGTTGTTGTAATATTTGTCAAAAAAAAAAATCCAATTTATAAATACACGCCTTTTTTCGAAACTATAGCTTTTATATAAATTCACAATGAAATGTTTAGCTCCGCCTTTTTAGATTTTTTTTTTGTTTTTGTTCTTTATTTGTTATCACTTAATTCGATTAATTTGATTGGAATTTAGTCAAAAAAAAATTGTTTAGAATCTATTTAAAAAAATAGAAAAAGAATAAAATTCATTCAATGAATATTTTCATAGTTTGAAGGTCAGTTTTAGAATTACAAAACAAAAAATTGTCCTTGTTATATCGTTTTCAATTTGCAAAATGTGCCGGAAATTTTATAAAATTTAAATTCCGAAAATTTTTCCCAAATTATCACAAGAATTACATGAATGATTTCGAATTGAAAACATTGAAAATTTCTTTATTTTCTTATTTGTTTTAATTGCTAATATTGGCAAATATAGACAAATGAAACGATTAACGAAAAAAAGTGTTCAATCAATACGAGAATTAATTCTTTATTTATACCGCCAGGTCGATGATATCGATGTACCGCGTGTATGATGCTTACCGTTTTTTTCGTTTATCCAATGTGAAAGGGTTTTTTTCAAGGTGACTTAGAGGATGAGAAACAAAATAATACGATATGTTGTGCAATCATTATGAACTTTGTGTATGTGTGTTGGTAACATTTGGATAAACTAAAGGACGAATGGAAAGGACACGACCAACGAAAAAAAAGGGCAAGGACCTTTTTTGCTAATAAAAAAAACTATGATGGCGGATGTCAACGGTGTACTTTGTAAGTGTTTGCATGAACTTTTCCAAGCTTATTGGTTGTTTGGAAAAAAAGAAGACGTTAATTTTTGAAAAAAATTGATGTTTCATATCGAAATGCGGATATTTTTACGAGACAAAAAGAAATTTTTTGTTTCTAAATATTATTTCAGCTTTATTTGATTAAGTATTTTTTGTCCGATAATGACAAAGTGGTAATTGTTTTACGAAGTCCCTGTTCATTTTGATTTTTTTTTGAGAATTTTTCAATATTTTTTTCTCTAAAATTTGGCCGCAACCATTATTCATTAAACATTAACCATATTATTATCATTGAATCTTATATTTCAAAAAAAAACCAAAATCGTTTCACATTCTGGATCATTCACATTAACATAACAATTTTTTTTTTTGAATTCAACAATTTGAACATCTAGCAATTAATTTTTTTTCCAAAGGTTCTAGTAGCATTAATCAACGATGATGATGTGATGGGATAAATGAATTTTTTTTTTTTTTTGAAATTTTTTTTATTTAGTCCAAATGGAACAAAAAAAAATTCTTTTTGTTGTTGTCCGATTTTTTTCCTACTTTGCATATAATACACATTATTATTATGTGTATATTTAAAAATTATTATTATACAAGTGCACATTCCAATGCACATATTGACTGTGTTTGAAAACTTTATTTATGAAAAAAAAACTGAACTACCAAAACGATGTTCATTGACTGACTATCATCGTTTTTTTTCTCGAAGGATTAAATTGTATGTATAATATGGTCAATTCTTTAAACAGAGTTTTCTGATTTTTTTTTGCATTGTGTGTTTGTGTGCATCGTTTTTTCTCTGGAACGAAAATTGTATTTTTCTTTTTTTTGTTTTCTGGTGTTGTTGTTGTTGTTGACGAAGACCACAATGATGATGATAATAATATTTGATCATTTAATATTTTGGTGGACTAACAAATCTTTATCGTTGTTGTTGTTGTTGTTGTTGTTATTCTGATTTTGTATTGACATTTTGAAAGATTTTCGGTGCAAAAAAACAAAATTTCGACCAAATGACCATTATGAATGTTGAAGATGATGATTCATCAAAGATAATGATGATGATGACAGCTGCGGCGACAAAAGCAGTTTCGTCGACAACGATGACAACGATGGATTCATTTCTAAATCCATCTGCTTTCTTACCACAAACATCTTTACAATTACAATCAACGTCTTTATCGATTATCAATAATAATGTTGATAATTTGTGCAATAATAATACGATTGATATAATCAACTATGGTGATCGATTGATTAGTGATGATAATTTTATCGATTCATCATCATCATCATCATCATCAATACCATTACTCAATGATCAAGTTTATATAAATAATAATAATATTGATTATCGAAATTCAACGACGAATCAATTGCAACAGCAGAATCTACCGCCAGTGATATCATTGTTTAAATTGAAAAATTTTATTCATCAACCAAATTTTAAAAATTTATTAAATACAAATATTGATAATAATGATAATGATCATAGTCAAAATCATAAGGGATATATCAGTTTATTAGATTCGGGTGTGCTGAATGAATGTGCAAATCATTTTATATTTAACATTTATCAATGATTGATTGATTGATAATTATAATTTTTTTTTGTTTTTTTTTCATTTTTCTCAGGAACTTCCAACGGAACATTAGTGAATGAAACAAATCCAATTATAAACAATGAAAACGATTCTATAAACAATACAAATTCTGGATTTGTTTATGGTAATAATAATTCATCATCATCATCATCACCATCAGAAAACAATTCAATACGTTTGAATCGACAACATTTCAATGATAATAATTCATCATTGTCAACATCATCGACAAAAGTTGGACAAATTCTAACAAGTTTAGCCAATAATTGTGTTGATCATCAACAATCATCTTTAAAATTTTCATCATCAACATCGAATCAATTTGAATCAAATCATTCTCATTCAATTAATAATAATAATCAACATCAAACAAATTTAAATGAAAATCATCTAAATAATTTTCATCATAATCATCAACATGGCTCATTGGCAACAAATGGCCATATAAATTCATTTAATCGAAAATATCAATGTAAAATGTGTCCGCAGGTATGTTTTTTTTGCTTGCATGAAATGCATGGTAAACTTGATTTGATTGGTTTCAACTTGCATAGAGAATATCATTTTTTTTGAAATTCGGAAAACTTTTCTTCCTTATTTTTAACCGTTGATATTGATGAAAAATATTTTTCGAAGAAAAAAGAAATTGACAACAAGGAAAATATAGAAATAATAAACATTATCAAAAGAAAAAAATCTTCTAATATTGATTCCAAGAAAATCATCCAAAACCTTGGTTGTTTTGATTGATTTTTTTTATTAAAAATTTGATTACACAAAAAACAGAATGATATAATTAATCATAAATCATAAATGATAATTTTTATTATTAGAATAGAAACAGTGTAACAGTGAAAAAAATAATCAAGGAGATGAAGTAATCAAACACTTTTTTGTTTTAAATCTTAAACTGAAACAAACAGAACAAGGGATGTATTGATTTTTTTTGTTGATTATTTGTTGCAAATTTAGTAATGATGTCAATGTGTGTGTGTGTGAGAGAGAGAGAAAGAGTGTATGTTGATGATGATAATTCCAATCGAATGCGGTAATGATCATTCGATCCATCATCATCAACAACAACTGTTGATTATAGCCATTGGTGATGATGGCCAATCACCATCAAATTTAACTCGTCCATTAAATAATCAATCAATCAATCATACATAAATTATCGATGATAGTACTTTACATATCATTATCCTTGATTCATTGATCATTTTTCTGGTTGGATTGAAAATTTTTCTTTGCGAAAAATTTCGTATTTGTATTTATTAGTCAAAAATTAAAACAGTATGAAACAGATGGATCATCCTCATAAAAGTGTTGTTGCTGTTATTGTTAGCCATTCTCCATCATCATCAACAATTGTTACACCTAAAGCATCAGTAATAAATGTTATTATTGGTCAAAAGAATTAGATTAATTAAATTAATTTTTTCGAATTTATTCAAAATTATTAATTGAATTCATTTTTTGTTTTTTTTCTCTTTCACTTTAAAAAAAAAAGATTTTCTATTCAAAAGCCGACATGCAATTACATACACAGGTACATATGCGTGAAACAAAACCATATAAATGTACACAATGTACAAAAACATTCGCCAATTCATCATACCTATCACAACATAGCCGAATTCATTTGGGTATCAAACCGTATCATTGTGAATTATGTCAAAGAAAATTCACCCAATTATCCCATCTACAACAACATGAACGTACTCATACAGGTGATAAACCGTATAAATGTCGTTATGGAAATTGTACAAAAGCATTTTCACAATTATCGAATCTACAATCACATTCACGTTCACATCAAACGGATAAACCATTTAAATGTAATAGCTGTTATAAATGTTTTACTGATGAATCGGCACTTTTGGATCATATTCCAAAACATAAAGATTCAAAACATTTGAAGACGCATATTTGTCAATATTGTGGTAAATCATATACACAGGAAAGCTATCTACAAAAACATTTGCAAAAACATACGGATCGAATGTCATCTGTTGGTGGTGGTGGTGGTAATAGTAGTAGTTCCGGTTTGGTAGTTGCAACTAAACGAAATTTATCAACATCGGCTCATCATCATCAAATTCATCAACAACAACAACAACAAATTCAACAACATTCCCATCAACAACAACATGGTGATAATTCAACGGCAGCAGCAACTTCTTCCACCATACATTTGATAGATAATAATAATATTCATTATTGGTCGAAATCAAATCCATTAGAATGTAACATTAATTCAACACAATTATCGTCGCAAAATGTTAATCGTCAACAAAATCATTGCGTTATACCTGCATCAGCATTTGATCCATCATCATCAACTATTTATTTGAACAATAGTGGTCTGGATTTACAGATGATTGCAAATAACACTAATAAATTAAGTACTAATTCGGCTGCTGCGACAACATTTTCATTACCACAAAATTCTATAAATTCAGCCAATAATCAAGCTTTACGAATGACTTCTTATTTGTCTGCATATGAGCCATTAAATTTTCCAAATAAAATTTCCGGTATGGATACAATAACAGGAATGGTTGTAGCAACGACAAATGCTAGCGGTAGCGGAAATATTCACACGGGTAAAAAATCATCAGCTACATCAATCGTAACTAATTTATCATCATTAGATAAGAATTCTGCTGTTAATCAAACAATTGCATTTCCAAATCAATTGATTGCATTAAATCAGATACGTAATTATGCATCGATGCCAATTACATCAACATCAAACATTGTTGGAACTATTGTTGGTAATGAACAACAACAACATCCGATCTCATTGAAAGAATCAACCGATTAACAACAACTATAATTATGACAACAACAAACGCCATCCCTTATTAATCAATTAATTAATGTAATCGACAATGTTCAGTGTGTCTGTGATTCATCTTTAAATACCACTATCAATGTTTCATCAACAATTATTATCATCATCATATTGCTTCCATAAAAAATTCAGAAAATAATTAATATCAATCAAATCGCTAGATTCATTTATAACAGTGATTCTCAACCTTTTTGTTGTCGCGGCACAATTTTAGAATTTTTAAATATATAACAGTTGCATTTTCAGAATTTCGCGGCACACCAAAGTGCCGCGGCACACTGGTTGAGAATCACTGATTTATAATAATATCGATGAAAAAATAGCAACTAATTAATAATTTTTGATGTGTGTGTGTGTGTGTGTGTATCATCAAAATCTAGATATCATTGCGATTTCAATTATTTTTCAACAAGTTATAACGTTCAACAAGTCAAGAAAACTAGAAAAAATTGACAGTGAAAATTCTCATCGAAAATACGATATATCTAAATTAGGTGGCCATGAATCTAATCTAATTATAATGTATGTGTGTGCGAATTATTTAAATACATTGAAATAAATAGGAAAAAACAAAAACAAAAAAAAATTGATAAGTGTGGATCAAAGATTTATATCCCTCACCCATAACAGAAATTTTTTTATTATTATTATCAAATATGGATCAATGTCCTTGTTTATTTGGTTACATTTTCTTTTCTCTTTCACACTCATTCACTCACATTTTTCAAATAATACAAAAACGAAACATTGTTATTGTCAAATTATTTTTCATTTCCCAATATTTGAATTGATTTTTCAGATACAAATTTATCAATGAATAAACCACCATCAAAATAACAACGACGAAAAAAAAACAGATGACATATAAACCAAAAATTGAAAATGTAACACAAACACACATACCACGTACACGCAAACAATCTATTTTTATATTTTCTTTTTTTTTGGCTAAAATTATATATATGATCAGAATGAAGATCATAATTTATACGCCCACATGAATACACAAAAACACATATACCCAATTGAACTAATAATTTTACAACAACAACAAAATAATGATTTATACATTATTAACCCCCCAGTATGAAAAGAAAATCATTTATTTAAATCGATTGAAATTTTTTTCATTTCAATAATAGCCAATAGTCGATATATCAATAATTTGTTCATGAATGATGATCAATGATCCAATAATAGCTCAATTTTTGAATGGACAAAATACACAACAATAATCTTTTTTCTTTTTCTTTTTTTTTAATTTAACATTCATTTTTTTCATCATTTAATTAATTAATTACTGATCATCATCATCATCAATAATTTCGTATTACATTGTTTTCATAAACACACATTTATATATTTACAAATAATAATAATCTTAACACAACATATAAAGCTTACACATTTTTTTCGTATAATTATCATTTTCTCTTCCTACTCCTTGAATCTTTGAAATTGTATGGCGGTAAGGTTGATTGGAATATTTTTTTTTTCTTAAAAAATTATCAATTATATTAAAAAAATAAAATAAATAAATTTAATCATTTTTCTTCTGGTTTTTTTTTTGATTGAATTCGTATGCGCATATTTTGTTTTTTGTTTTTTTTGAATTTAACGCGAAAAAAAAGCCTGATCTTTTGGCATTGCCAATACCTGCCATGCCTGACATCATGTTTTTTTTTTTGTATCCAAGGCTTTTCTTTTTGTTGATCATTTCGGTGAGAAAAAAAAGGAATCAATTGCATTTGATAATCACTAGATGGTGGTATGATCATCCAAATGGATCAACTTAATTGTATGCTGCTACTATTTTTTTTTGGATTCTTTTTGTCGTCTCCTCATCCTCATCCCATTTTGTATTTTTGTTTTTGGATTTTTGGGATTTTTTGTTCTTTCGTTGTTGTTGCTACATTTGTAGCCATTGATAAACATTGTCAACGAGCAAACGGCCAACATTAAGTAGTGGTATAAAAATATTCGCAAGATCTGAACGCCTTTTTTTTCACATTTTTCACCCTCACTTTGTCGTTCTGTCCATCCATCCGTTGGCGGTGTCTGCCATAGTATTTTTTTATTCTCGTTATGTGTGATGTATGTATGTATGGTATGTCTATGAACTATTCATTGATTGAATTTTTGTGAATTTTTTTCAGGTGTCTTTTGTTTTTATTTATATTTTTTTTTCGAGAGGGAAATAATTTTTTATTAAAATTTTTAATTATTGAATTAAAATATCAATCATCGATAGATCTGATCTGTTCTTCCTTATAAATTATACGAAACGATTTTAGCCATTATTGATCCAACAACAACGATTGATTGGACAAAACAAAACAAAAAATGTCATTATCACCAGCAACAGCAGCCGCATTATCACAAGCTGGAAAGAAGCCACATTTTTGTGCAGAATGCCGGAAATCATTTTCATCCGTTCACCAATTGGCGCAACATAATCGTGTTCATTCGGGTGAAAAACCATACGACTGTGGTTATTGTGAACGAAAATTTAAACAATTAAGCCATCTCCAACAACATACACGTTTACATACGGGTGAACGTCCATATAAATGTGATTGTGGCCGATCATTCATCCAATTATCGAATCTACAGCAACATATGAAAACACACGAGGATTCATCATCTGTATCCAGTAAAGATATTGATAAGAATTTTTTCTGTCCACATTGTGGAAAAGGTTTTAAAGGACAGAATTCTCTGTTCCATCATCAAACCAAGGTTTGTTTAAAATTTGTTGCGAAATGTTTTTGTTGAAATTAATCAAATTTATTGTTTTATGCTTGTAGAAACATGCTGACCTGGTGAATCCTACGCAAATCGTAGGTAACTTGAATCAAAATCCAAACTTCTTTTCAACTAAATGACATTATTTAATCGTATTCATCCCATTTCCATTCGATCCGATTCCACAATTCCATTTTAAAATTATTCTTATTGTATATTGTAATACATTTGTATCATAACAAAATCATTGTTATTATTATTATGATCATCATTTGAAAACATACAGAAAAACAATTAGGAGTAACCGTTGGTATTGTAAATCAGCAAATCAATTCGATTCAACAGCAGCAACAACAACCACAACAAATAACGCAGCCAATAACTCAGAGTATCCTAACATTTACGTGCCAACTTTGTAGTAAAATCTTTTTGGATGAAACGTCTTTCAAAAAACATTTTGAGATTAATCATCAACATCGTCAAGCAGAATCATTATCATCATCTTCATCAACATCATCGAATGCAACAAATTCATCAACGGGATCAGCGGTAGCATTGGCCACCACTACAGCAATGACAACAGCTATTACATTATGGCCATGCAGTATATGTTCCATCGTTTTTGCAAATGAATATAGTAAGTTTTGAATTACTAATATTCAATGCAATTGGATTAATTGATTTTTTTTTCAAAGGTCTTTTAACACACTTTGAGCAAATGAAATTCGACCCTAAACATCAGAAAGATACTCAACATATTGTTCTACAAACATTGAAACAGCAGCATCAGCAGAATAATCTTCAGCAGCAACAACAAAATCAAAAAATTAAAGAAGAAAATTATGAGGATGAAATTGCTTTGAATTTAAACGATATTCTCATGACAAGTTTGATAACGAACGGGATCGAACTTGAAACTCCGGTAACGACTGCAACAACAGTGGCTGCTTCAACTTCGACTTCTACCAATCAAATTGTATCAGCCAATATGATTGCACAAAATATGCTGGATAATCTAAGTCAACCGACAAATGGACAGACAGGAAACGGTGCTACAACACCAAATCAGCAACAGCGATTTCAAAATGGCACTACTCCAAAGGCTGTTAAATCTTCCGCTTCATCCTTGAAAGCAACAACAGCGACTTCATCATCAAATACTGTCAATAATAATTCGAATGTTAATAATAATTCTACATATTGGACCTGAAAAAATACGATTTCTTTTCAATCTGATTGAGTGGCCCAATTTAAAACCATCGCATCATTAGTGAACACTCAATAATGAGTTGGATAATCGATCATTATTTAATAACTAATATGCTATTAATTCGATTTAATCACTGTATGTTGTCTCTTCCCCATTTAATCACAAAATTTTCAATGATTCTCAATACATTTTTTTTTTGTAAATTCAATCTTCATTTTTATTCATTCATCATGGTCTCGAACGCCAAAGAGCAATCGCTTAATATTACAAAAAAACAAACAAATCACACATTAATGAAAACACTGATGATCGTATTAAAATGTATGTACGAAAAATAGGAATATTACTCCATTTACATCAACATTATGATCTAAAATCTTTGTATACTTAAAAATTTTGTCATTATTTAATCATCAACACTTTCATATTCATTAGTCATTACAAACATTCATCACTACATCGATCATATCGATTTAAAAGAATCATGAAAAAAAATCCATTAATAATGGTTTCCATTCTAATCTATTCTAATATATCTGTAATAATATCCTTGATAACTTTTTTTTTAAAAAAAAATTCCAAAATCTTTAATATTTGGTTTGTATAGACTTTGGTTATAAATTTCCAATCTTTGTCAAAAAAAATTGAGCATTTGTTTTTTTATCTTCTTTTTTTCCAAATAATTTTTTTTACTATGCTCATAGCTGTGATATATCATCAAACAAACGTACAGAACAAAAAAAAGGAAAAAATTCAACGACAAAGAACGGAAATGAACCTAGTCGAACAAGTATCAAATGCTTCGAATTATTTTGGCTTTTTTTAGTTGTTTTAATGTTAACACTCCGGCCATTACTGGTCTAGACAAAAAACAAACAACAAAAACTTTGAATCCAATACAAAAATTTCAATAAAACAAACATCTTTGCAGACCAATGACACATATACACACACAAACACACATGGATAGCTTGAATTTGAAAATAAATTTTTTTTTACATTTCTTAAAAAAATTTTGGTGCATGATTTTTTGTTGTTTTTTCGCTTTGGATTTCTTTTTCCTTTTCACCGATGCTGAAAATTATATTCGATTATATAGGCCGTATCTGGTAGATTCTGATTCATATCCCTCAACAAGATCAGCAACAACATTATATAGCAAGAAGAATATGGCGTCCAAAAAAAAACAGATTCTTTTACCCGAATATATATTTTAGCAATGAAAATGATTTTCGGTTCATATTTTTATATGCTACTCGAATTATTCTTTGTTCGGTTATTCGTATTCATAATTTTTATTTATATTTTTCTTTTGTCTATCCGAGGCCAACCTCCGATCAACTAACATATTTTTTTTTCTTATAGTAGTTGTTTTTTATTTGTTTTTTTTTATTTGTTGTTGTTATTAATATTTTTTTGTTCAAAATATTTTCCGTTGAGTTCGATGAAATAAAAAATGTCAAACAGCCAACAAGAATATCATATGATTAATGAAGATTCTTTACGTTCATCAAATGTTGTCAATGACAATCATCAGGATTTTTTTCACAATTATCTTGATTCATCACCATCAACAACAACAACAACAACAGCCATTGTAGCCGCTGCATCACAATCAACAACAGTGAATAATAATAATTTTCAATCACAAAGAAATTCACAAACACCTACAATTATGTTGATGAACAACAAAGCCAAATCATTCGATCAATGTGATCTTGATCGTCAACGTGCACAACATCATGCAGCTATTGATAAGAAAAAAGAATTTTTTCTCAAAAATGAAAATATAGTACAGATTTTTGATAAAATGTTTTCAAATACTGATGATAATAACAATAATAATGATTCATTAATGGTAAACACTAAAATCGTTCCTAATAATCATTTAACACAGGAAAAAGTGGCTATGAAATATCGAAATATTGGAAAAAATGGTCTTCGTGTTCCGATTCTAGCTTTTTCAGCATGGAATAGTTTTAGTCATGTTTCTGAAAATATTGCAGAGAATATAATTTCTGTAGCACTTGAAAATGGTATTAATTACTTTGATACCGGTGATGCATTCGAAAATGGTCGAGCCGAAATATTATTGGGTAATGTGCTGAAAAGAAGTCAATGGCCTCGAAATTCGTATATTATATCGACAAAAATATTCTGGAAGACTGGACCATCAGCCCATATGGGCGCCGGATTATCACGAAAATTTATTATTGAAGCAGTAGAAGAATCACTTCGACGATTACAAATGAAATATATTGACATTGTTATTATTCATAAATTGGATGCGATGTGTCCAATGGAAGAGATCGTTCGAACAATGTCGTATCTGATCAATCGTGGTCTCATTCTTTATTGGGGTACATCAAGATTTTCGACAATGCATATTGCTGAAGCATTTTCGATTTCTAGACAATTTAATTGTCCACCATCAATCTGTGAACAAATGGAATATCATATGTTTAATCGAGATAAAATGGAATTACAAATGCTTGAATTATTTCATAAAGCCGGTATTGGCTGTATTACATGGTCACCTTTCTCATTACAGAATGATGAAGGTATATCACATATCACTCGAAGACAACAGAACAAAGAAGATAAGCTAAAATTTAAAGAATTACAAAAATTGTGTGACAAACTGGATTGCGATCTTACACAACTTGCTTTAGGTATAATTATTTATTTAATCTATAATTTTCCAATGAATTTATATTTTACCTTTATTCTTTTCAATACAACAGCTTGGTGTTTACAAAATGAAAATGTTAATTGCATTCTGGTTACGGCAACAACCGTTGCTGAACTTTATCAAAAACTCAATTCAATCAAAGTATGTTGTTTTCCTAAATAATTTTGCTATTATTAACTCTAAATTTATTGATTATAACAGATATATCCAGTATTAACTGAAATTGTCAATAATGAAATTGAACTAATCCTGGAAAATAATCCGGTCATAAAACGTCAACATCCAAAAACTCCATCCATCACAATCGATGTGGTCAATGTGGAACCGGAATTTGTTTGATTAGATTTAGAAAATTTTTTGTTTGTTTGTTTTTGTTTTTTATATCGAATAAAACTTTATTTCAATTTTGTTTTGTTTTAACAAAAATATATGTAACCATTTTCAATATTTTCAAATCATGATTTTGTCATGGTCTTGGACAATTTCGGATATTCAATTAAACGCCAAACGAAAACGGTACCATCAAAATTACATGTTGCAATAAAAGCTTCGTTTGGAGCAAATTTCACATCCGTAACACTGCCGCCACCTTGTTTGTATTGAAAGTATGATGCCTTAGTATCATAACAGGGATAAGCGAATAATCGTATAAAACCATTTTCATCGCCAGTAACAATGCATTTTAAAGTGGGAGAATAATTCTTACAAATATTGATGACATCTTTGAATTTTTCATTATCCCAAGTGCCACGAGCATCTTCTAATCCACTACAAGTGACATTACACCATTGAAGATTATCAGAGAAACTTGTCACATTACGAATGTAACGTGTGTTGGGTAAATCCCATAAAATTAATTCCTGAAAATTATTGTCATCCACCGAGGTCAATATGAATTGCGTATCTATTGACCATTGTAAGGTTAAAATGGGCAATGGACCTTTAAGAATGGAAACTTTATCGTATGTGAGTCCATTATCCCGAACTGGTATCACATGTAGACATCCATCTTGACAACCGGCGACTAAAAAATCACCATTTGGTGAATAAGACATACAACCAATGCAAACCGTTGTTAACTGAATGTATTGGATAGGTTCACCTGATCCAGTATTCACTATTGCAATGATACCAGTTGCAGAACCAACAGCCAATACTTGACCGGCCGGATGAACGCTAGATGACATTCCTTGTATACTAGAATCAGTTTTCCAAGCGAGACCATAATCATTCCATTTGCAAATTTTTCTATCTAATGATGCAGTATAAATATTGTTATCGTAGTCTAATGAGCATGTTCGTATAGCCATATAATGACCCTCGAAAATAATCTGATAATCTTCGGTTTGTATAGCTGAACCCTTTAAGATGAAATTGTTCGATGTTCCAATGTAGATATCCATCGATTCATCTAATTTGTTCGGTGGAGTAATAGCCGATACCGAACCACTTATCGATGGCAATTTTACAGCATTTACTAATCGAAATTCATTATCATTTACATCCCAAGTTTTGATCACACCATCTCGATCACCACTAATCAATATATTCTCTTTGGTCATCTTAAAACAGGTTAATTGTGATTCATGACCTTTAACTTCTTTGATAGCAAATTCCAAGACTTTATCAACTTCATATGGTGCCCAAATAGTCAAATTGCCCTGCGAATCACCTGTCAATAAACTATTATCATGAAGAAATGCAGCACAATATATTGTTTTAATGATTTTGGATTGCTAAATGAAAAAATCAAAACAATAAAAATCTCATCATGAATTCATTATGAATTTCAAACCATTTGTAACGCAGTACGATTATCGATAGATCGATCTTTTTTGAAATGCCATACGACTAGATGCATTTTGCCATAAGTGACTACAATATCGGTTTCGATAGGATGAACAGTCAAACCATAGAGTTGTTCGTTGTTGTCCAAGGATTTCTACATTCAAGATTTAATTTCAAAAATCATTCAAAATTTCAACATACCGTTGTATTGGCAATGTTGATCTTAAGTCTCCAATTCCATAAACTTATGTTCGATTCTTTACCTCCGGTCAGCATAAAAAGCGAATTCTTTTCAGAAAAAAATATGACACAAGATGAGAGAAAAAATAATACAAATTTCTAAACCGTTTGTCATACATTTGTAGTGAATTCCATATCGACCAGTTCGCATTTGTTCGTTAAAATTTTAACTGTTTTTAATGTTTTGATTGACCAAATACGAATCATCATTGTAGAATTAGTAACATGACCAGTTGCAATGTATTCACAGCTAGGATCTACTCTAAGGCTTCATTCAGGATTTGATTAAAATTCGATAATAGACATTTCTGCAAATATTGTCTTACCAGCAAATATCATGATCATGTTCAGTATAGAATCGTTGTTTTCCGGATTGTTGATTCCATAGTACCGCAAATACACCAGAAAAAAACGCCAACTCTTTGGTATTTAAAAAAACAAGATTTTGAACTCGTTTACCATTGTAACCGTAGCTAAATTATGAAAAAAAAATTGAAAACCATAAACAATTTGAAAGTAACAACTTACACTTTGTCTAATTCTAGATAAAATTCCGGTGGTGAAATTGAACCATGTAGATTTTTTTCGATTTCACGTAGTTTATTTATCGCTAAAGATGATTTGCCTTTAGAACCAACAGATAAGTCTGATGTTCCGCGTTTCACTTTTGTTTGATTACCACTGGAAGACATGACAAAACTTTTGGATTTTACTGGTAGTTTAACAGGTTGTTTATCGATATTTGAATAAAGATTTTCTGATGATTTTCCTGTTCGTATCCTCATTGGTGATGCTCTGAGCATAGTTTCACCATTATTATCTGGAACTTGTAATCGGATACTAGGAGTAGGTGATTTTGCTTTTATCATGGGAATCGGAGCTTTTTGTTGCAATATTTTTAAACTTTCATTAGATCCGATGACTTTCCGTTTTAAAATTGGCGTCGAAGTTTTTTGTTTGTTGAGTGGTTCGGTTGATCGATTCAATGTGGGCAGTGATCGTTTTGAATGTTTTGATTGAACTGACAAATTATTTCCTATAATCGTACTGTTTGTTTTGGGGTTTAAATTATCACTACTTTTGTTTAAGTTTTCTCCTTTTTTCCTTAATGTGGCAGCTGCTGCTGAAGGTCGTTTAATCGGAGATCCACCGGTAAAATTTTTCTCTGCTCTTTTGATTGGTACTTTGGCTATGATTGGTGCTTCCGGATTTATATTCGATTTCATTGCGCCTTTTGGCAGACTTTTTGTTTGTTTAAAAATATTGTTTACCGGCTGTTTTTGTTTTTTCAATTTCATCGAATCCTTACGATTTCGCTCAGCTTTCGATAGTTCTTGATGTTGCTGAATATTTTGATCTGGTTGTGGGCTAATACGAGGTGATAGTAAACCTTCAATTTGAATTTGTAATGAAGTATCGTTGAGCAATTTTTCTGCATAGTTTTGAATTTGATGATATTTATCTGGAGTAATCTGATCCAGACCAAATATTGGTCCTACACATTGTTGATATTCTGATTGTTTATTTCGGTCTACGAAAAACGGTGTGGACATATCGAATTTAGGAGTTGATTGCTTACGTTGATTTGTTGCTTGCGCTTGACGATTTATGCGACGGTTAGTAAATTCTGGCGAAAACGGTATAGAACCATGATTAATTGTTGGAGATGTTGATGATATTATTTGACCAGATTGAGAAGATGAATAGAAATTCGGATTCATATTGTTATTCAATAATGAATATGAATTTAATGTTTCTAGTTGTTGTTGCATTGGAAATCCATCACAATGATAACAATTATTATCGATTGGTGATTGATAGCCTTTTGGTGTTGGTGATCGTGGATACATTGATAATGGCTCATGAGGATATTCGTTATCAATATAAAACAAATTGATGTGAGATAAATCATGTTTCAATTGAGAGATACTATTCACCTAAAATAATGGAAATCAAAGGAAATGATTCAGAACAAGTCAATTTGTGAATTAATTCTCACCATTTGACCATTCGATGTAAACATAACTCTTGGACATTTTAGCTGAACAGCTTCGCCTAAATCAATTAGCAATAGATCAAACGATTTTGGTGTTTTTAAATTTAAAATAACTTTTGAATGAAGATCATGATTTTTATTGTTGACTATTGTAACTGTTCGTATTTCACGTGTTGGTGTATAAATGACTGTTGTTTGTTGGGGTTTCTCTATGTAACAATTATTATTAACATTTGGATTTAATTTATGATAATGATGATTAACAGCATAAACATTATTAAATTTTGATGATAATGGACGTAATAATCGAAGATCATCTTCACGTGCAAATTTGTTTCGATGAACATTTGTCGGTATACCGGTAGTTAGCCGTTGTGATGGATTAGATGATCCATATGCAAAGGGAACAAAATTCTTCGAACTGGATATAACATATGTTTGATCATGCTCAAGTTCGTCTAACGATCTAATTAATCTACCGTTATAAGTAAAAATATAATGAACACCATTTAAAAGACAAGTTTTTTTTGTTAAAAATTCATAAAGTTGTTCAAGATTGGTAAATTCTTTTCCCGGTATAATCGATACTGTTAACTTTGAATCATAAGGTCGACCATTTTGGTAAAAATGTAATTTTTTTGCCTTTCTTTCGCATGCCTCACGAATAGCTTTCGAAGATACTATTGTCGAAGAAGATATTATTGCTGTCGATGGTACTGGACCAATACTAAAATCTATTGGCAAGCGATGATAATTCATTCATTCGTTATTTTGAATTTATTAGAAAAAATTTAAAACCAAAATTCATTAATTAATATACTAACACGCGCATACACACACATTATGACCAAGATGAATGAAACTTTCAAACAAATATGACGATAATCATTTCAAACAAATTTGGATAAAAATGATTCATTCAAAAAAAAAATTTCTATTTCCCATCCATATTGTTTAAATTAGTAACACGCAAACCCAAATGATAGCCACTAATGAAATTCAAGTATTCATAACAACGACACATGCACAACACTTTCTTAATGGTGATCAAGTAACAAATGAAAAAAAAAAAATAGAATCAACGATCACTTGCACTGAACGGAATTTCTATCTATCTATCTACAAGTTTATTGTATTGTATGGTCGGGTTAATGACGATAATACTATAACTGAACTAGATTCTGAATTCCATAAACTGTCACTTCCGTCTACTAGAATCAACCTTTATATTGAATAGAACTTGACAATCCTTGACAACCGGACAATCACATTGGTTCGTTTGTGGTGTACTGAAAAAAAACAACATTGTTTTCCATTTTATTACAAGAGTTCTTTGTCCTCAATGATAATAATGATGATAATGATCAGCGTCGGTCAACTATCAACTGAATCAAATCCTTTCCATTTAAGTGATGAACAATCATATTTATATTGTATATAGCTTAATAAATTATCATATTAACATTGGTTGACGTTTGATAAGAGAAGAAGGGTAGATGAAAATATGAAATTACATTTGATTGCTTCCATTTTATGCATGTATGAAAAGGTGGAATAATGATAATATGGGAGGATTAAAATGTTCTAATCAAATCTTATTATGTACAAGTTTTTCATGGGATTATATTTTTTCTCATCACATTTAGTATTCAAATGACAAAAATAATTTCAAACAAAACAAAACAGTAATAATGAAAACTATTCATTTTTTTAAATATTAATAATTGATTAAAATTAGAATTTTAATAGAATCATAGTCTTTTTGAAAAATTATGAAATTATAAAATTGCAAATTCTAATATCATCATCATTGCAATCATAATTATCGTAATCTTTTACGAATTCCAAATTTCATTCATTCATTAAATTTTTTTTTTTCGTTGTGTATGGCAACATTATGAAATCAATATTAAATTCCCAATAGTTTTCTTTTTGAATATTTAGAAAATTCCATTTAATGATTAATTGAATCTGGTAAATGCAAATCAACTTGATATTATATTTCATAATGGTAAGCAATTCAGAAGCACAAAAAAAACCTAAAACAACAATAAAACACGAAATGAATAAATTATAATCACCATACGAATATGAACAAAATTTGATCAGCGAACAAAACGTTGAAAACGGCAAAATAGAAACAAAAAACAAAACAAAAGAATTCTTGATTCATAATCTGTTATACGTCATCATTATCATCGCCATATGTATGGTTGTAATTTTATTGGTAATGGATTATTTATTCGGCACACGAATCATTTCACCATCTAACTTTCAAATATTATATGTGTAGATGGGTGGGTATAGAGGGTTTGTTTTCGGAAAAAAAATGCGAAACAAAAATAATTTGTCCCTGAACTAGGTCAGGAAAAACAACAACAACGATAAACGACGTCCGTTATCATCTCCATGATCATATACAAAACAAAAAATCGTTTCATTTAGGAAATTTTTTTAAATTCATTATATTGGATTCTGTAAAAAAATACATATCTATCAGTATGTAGAATATCTGCACCATACATTTTTTTCCCGTACATTCCAACAATATTAGAATGGATAAATTATAATTTGTTAATAATCCCTAATATGACCAGTAGACCATGCAACCGAACAGAATAGGAATCTAATTAACAATAATGTAGACAATTTATTTATGTCAAATAATGTGTATGTGTATGGTATTATTTGATTGTTATTCTTATTTTTTTTCTATTCGAATTGACTAATATTTGAATCATCGTTATTTGATATAGGAAGCAAGAATCACTATTCGATTATAATCAGGTTTTTATTTTCATTTTAGGCAATAATTATGTTTAGTAGTCGTATGTATCCATTCAAGGGAATTTTGTTTTACATCCAATTCATTCATTAATGATGATGATAATGACGATAAATTTATTAAATATTGATTAATAATTAAAGGAAATTATAATATTCAGATTTTTTTTGAATTAAAATCTTGCCAAATCATTGATAATTTATGATGAAATGAACATAAATTTAGACGTTTGTGTAAAACCAATTACAAATTATTCTGTGTATGTGTAAGAAATATGATTTGGATGCCTACAAAAATTATTTTTTCAAAAAAATAATCTTAAATAATAATAGCAAATTGCTAGATGTTTTTAGATTGAAAATTTTTAAAAGTAGTGTTCATTTGTGTAATTTTGATAATAATTTACATAGTACAAGAATAAAGAATTATGAATTATATAGTTAAAAACCAAAGATGATGATGGTCACAATGAGAATGGAGGGATGATAAAAGAAATAAGTGATAGTGGAAATGAGACCAAATTGACATATGGAAACAAGTGGGGTGAATGGTTGATGTTGAAGGAAATCAAAGGAAAATTCTAGATTTTTGTTGTCATCAATAGAATATAAGAAATGATGATTATTATTTTGCGGCCGTAGTTAGATTACTAAATGCTGGTCCTTGATTAGCCAAATCCATATGGTTATTGACGACGAACGGTTGCGGCTGTGTGGTCAATCGAGACAGAATCCCTAAAATAATAAGTAAAATGATTCATTAGATTGGAGAGGATTTAATATGTGAAAAGAAATTACCTCGTTCGGATAACTGTAATCGTTGCGAAACGGAAGGAATTCGAACCAATGCATTTGGTAATCGGCTAGCATCGGATTTCATGTCCGTAAGCAATTCTTCCAATTGGTTCAATACTTTATGCATGATAGCGTTCACTGGTTTTTGGCTACAATCTTTTACAAAATCTTTATGCGATTCAACATAACTATCCAATTCGGCAAAACGAGTATTCAATGCCATGACAGGATGGTTGATATCTTGAGTTAAATTCAGATATGCGGCACGACGTAATTGTTCTTCAATGACCAATGCTTGTTCAAGCAATTTAAACCGCCGTGCTAAGAACTTGTTTTTGATTTCCAAAAAGTTACCTTTGCCTGCATCCATTTTGAAAGGCTATATAACAAAAAATTGAAACATTATCACAAAACTATAAAATAAAAAAATCTTACCTCATTTATGATAGCAAAGGCTGGGTCATTTTGTATATCTTGCCATCGGCCATATCCATGTTTAATAATGCCGGTAAGTAGCCAGTAATCATGTCGACGATGCCAGATTTCATATTCACGACCGGATGAAGCTTTTTCCTCGTTTGTCCATAAAGAATGAAGTTCGGTGAAACCACCGTCAGCAATGTTGAACATGAATCTCGGCACTTCATTATCTTTACCATCTTTTTTCGATGATTTTATATCAGTTTGATTTTGTGGCTTAATACTACTGGATAAATCAGTAGGGATATTCTCCTTATCTTTTTCTTTATCACTGTTACCATTTTTGTTCATCGTATCGGATTCGTTTTCAACTTCTGTTTTTTCTTCAGTCAATTTTTCATCTTTAACATCATGATCATCGACAACTTCATCTTTGATTTCTTTCGACTTTGTCTTTTCCGATTGATTTTCTAATAAATCTTCGAATTTACCATTCGTCTGTGATTGCGGATGATCATCAGAATTGTTGTTTGGAGGTGGAGGAGGCATCATCATTTCTGGTAATTCCATTGAAATGAATCCATTGATATGTTCAAATTCTTGGACTTTTTTACGAATTAACGACATGACGCCGATACGAGTGAGTACATGTTGCCTAGAGATACCTTCCCGAGGAACACCGTCGGCAAATGTTTCGGCATTGTCTGGACCGGGTTCACATAGATGTCGCATAAACAATGAAACATATGCCCAAAAATTCTTCTCTGATTTACCACGAAGATCACGGACAAGCCATTGAGAATTGAATGCATCTTGTGGTGGCATTCCATATCGCATTATAGCATTCAGGAATGCTTTTCGTTGTCTAGCATTGAATCCCAAGACCTGAAATAAATTGCACAATTAATTGTCAGTGACTACCTTTAAAACTTTGCGAAACAGTTTGTCGAGCATTCGTTTTCTAAACATCACAAATTTTTATGTAGCGGCAAAGTTTTTCGAAGGATAAAACATTGAAAGAATCAAAGGTCAAGAAAATCCTTGAAATGTCAATCCTGAAAAAGTGCCGCAACAAGAACAAAAAAGAAAAAGAATACGTACTTCGATATTGCCACCAACCCTGGCCAACAATGGAGGTAATGGACGATCTTTATCATTACGATCACGATATTTACGGCGCATAAATTTCTCCTCTCTGTTTTCATCATATTCATCATCTTCATCTTGATCTAGAAAAAATGTAAAAAAATCAATACGAAATTATTTGGTGAATAAGAAAAAACATACCGGAAGGAACAGAAAAATCGGAATTGTAATCGGAAACATTTTCCTGCCAATTTTGATCTTCTTGAGAACCACCCATGGCATCATTATAGTTGACTTGTTTACGGAGCCGTTTGCCTTTGCCCAATGTTCGAGCCAGGTCTTCTTGTTGTTGTTCGTAATGATGGCGAAGAAGTTTTTCCCAATAGGCTGGATCAGCACTTTCAACATCTTGCTTGAGAATTTCAGTTTCCGGCTCCTCATCTTCTGCATCTTTTGTGACATATGATGCCACTTTAAATGAACTCAGATATTCATTGGCCCATAGTTCTTTCTGCTCGATTCCTTCTTTAGTTCGATCAAGCAATTCTTCGATAGCTTTATCATCATAATGAATTGTACTATCTTCGGCATTTTCTTCATCTTTGAATAAATCTTCAGTGCCGAACCTAAGAATATCATCGAGCTCTTGCTTGGACATAGCAGCGCTACGACTACCCATACCAGGCCTAACGACCAAATGTGTCAACATCATTTTCTTTTTAGCCACTTGTGTAATACGTTCTTCGACTGATGCACGAGTGACAAACCGATAGATCATCACTTTGTTTGATTGGCCAATACGATGAGCACGGCTAAATGCTTGGATATCATTATGTGGATTCCAATCCGAATCATAAATAACGACAGTATCGGCCGTAGCCAAATTGATGCCAAGACCACCAGCACGGGTAGACAAAAGGAAACAAAATTGTTGAGCCCCCGGTGCGTTGAAACGATCAATGGCCTCTTGTCGAAGCGAACCAGTGATACCGCCATCAATGCGTTCATATTTATAGCCTTCGCCTTCGAGAAAATCTTCTAGAATATCCAACATTTTAGTCATTTGCGAGAAAATCAAAACTCGGTGGCCTTGATCATATAATTTACGAAGCATTTTTTGTAATAAGATAAGTTTCCCACATGCTTTGGTCAAGGCATTTATTTCATAAAGGCCATTTGGTAATTTGGGTGCTTCGACAGCAGCACCAGGAAACAAGTAGGGATGATTGCAGCATTTTTTCAAATCCATCATTATATTTACGAGAGAAACCTGATGTCCACTACCTTTGGCATTAAGAGCTTCAAAATTTCTCGTAAGAATATATTTGTAATATTTTTTTTGCATGGATGCTAAATCAACACGGACGATAAATTCACTTTTAGCGGGTATGCCTTTAAGGACATCGGCTTTCAAACGACGAAGAAGATGAGGCCCGAGTAGATCATGTAACTTTTTCACTTGATCTTCTTTAGAAAGATCGGCAAATTCATTGAGAAATCCTTGCATGTCACTAAGAAATTTTTCAAAGAAAAAAAGGTCAAAATCTATTTAATCAAAAAATAATGTGAAACTTACTTGAAATTTTCAGAACTTAAAAAGTTCAAAAGATGAAACAATTCTTCTAAATTATTCTGTAATGGTGTACCAGTTAGCAAAAGTTTGTAATTAATTTTGTACGTATTCAATACACGAAAATATTTTGATTGATTATTCTTCAGACGATGAGCCTCATCCACGACCAATATTTGCCATTCAATCGAGCTTAATGTAGCTGCATCGATACAATTCAATTCATAGGATGTGAGCAATACATGAAATTTAATAGGAATATCTTTACGCATTCGAGATGCTTTCGATCCACTACGTACGGCACCATCTTCAAAGCTGAGTTCATGTTCACGGATCACAGCTCGGCTATCTTTATCTCCGATGTATGTGACAACATAGAAATCAGGTGCCCATACTTCGAATTCACGTTCCCAATTGATTATAGTCGATAATGGTGCCGATACAAGAAACGGTCCACGACAATGACCTTCTTTGTACAGTGAATATAGAAATACGATTGTTTGGATGGTTTTGCCAAGACCCATTTCATCGGCCAAAATCGTATCAGTGTGATGAGACCATGAATATCGTAACCAATTGATACCTTCAAGCTGATATGGATGAAGTTCCATTCCAGTATGATCAATATATTCAGGCTGTCGTTCATATTTCTTTTTTGGATCAACAATAGGTTTTTCAGGAGGTGGACTATAGCGTCGAGGTTGCAGTTGTTGGCCATCACCCGTTTCTTCTTTTGAACTTTCACTTCGCTTTTTACTACGACCACGAAGTTTTTGATTTTTGGATTTACCAGCAGTTATTTCTGCTACTTGTCTTAAATCCCAATAATCATCAATAGCTTTTTTCATGTCTGGAATTTGAAATTCTATTGATTCTTCAAATTCCCACGAACTTTGATCATAGGGTAGATCACGCCATTTCACCAGATACATATAACGGCCATCACGTAAAACTTTGTGATTAATAATTCGATGTATGTTGAGCCAATCTGGTCGTATACCGTATCGATAAAATCGTTCTTCAAGATTGACATCACTTCGATCATTGCGGCGAAGTTTTTTTCGTTTCATACCAGTCGCTGCAGTAATTTCTTCGGGTGGTTTGCCATTATTAATGGTTTCACTAATTTCTTCTCTGATTGATAAGGGTTCGCCATAACTTGATCCATCATCTAATGGGGGTGGCTCATCCATATCATTTTTACGACAATAGTTTCGATATAAAGATGAATGAAAAACTTCAAGTTGAAGTTCACTAATCCAACTACAATGCCAATAACTCATATCATGCCATTTAACAAAAAATTCTCGTTCTTTTTGCAATTTTTGTGAAGTCATTGAGGGTGCTGGTGGCGGTGGTGGATCTTTAGAAGTTGATGGTGTTGGCTCTGGTTCAGCCTTTATCGATAAATGCTCTTCCTGTTTTTGCTCTACTGTTTCGGATGTTTCATTGTCAGTTTTAGTTTCAATCATTTTTGTTCGTTGTTTCTTTGGCTTTTCCACCCAACGCCAATGAAGAATTTTAGCCACCTTTCCTTTTAATGGTTCGACAGAACAACGTGGACAACGCCATTCTCCATCTGGTACATCTTCTAACGGTGGGCTCAGGCAATATGTATGATAGGCTAATGGACATGCATCACAACAAAGTAATTCCCCACCATCTTTACAAATGCGACAGAATTCCATATGATGATCATTGGTTGTTTGTTCGAGGGATTCATCGTTTTCCTGATCTTGAATACCTTCCCCTTCACAATGTGGACAACTCCATTTTCCTTCCGGTGCTTCTTCTAATTCAGGCTCCAAACAGACTAAATGATAGGCTCGTGGGCAGGTATCACAAAGAATGATTTCGCCGCCTTGTTGACAAACTTCACAATAATCTTGGTGATCAGTTTCATATCCATTTTCTTCCGAATCATGACCTGGAAAACTATCGGTTGTTTTTGTCTTTTTACGTTTTTTCATCTTTTTCTTTGATTTTTTCCTATCTTTTGCTGATGGTGATGGCATTTGAGCTTCTTCTAAAGCGGCCTCAAATTCTTCATCACTTTTATTCATTTCACCAGGACTATCTTCTTCTTCTTCCGAACTGTTTGCACGTTTTCGTTTACTAATATTACTAAGCTTTATTTTAATCGAAGGTACTAAACCTTTGCCAGATTTTGATTTTCGACATTTGCCCCGTGTTTCACCACTTTCATCTGTGGAAATTATCATTGGCAGAATTGGTTGTTGTTGAAATAGATCATTTTGACAGAATTCACGCCATTTAGCTGAAATTAGTACGACCATTTTACTCATCGGTATTTTCGGATTTTTATTCGCGATCAATGGTCGTAAATGGTTGGAGAATATTTTATAACTAGTCAAATTTTGATAATCAGCTTCAGTGAATTCATAGTCGATATCTTCAATGTTGAGATCATCGCAGATTTCGGAAACACTTTTTTGTGAACGTTCTTTTTTACTATCTTTTCGAGTTGAGATTGATGACGTTTTACCGGATGCCATTGTTAATTGATATGATTCTTCTTCACCATATCTACCGCCGTCATCATCATCAACATCATCATCATTATCATAATCTTGATCATATTCGGGTTGACTTTTCTTACGTTTTTTCTTTTTACTTCGCCGGCTTGATGATGATGATGAATCTTTACCACTACCACCGGCACGTGTTTTTCTTTTACCATGTGATCGTAAATCTGCTTCATATTCTGGATCATCTGCATCATTCATTTCGGTTTCGGTTGCAGCAGATGCATTATCATCATCATAATTTTGATCATCATTTCCTTCAGATTGATGTTGTTGTTGATATTGTTGTTCATCCATATCGGTATCATCTTGTTCATTTGACATCATCATCTTGTCGTTATCATCATAATCATCACCGTTATTTTCATCGGCTATAAAATAAAATTCGATAAGAAAATATCAATAATAAATTATTATGAATATGATATGAAGAATTAAATGATTTAATTGAACGATGGATAACAAAAAAAAAAGATAAAATAAGAGCGAATGAAAAATAAAAATAACTGTTCTAGCAGCAAAAAAAGAAGTTAAATGAAGCATATACTTCAGAAAAATAGCACCCTCGTTCAGGGGGGGAAGAGAACATTGTTTAGTGGAAATTCGGCTTTAAAAGTATCGGAAAGCCAAAATGGGAGGATCTGAACAAAAAGAAATCTTACTGTTTGAAAGCCCCTTAAAGTGGTGGGGTGAGATTATCAACAAAAAAAAATTATCCTGTTTTGTTTTCGGTTATTAAGAATCAGTTTTCCAATTTAATTTTGTTTTTCCAAAAAAAAAAGATAATTCAAATCCTTACTTTTACTTTGCAATTTTCAATTTTTTATCGACTTTATTCAAGAATGAACTGAAAACTCGAGAATAACTGAAAAAAATGGATTATATTAACGCGAACAATCGATTAGATATCGATTCGTCCTTCGCCATTATTCAACACACAATAGGCAGGAGAGAGAAAAAAGGGGATCCCATTGTTCGTCACTATGTGTGTATAGATGAAAGAAAAGGGGGAGGAAAATTTTTCGATGAAAAGGGGTAGTAGCATAATGATTGACTGACTGACTGACATAAAAAGGCGGAGTAAAATTATTTTCATATGTATGAATAGAACAATTGAGCTAGAAATAGTTATGCTTAAAAAATTTCTATGCTCGATTCAAGAATCGTGGTTAATTAATTGAATTGAAGAAAATTTTTCATCATCAATTTCAATTAATTAACACAATCATCAAATTCATCGAATAAACATCAAATTTTAATGTTGTTTTTTAAATGAACATTGTTTATTTTAAATAACATTAATCCACGTGTGTTTTTTTTCGCGTAAAGTTTCAAGTCATTCTTTTTGACAGATTTAAACTGCAATGTGAAATGATAATGTAAAAATGAATTTTTACGCGAGAAGATTGAAGTGTAGTTTGGAAAAACAAAATTTCAATATAAACTATTACCGGTAATGATTGTCAGAATTGATTTACCGGAAAAAAGAAGTGAATAATTTGGAACAAAATAGAAAAATAAAAATAAAAAAACTTACATTTGCCGGGCGAATCAGTTTCGTCATCTTTTCGGCCCATTTTTTCGATACAAATAATACACACTGGAACGAAAGAAACAAACTGTCTGTCCAATCTTAAGATCAATAGATGCGATATACGCGACGTCAATTATCAATTGTTGTCGTTTGACTGTTTTTTTGTTCGATTGCTAGCAGCATAAAAATAAGAGAGATGTATTTTTTAAATTAAAAAATAGCACCATCTATTGACAACAAAATATTAAAAATTTTTCATTTAATTTATAATTATCAGATAAGTCAGGGTTGATAATAAATTTGACCATAATATTTTTTATAATTTGAATTTTAGATATGGAATAATTTTAATGAAACATAGTTTAAAATGACATATCGTTGTGAATATATTAAAATATATACAGGTGTGTATGAAATAGATTAAATTATTATGCAAAAAAAAACATTCACATCAATATTATCATGATTGAATCTTTTTTCGTGAATAGGTTTTCGTACCTAATAGTATGGTTGGTTTGAAATCTAGATCAATATTTTTTAATAATGATGTTTGATTATCATTTTCCTTATGATTATTTTTATTTTTATGATTATGATTTAGGATATTAATCGTACACATTAATGGTTCGGCTATTGATTCATTTTCAACTAAAGAAGTTTTTGGTCGTCTTATTTTTGTTTGTAACGATTCTTTCAAAGATCGTTTGGTCATTAGTTTTTTACGTAATTGTTGTAATTCTTTCAAAGATTTTTGTATTTCAGCATAATTTATTTGATAATCTTGAACATCCGAATCATTTATACGTTTTAGATTTCGGGTGAAATAAGGACTAAGTTTTGGTGCCAAAAATCTTTCAGGAATTTTTATTAGTTTATCAAAGTTTTCACTAAATTAATAAAATAATTATTTAAAATAATTGAATAAACATTCGAACACTTACGCGATTTTGGCGTCACTACAAATAAGCTCGGGCAACAATGGTTTCTTATCGACAATATCGGACGTATTAATCATCTGATAATGCATATCCTCATCGGATAACATTGTACTCTGATCTTTAACAAAATATGCATTTCGTTTTGTTTTCTTCGGTATTATGCGTACTTTTGGCTCATGTACATCATCGGGTGATAGATCTTTGAGTTGAATTGCCATAGTTTCGGTTTTATAATTATCGATTTCATCTATGGTACCATCAGAGCCAATTACATTTAGCCATTTTTCTTCATCCATTGATGACGTTTAATTATGTAATGAATATTCAACAATAATAATAAGAAATTTCCATCGATTAATCGTTTTTTATCATTAAGTTTGAAAAAAAACTATCTGATCATCAAAATAATATTGAAAAATTTTTCGGCTCATGTAATTTGTTTGTTTATTCGTTGAAATTCTGCAGAAGAGATCGAAATGTCATATGTGAATATCTCAATTTTGTTACATTCTGTTTACAAAATTTTCATCACACTTTTATAAAGTATCGATTATTATTTATCTTGTCGGTTTTTGGCCATTATTTTCATTATCATCACTAAAACAATTTACAATAAATAATGGCCAGCAGCAGTAGTAGTAATATTGAATTTCATTCATTCTATTCTGATGTGAAAACCATTGAAAAACAAGATTCAATTTATACATCTGAACAACAAATTCAACGGCTTTTACGGCCCGGATCAACGTATGCAAATCTAAATCCATTCGAAGTGTTACTTGTCGATCCAGATGCATCGATTGAACGAATCAAAAAACAGTATAAAAAATTATCCATTCTTCTTCATCCGGATAAAAATCCAAATGATCAGGAACGAGCACAACGTGCATTCGATGCTTTAACCAAAGCATACAAAGTACTTGAAGATGAAAAAAGCCGTACAAAAGCATTGGAAATTGTTGAAGAAGCAAAATATAAATTGAATAAAGAAATTCAGGAAAAACGAAAACGTTTGAAACAACAGAATCCATCACGAAAAGATCCTCGTGTTGATGAAGATGACCCAGAAAAATTTAAACAATCATTACGTGTTATGATAATGAAATTATTTGCCGAACAAGAACGTAAACGGCGTATGTTACAAGATAAGGTACAAGAAGAAAAAAAACGACAACGTGAAGAAGAAATTGAACAACAACAACAAAAAGAAGCCGAAAAAGAATGGCAAAAAAATTTTGAAGAAAGTCGCCAAAATCGTGTGGATAGTTGGCATACGTTCAATAAAAAAGCTAAATTCAAACGTAAAGATATACGACCACCGAAACATAAAGCCGAAGGACGATAATATTGTCCAATAATTTGCTGTATAGAATTTCAATCATCATCATCATCGATCATTATCATCAAATTTAATCAATCATATAAATCCATAATTAATAAATTTTTTATTTCGATTGAAAAAAAAGTTCTAAAATGTAAAATAAAATTGAAATTTTTTAAAATGTCAAAGATATTTAATATTTCATTTTTCAATCTAACCTTAATGACATTTTAAATCGAATAAGATGATTCAAATTCAAATCAAATGGCGGCAGCAGCAATCAACAGGTTAATATATCAATAATATGGCCTGGGTAAGCTTTTTTCCTCGTATATGAACACAATTCTCATCATTTTGTTGTTTTTTTTTGTGGCTAACTTGTTACGCTAGCTTTGCAAATGAGAAAATCCATGCATTATTGCTTAGCTTGACCCTGCTTGGCTTCTTTTTTTTTCTTTCTTGCCCGATTCTTTTCAATGAGACTCGATCATTTTTTTTTCTTTCAGTACTCTTGTTTGTTTGTTTGTTATCAAGTAGAACAGGTTACCTTTTTTTTCGTGTGTGTTGTATTTACACATCACAAGAAGGAGAAGAAAAAAAATCTTTCTTTTTTTTGAAAAAAATGATCTTTTGTTTCGTCAAGACGATACCTAAAACGTTGATATTCAACAAGTTGTAAAAAGTATTCTTTGAATTTATTAATTTGTTAGTGAGTGGTCAGTATGTTGTTGTTGTTGTGTCTGTTTGTCAACATTAATGATGCTCATTTTATGTTTATTGAAATTTGAATGTTTAAAAAAGAAAAAATTGTGGAAAAACAGGAATCAAGAATTTTTTTTTTTGATTGAATTGAATTGATTGATTTTAAAACTTTTCTCGGTCATCCATATATATCAACAAACAAACAAATAACCATTATCATTATCATCATCATTGTTGTCATGGATGATATCGTTAAAATTGATATCATATATGATGCATAATCAAAAACAATCAAAAGTGGAAAAAAAATGAAGAATAGATTAAATGAAATAAGAAACGCTAATAAAAAATTATCGTTGTCTGCAATATTTTTAGCAACATTGCTGTTGTTGATGATGATGATGATCTCGAGCCTTGTTTGAAGAACTTCATATTCAGAATTTCATAAATTCTATATAACTAATTATTCTTCTTTTACTACACCCATATAATATCATGTTCATCGTTGTTTATATATATTCTGGATGATGATGATGATGATGGATTTTCAACTTTTGTTTTCTCTTTTTGTTGTTCTCTTTTGGATCCAATCTAAATTCAAAATGTAATCAACTTGTTGCTCCATTTATATTGTGATTTTTTTCTTTTTCTTCTTCTCGTTAAATGCATTTAATTAAGTGTATATGTGTGTTTGTTTTTGTATACATTTTTAAGTTTTAATTCTCATCTAAAATGTAGATTGGAAAACTTTTTTTTCTTAAAAAAAAATTAATTAAACAACAGGACAACAATGTCATTTAATCAATAGATATTTTAAAAATTCGATCGATAAATTTTTGCAAATCTAATCACAATATGCATCCATTATTTGTTGAAGTTTTAAGTAAAAAAGATTTAAGCCGTGCTGGTGAATTATTTGCCATCGATGATCGTGCCATTGTTAAAGATTTATCCGAATTATTGGCAACAATAAAAAAGATAAGCAATTCACCATATTATATTGATCGTCATAATGATCAAAGTGTTGTTGAAATTTGTCTAACAAGAATTATCAGTGCCATTAGGTATATATTGTTTAGAAATTTGAATACCAAAATACCAATTATTTTAAATTGTTTTGAATTTTTGTCCACAGAGATACGAATACGATTGAAGAACATGCTCGTGCATTGGTAGCATTGCTTGAATCATGTTTACTGTATAATTTAAAACCAACAAATCGTGATCAGGATCCACCACATGCTAAAATTGCAAGCGAAGTTGTTTCGTTTATTTTTTTGGTTAGTTTTTTTTTCTTATTAATGATTCTATTTATTATAATTTATTGTTATGATATTTGTTTTCTGACAACAGAATCATAGCAAAAAATCTGTCATGTGTTTGGCCGTACCAGTTGCTGTAAAACTACTTCATAGGGGCAACAAAGAACTTAGTCGAAATCTATCGAGCTATCTATCATTAGCAGCCATACATAATGCCGATCTATTGGCTCCATATATTCAACCAATAATTGATTCGATAATAAGTGGCAATTATTCATTGGTACGAGTATTATCGAAAATCTATGTGATCAATAAGGAACCAATACATGATCATATCATGGCACTTGTTTGCCTTTTACCGCAATGCGATACATCGGAAAAATCATCATTGCTTAATTTGTTTGCTTTGATTTCGAAACATAAACCATCCATACTTGAAGATGATCTTCATCAACTAAGTGATTGTCTTCAACATCCACAGACCGCCTATACTACTATGCAGATTTTTCTCGATATGGCCCATCATAATAATAAAAAATTTATTGATTACATTCCTCGAGTGATTGCATCATGTGAGATTCATTCCGGAATGGTATCGATAGCAGCCGAATTTCTTGGTATCGTTGGAAAATTGAATATTTCCGAAGCCCAAGATTGTGTTCGATTTTTAACATCACAGCTATCAAAATCTGATCTCGGGACAACGATAACGTTGTTGAAACAGATTAAATCTATTGCCGAAGTTTATCCATCAGTTTTACCGAATGTAATGTCAATTATCATTGCGCAAACAGAAAATTCTACATCATCAACAGTACAATCGTATCTACAACAATTAAATGTGATCAATCAGACAAACAATTCATCAGCTAATCGTGTAAATTCAAATTCCGATTCTATATCTAGTACTAACTTGGTCAATAATCTTGTTAATTCGGTCAATAAGAATTCTTTTCTTAGCAGTGATATTTCGAGCCTTATTACAGCCCAACATCATCAACAGCAATCGATTCGTAGTACAAATACAAATAGCAACAGTAGTTCCACTGGGGGAAAACTAGGCGGAAATAGTGGATTTCATATCTGGAATCGTAGCATACCAAGATTACATGTTGTAAGTGGTGGTAGTCAAATACATAATCAACCACCATCGAATGTACATCGAAGTCTGACGGCATTGGTTGCATCGGCCGGTGGTGTCAGTGTTGTTGGTAATGGTGGAGGTGGAAGTGGTAACAACGGTGCTAATACCGGGGGTGGTTCATCATCATCCAATACGGCTAGTCGTCATTACATGAATCGTATGTCAATCGAATCAATGAATACGACGAATACACCATCCAGTTCACAGAAAAGTGCATCATCATCATATTTGCTTGCTTTACAAGAAAAAGAACTTGCAACAAAAAATGTCAATTCTTCAATCGATTCACAACTTCAACAACAGATATCTGGATCATATACGCTCAAAAATAATTCAAGTAGAAATGAATTAAATTTCATAGGTGGCCGTAACAGTGGTAATAATGGTATCGGTACTGGTAGCATTGTTGGTAAAGAATCAAGCAAAGCACTTCATCACCATCATCATCATCATCATCATGTGATTTCATCCGATTCAAATTCATATTCACCAATGTCTAATGCTGCTGTTTCTTGTGTATCGAGCGATTTAACATCTAAACAATCATCAAATGATTCTCGTCAAATAACTGTATTCGAACCATATCCGATGCGTGATGCCGTACAACATTTTTGTGAAAAACATAATGATAAAATCAAAACATATATGCAAAAAGTATTGGTAAAAATTCCATTACCTGTTAAATGTACAATCGAAGAAAAACGTTCGAAAAAGATTGCAAAAATTTATTTTGCATGTCAAGCTAAAGGTGAACATTGTCTTTATACCCGTAATTATTTTGTGATGAAAACAAAAAATGCTCGTGTATGGATACATTTAATGTTTTTGGCACTACAAGCAAAAGCAAAATCATCACTTTGTACACGTGAACCATCGGTGAATGCATTGAAGAATTGTTGGGAAACATTAAAAGTGGATAATAAATCCTTTCTCACATTGGTCACATCGAATTTTCCATCGGCTAAAGATCAGGAAATTCTAATCGATGAATTACGTTCGAATCGTTATTTTGATGTATTTAAATTTAATGCCATTATGCAATTATGGGGCTGTTTTCTGTGCAATCATCCGGATAAAGCAACCGGATTTCTAAAGAATTCTGAACCAGTTATCGAAGGTCAATTGAAAGAAAAGAAAGGAAAATGGAAATTTTTTCGCCGTTGGCGTACGAGATATTTTACCCTTTCGGGAATTCATCTATACCGAGACGAGGTGGTATTAAATGTTTTATTTGGATCTGATATTCTAATCGTAGATCTTTTTTCTTTTGACTATTTTTATAGACTGGCGAAAAAGATGGCCAACCAATTGAAGTGGGTAAAGTACAAAGTGTTCGAGCCGTTGGTAATTCACGTGGTCGTACCATACCAAAAGCATTCGAAATATTTACCAACGATAAAACGTATATATTGAAAGCCAAAAACAGTCAAAATAATCAAGAATGGATGCAATGTTTGTCCATTGCAATGGCACATTCACAAGCCAAAGACCAATGATATCGATAACATCGACAATAACCGATAATGATGATGAATATCAATCATCGTTTTCTAAATATATCATTTCGATACAAAACAATCTTTTTCCAAAAAAAATAATTTCATCATGAAAAAAATCTTTTATTTATATGAATTTTTTAAAAAAATTTGAAATAGTAAAAATATCAATAATGAATAATTTGAAAATTTCATTAAATTCATTAGGCCATAAAATGCGCATGCGTTTTTTAAATTTTAATCAAACACACTGAAAAAAATTCGGTTGTTTTTTTTTTGGCAAAAATGTTTGAATTCGATGAAGATTGAAACAACTAAAATCAGTTTCATTTAACCATAATAAGATTTATTTTAATTTTTTGAAATTATCTTCATAAGTGAAAAATATGGCTGAATCTTGCCAATTGGTACAATCACGTTACGATGATGATGATGATGATGATGATGATGATGAATTTCTTTTGAATTCACCTTTCAGCATTACCCAATCATTATCTTCAAAACAAAAACAAAAAACAATTGATGATTTTATTAAACAAGTTGAATATGAAAAGTTTGAAATTAATTTAATTGATAATCAATCACATCAACAATCATCTGATAAAAATTCAATTGTTGAGAAATTTTTTGACGAAGAAATTGTTTACATTCATTGCCCGATTTGTATGAAATCATTGAAAAATATTAACCATATTAAAAAATGTGCACTCAAATTTAACATTCCGCCTAAAGAATCAATATATAATCTACGAAAGATAAGAAAATTTACTAGAAGTAAAATGAAAAAAATAACAAATTGTAATCAACGAAAAACTCAACATCTTTCCACATCACTTAAACAACGAAAAACATTATTGGTAGATGATCCGAATGCAAAAAAATTGATATTCGAAAAAAATGTCTCTAGATTCAGTATACTAGATAATCGGATATTTTCGGATTATAATGATAATGATGATAATCGACAACAATTAGATGATCTTCCTCAAATATGGCTAGCATCATGTTTTGACGAGAACTGTAGCCAATTTATATTAGCAGGATTTGAAAAATATTTTCAACAATAGTATCTTTATTTATGTTTGTTTATGTTTTTTAATTCTTGTTTCAAAAATTTATTAAGTTTTATAATTTGATAATAAATATTTATTTTTTTTCATTCAAAAACGTCTTTTATGATGAGCACCCGCTAATATTTTATTGATTTGACGCGCTCTCGCGTGTTTTCCAATTTTTATAATTTCATCAGGTTTTTTATTTATTTTTTTGGTTTAATTTATCGGACAAAAAAATATGGCTGCCGGTCCGATTGCTGAACGTAATCAGGATGCTACCATCTATGTTGGTGGTCTTGATGAAAAAGTTAATGAAAGTATTTTATGGGAATTATTCGTACAAGCTGGTCCTGTCGTCAATGTTCATATGCCTAAAGATCGAGTAACAAATCTACATCAAGGATATGGTTTTGTTGAATTTATGTGCGAAGAAGATGCAGATTATGGAATAAAAATAATGAATATGATTAAACTTTATGGTAAACCGATTCGTGTGAATAAAGCATCGGCACATCAGAAAAATTTGGATGTTGGTGCAAATGTTTTCATCGGTAATCTTGATCCAGAAGTGGACGAAAAACTTTTATACGATACGTTTTCTGCTTTCGGTGTCATTCTTCAAACACCGAAAATTATGCGTGATCCAGAAACGGGAAATTCAAAAGGTTATGCATTTATCAATTTCGCCAGCTTTGAAGCATCAGATGCTGCTATCGAAGCAATGAATGGTCAATATCTTTGTAATAGGCCCATAACAATAAGTTATGCATTCAAAAAAGATGCTAAAGGTGAACGTCATGGTTCGGCTGCCGAAAGATTGTTGGCTGCACAAAATCCATTAGCTCAGGCTGATCGACCTCATCAATTGTTTGCCGATGCTCCACCAACGGCGCCGACAACTGCAGCTGTTCCTGCACCAATGTTGACGCCGATGATGGTTCCACCAGCTGCACCTTCAGCCATTCCAACTATGCCACCACCACCGCCAGTCAACATGTATTATCATGGACAAGATGATCCAGCCGCAACAATGAATATGATGGCCATGAACATGCTGAATTGGCAACATGGTCTTCCGGCAGCAATGCCTCCACCACCTCCGCCACCACCTCCTCCTATGATTAATCATCATCCACATTTGGTTCCACCTCCTCCACCACCACCTTTGCCATTTCCTGGGGCAAACATACATGGATTTGGTGTGCCACCACCACCTCCTCCTGGTCAATAATCAAAATTAACAACTAAAACTAAAAAGAAATTAATTTTGTAAAGAATAGGTTTTTATTCACAAAATTCATTGTAATAACATCATGCAAAAAATTACAAATTCCAATAATTGCACACATTTAAAACAACTCATAATAAATTCTTTGCCAAAAATATCTATGCTTTCACAACACCTTCGGCACGATTTTGTTGTAATGCTTGTTCAAACAATTCATCAAACATATCCGGTTCACATCGTTGTTTCGTTTCGAATCGATCAGTGTTATTATTTCTACGACTTTTCTCATAGTTCTCCATCTGTATAAATTCAAAAAAAAAAATTAAATCAAAATCTTTGATTGATTCAAAAATTACCTTGTCAAATAATTCAATGACAACGGAATCATTATCCAATTCGTTCATATTTTTACCGGTAATCGTTTCAAATAGTTTACGAGGTGATTTAAAGTCACATAATTTTTTCGAAAAAAACTACAAACAAATTGTTAGGCTTTGGATGAAAATTTGATTCAAAATTTTTTCTTACAAATCTCACCTTACAAATGTTGACACAATCTCTCCATAAAAATCTGAATGCCATTGGATGTGTAGTTCTAACTGCTTGCGATACATCGATACACCATAATTTATTCTCATGCCATAATAGATTGTATTCACTTAGATCGGCATGAATCATATCACATTCTTTGTACATTTTTATCATCATTTTTTCGATTTCAGTCCAAATTCTAATGAATAATTCTTCGGAAAATAATAGGTTTTTAATTGTTGGTGCAGGACGACCTTCACGACCAATAAACGTCATGATTAGGATATGTTTTTTCAAGTGTACAACTTCTGGACAGGGAATTCCAAATTTACGTAATCGATTCTAATTAATTTTATGGAATGATTTTTAATATTAAATTTTAAAGTATTTTGTTTTTAAATTACCAAATTGTGCATCTCTTTTTCTGCCCACAAAGGTATTGTTAATTTTGGATTTTGTTTGGATAGTTTCCCGGTTTGTTCAAGAATAGGATCACCAATAATATATTGGATACGATCACGAAATTCGGTGATTGTTGTTTTGAAAACCTTAACAGCAACCTCACCCAATGGAATACCTTTTTCAATATTTTGTCCAATAGCATGAATAACTACCGATTCTTTACCGGTAGCAATAATACCATTCATCGTTTCCAAAGTGCCAGCATTGATCAATTTAAATAATAAAATTCTGCTTTTAGCATCAACAGCTTTTTCTGCTGATGATTTTTCTTTTTTCTCATGCAATCGAGCCATACGTTTTCCTTCACTAATACTATGAACTTTTAATGCATTGTATACATTATTTGATAGTTTCATTGGAAATCCACCACCATCACCAGTTCGTATATCGCTTTCAAATTCCATTACCTTACAGGCATTACGACATTTGTTCAATTCAATATCATGTTTAGTGGTTACTTCACCGTTTTTTGCCACAACATAACCTTGTTTACCAATTTTTGGTGCTTGTTTTTCTTTTTGTTCGAAAAAATCCCAATGTTTCGATTCTTCACCATATTCATGATGAATTTCATCATCCAGATCAGAATCGCCAAGATCTTCATCGCGTATACGGCGTAATTTTTCAAATGATAATTGTACTTTAGAATTGGCATTGTATTGTTTTTCTTCCAATTTTAACATTCGATCATGTTCAAGATCAAGTTCATGTTGTAATAATTTGGCCAACATTTCATCATTTGAACAATCAAATTCTTTGGCATCTTTATTCGATGGGCTTCTGTCTTCGGATAGGATTTGATTAACAACAGATTCATCGTCGGAAAAACTTTGATGGGCACTCAAATCTAGTGCCAATTGTTCGGACATGATATCATTGAATGAAATTGATTGTTGTTGTTGTTGCTGATGTGGTGATGGTAATGTTTCAATCGATGTTGATGATTGTTGATCTTGTTCGATCGAATTTTGACTTACCAATTCAGACCAAGTTTTAGGCATTTTTTCGGAGGGACAAAATAATTTTAAATATAAAAACAAACAGACTACAATTGATAAAAATCAATAACAAAAGGTATTTATATATAATCTTAGCAGCCACTCAATTACATCAAAACATTAAAACAACAATGATCATCAATAAAAAATGATGAAAACGTTGTTCTTACGTAATTTCGTACAGTTCAACAAATAATGAGCCAAATGTAAAGCAAAAGTAACAGAAGAAAATGTACGTATTTAATACGAAAAATGCAATAATGATGAAAAAAACATTTTAGAATAATCGATTATATCGATTATTTCGTTCGTTAGATTTTTTCGAAAATTTAATTTTTATTCAAATTTTTTTAAAGTATTTTTTTCCAAAGAATCATTGTGGAGACATGCAAATTTTTTTATAAAATTTTATAGTCAAATGAAAGTTTAAAATAAACAATTGAATGTATTTAAATTTCGTAATGAAAAATAATCGACCACAGCTAAAACCGAATTTATTGTTAGGCATTGTCTGTATGAATAGATTCAATTTTATTAGATATCGTAAATAAGCTTGAGAAAATCGACGATTAATTGCTTTATTTTTGATCGATGATGATAACCATTGAAATTTAGCTAACCATTGCGATATTAAACGTGCACTACGTTGATTATATAATGGCAGATTCGATACAGATTGATACAATCCAGTTGTATAGAAAAACATTGATAATAAACCTGGTATGATGCAAAGATTAAATAAATTCATTTGTAATTGACGGCTGGTAAATAAACAGGCCATTATAATCGATGATTTGGATATCATTTCATCATAAACAAAATATGGACTAGCTGTACGATTAACTTTCGTAACATCGGCATATTGTTTAACATATTCAAACTGTTGTCGAGATAGAAATAAAATTGAATTCTGTATGAATGAAATTGAATGATGATCAGTACCAAATGAATTATAATTTCTAAGTAATTTTAATGATGAAAAGAATTGTTTGATTTGTACTTTGGAAAATTCCACAGACACAACAATGAAATTCATCGCTCTGAACAATTGACCCATCATGAAGATAATATGTATGAGTAATGCTAGATATCCAAAAAATGTCAAAATCAATTGGATCAATGTGATCTGATTGATATTGAATAAATGAACAGAATAGTGTACAAATATCGGATAAGAACATAGGATTACAATCGCAGAAATTTGATGACAAATTGTCGACAATATTGTAGTTATTGCATAAAAATTGATGAGATAATTATGAAATTTTGGCTGTAATTTATTATCATCATAATCAAAATTTGATGACCAGAAATTATTCCATGTAAATCGATATCGTAATGTTTCTTTGAATGTAAAAATCCACATCCATTCAAGTATCAAAAAAATGATAATCATTTCGTTCAACAATAAATCCAATCGATCGATTCCAAATATTTTTTCAATATGTTTAATTGAAATTAATGTTTCATCATTGGTTAAAAACATAAGAAAAATAATCGCTGTCCAAGCATTCAATGTATACCATATTGCATGACGAAATGTTTGATAATTGTATGGTATTTTACGTTGTTCATAATCGAACATTGTAAATTCCATACGTGTACCAAAATAATTCCAACATTGAAAACCTTGTTTAAATATATGACCAATTCGTATGTGATATTGTTGACTTTTTAGATAATATTTAATTAAAAATAAAGGTATCTTCATTGTAGTAACAATTGTTTGTTAGTAAGAATTTAATTTTTCACAATATTTTTTTTTCTTGAAATAGATATAAGAAAATTTATCAACAGAACTTTATCGAAGAGATTTTTTTTTTTGATTGTCAAAATTTCTTTAGATATATTCATTATATATAAAAAAATCGAAAGCCAATTTTCACCAGAAGTTAAAACCAATTATTTTTTGTTCGTATGAACTTTTGGTAAGTAGATATCGTCATGGTAATACATTATTTGCATAAAAAATCGAAATTTTCAATGATTATTTTAAAGAAAAAAAAAACATTCTAAGACAAAACAAATTCTAATTCCAAGCCGAAAGCTTGCTATTTCAAATTATTGAAATTGTAACAAAACTTAGATATGGAAATAAAATCGATTCATTTTATTAAAAAAAATATTACATAATAATTCAGTAACGTAATGTTTTTTTCAGATTCCATTGTCATATTGAAAAAAAATGTTAATTTTCATAGAACTTTATGAATAAAAGGATCGAATTGATTCTGACTGGATAACAAATCAATATATATTACGAAAGATTGCTGTCATCTATCAATAATGTAATGGTAAACATTAATTATTTTTAAAAAGAACAATATCTTTATTATCGTCAAGCAAATAGTTATTCATTTCAAACAAATTCTTTTATAAAATTTGATCAATAAAAGAAAATTTAATATGAATAATTGTATATAACGAAATTTGGTGATGAAAAAAAATCGACCACAACTAAAACCAAATTGATTGTTAGTCATTATTGTTATGAATAAATTTAATCGAATTAAATATCTTGATATAATCGAATGATTGATTCGATTTGGATCAATTATTTTCGTCGATGTATTCAATTGTGATCGAGCAATCCCTACGAAAATCGATCGTACACAACGTTGATTATATGATGGTAAACGAGAAGCACGAGAATATAGTCCACTTGTGAAACAAAATATGACCATGAATGCGATAACACAAAAATAACTATTCAAATTCATAAAAGTTTGTTGACTATAGAATATTACACCAATGATGATAGATGATTTTGATAGAAATTCATCGACTGCAAAATGTGCACTTGTTGTTCGATTCAGTTTTGATGTTTCGGCATAAAGTCTAACATATTTCGATTGAAAACGATTCCAGATTAAAGTATTTGTTGCTTTGAATAGACTCAATTTTTTTTGCTTTTGTTTGATGTTCAAAATTCTTTCAGTCGATGAAAATAATTGCTTCAATTGTAATTCGATGAATAACATTGTGAATATTAAAAAATTTGTAATAATGGCAATTTGACTCATCACATATGTTGCAAAAATAATTGTTATGAAGAATCCCGGAAAAGTAATGATCATTTGAACTAACGTTACTTCATTCTTTTGGTAAATTTCAATGCAGTTGTAAACGAATACAATGTATAGAATTAAATATATTACAAAGTACGCTCGAATTAAAATGAATGCCATGCTTTTAGTCATTGAATAGAAATTTATCAAAAATAAGCGAAATTTTGGGCAGAATCTATCGTTAACCATTAACGAACTGTTTGCTACACAACATTCGGTCAATGAACATTGATAAGAGATGACCTTCTTAAATGAATATAGCCAAAAACATTGAAAAACACAAAACATCATCACCAATGTAATTAGTACAAGATCAAATCGTTGTACTTCGAACGTTTGCTCAAATTGTTGTAAGGAAACGATATAATCATTTTTAAGCCAAATAATGCTTGACGCATAGACAAGAATAGTAAAGAATTGGATTGAATTTATCCAAATTGAATGCTTAATTGTTCGAAATGACAAATTGATTTGCCGATTTTTATAATCAGATAGAGAATATTCTAATCGTGAATTGAATAATTTGAGATAATCAAAATTTTCAATAAAAATTGATGCAATATCAGGTTTACGATGTGATCGAATAAACAATATATTTTTGATGATACCCATATTCAGTTTAAAATGGAAAAAAATAGAATAAAAGATCAATGAAACGAAGTGTACAAGTAACAAAGACCAAAATTCTAATGGCTCAAAATTGACAGCAACAAAAAAAAATGTCAAAACGTTAATGAACGCAATTCGAATTAAAAAATCTAATTATCTGAGTGGTTTAAAGTATATAGAAATTGTCAAATATTTTTTTGCCAGATCATAAATAAAAGGAATGGAAAAACACGACATATCATAGGATTCTTTGTTTTTTTTTATAATTAATGTTTCAATAATTTTTGTACGTTGAGAAATTACCAAATAAAAAAAACAAAAATATTGTCATTACAAGATAATTGATTAATGATTCTAAATTAATGAAGCTAAAAAGTTAAAATGAATAAGTGGAAAAAAGAATGGAAAAAAGTTGAATTTAAAAAAAGATAAAATTTTCCCTCAATTAAATGACGCATGGTAGCGGGGTGTATTTTAATGAAACACTTGAATAACAAATCAATCGTGCCGTTATATTCTGAAAGAAAAAACGTTAATTATTAAAAAAAATAGCCTTCAACAAATTAAAAAAGAAGAATAATATCTTTATTATCGTCAAGCAAATAGTTATTCATTTCAAACAAATTCTTTTATAAAATTTGATCAACAAAAGAAAATTTAATATGAATAATTGTATATAACGAAATTTGGTGATGAAAAAAAATCTACCACAACTAAAACCAAATTGATTGTTAGTCATTATTGTGGTGAATAAATTTAATCGAATTAAATATCTTGATATGCTCGAATGATTGATTCGATTTGGATCAATTATTTTCGTCGATGTATTCAATTGTGATCGAGCAATCCCAACAAAAATCGATCGTACACAAAGTTGATTATATGATGGTAAACGAGAAGCACGAGAATATAGTCCACTTGTGAAACAAAATATGGTCATGAATGCGATAACACAAAAATAACTATTCAAATTCATAAATGTTTGTTGACTGTAGAATATTACCCCAAGGATGATAGATGATTTTGATAGAAATTCATCGACTGCAAAATGGGCACTTGTTGTTTTATTCAATTTTGATGTTTCGGCATAAAGTCTAACATATTTCGATTGAAAACGATTCCACATTAAAGCGTTTGTTGCTCTAAATAATTTCAATTTTTGTTGTTTTTGTTTAATTTTCAACATTGTTTCAGTTGATAAAAATAATTGCTTCAATTGTAATTCGATGAATAACATTGCGAATATTAAAAAATTTGTAACCATGGAAATTTGACTCATCACATATGTTCCATAAATAATTGTTATGAAGAATCCTGGAAAAGTAATAATCANTTGGATTAACGTTACTTCATTCTTTTGGTAAATTTCAATGCAGTTGTAAACGAATACAATGTATAGAGTTGAATATGTTACAATGTAAGCTCGAATTATAATGAATGCTAAACTTTTAGTCATTGAATAAAAATTCAACAAAAATAAACGAAATTTTGGACAGAATCTATTATTAATCGTAGGCGAACTGTTCACTACACAACAATCGGTCAATGAACATTGATAAGAAATAACCTTCTTAAATGAATATAGCCAAAAATATTGAAAAACGCAATACATTACCACCATTGTAATTATTACAAGATCTAATCGTTGAAATTCAAACGTTTGTTCATATTGTTTTATGGAAATTAGATAATTATTTTCCGGCCAAATAATCATTAACGAATAGATAAGAGTAGTCAAGGATTGAATTAAATTTATCCAAATAGAATGTTTAATTGTTTGAAATGACAAATTGATTTGACGATTTTTATAATCAGATAGAGAATATTCTAATCGTGAATTAAATAATTTGAGATATTCAAAATTTTCAATAAAAATTGATGCAATATCGGGTTTTCGATGTGATCGAATAAACAATATATTTTTGATGATACTCATATTCAGTTTGTTCTCGATTAACCCAAAAAAAAGAGAATAAAATATTAGTGAAACGAATTTTGCAAGTGACAAAGACAAATATTCTAATGGTTCAACATTGACAACAATGTCAAAATCATAATGAAAGCGATTCTGACAACAAAAAAAAAGAAGTTCCTATTGTATCTGAGTGATTTAACTGGAATCCAGAAATAGTCAAAAATTTTGAAACAGAAATGAAAGAAATTGATGGTTACCATAATTTATTTTTTATTTTTTGCATTTGAAAACTGCCAAATAAAAAAAATAGACATGTCGTTATTACATTATAATTGATTAATGATTCTATAGATTGATGAATAAAATTTATGAAACTGAAAAGTTAAAATGAAAAGTTGTTGTTTTTCTCTCGACAATGATGAAGAAAAAATAATTTCTGTTCAACCAAATCCAAAATAACTTTTTTTTTACTAATGAATAGGTACCAAGAACGATAAAAAAGTTGAATTTTAAAAAAATATCCCATTAATTAAATGACGCATGGTAGCTGGGTGTATTTCAATGAAAAACCTAAAATTTGAAATGATTCAATTATATTTTTATCTTTAAAATTCAATGAAATGAAAAATTACCTGATTGTGAATTGATTGCATTACTAAAATGATCTCCATTTGATCTTACTCGTAATTGAAATGGTTTTGAACGAGCTAAATATTAAAAATTTTCAAGATGAAAATGTTTCAAAAGTTAACAATTTAAAACTTACAGATGATGAAATCATGTTCGAGTAATCGAGAACCACAAAAACGATCTTCACCTTGTCCGGTACCTTCCAAAGAACCTTGATCGATACCAATAAAATCATCAAAATTACATTGAACACCACTGGCACCATTTTGACATCTATGAATGTATAAAGAATCCTTATCGATTGTTGGATTCTTATCCAATACAGCATCTTCACGATTTTCGGCTATTTTCAATGAATTTTCTGTTTTTGTTGATGGTAATATTGTAGCCATCATGACAGATGGCGAAGTAGTTTCCAAATTTTCATTTGATTCGTATATAATTTGTGTGGATGTCAAATTTATATTCGGTTCGCCATCTTCGGTTTTTCCTTGCATTCCAAAGAATGGAAATGGTTGAGCACAATCAGTATATTCATTATCTTTGCCTTCATATGGTGCACCAAACATAAACATTCCCGGATTTTCCGTTTCCCATTTGATTGCACAGAAATTCTCTTCATTACGAATACAAGTTGTATAACGTAGATTGGCTAAATATCGTGCACGATATTCAATCTAAATGAATTATTGAAATACAAAAAAAAATGACAATAAGCAATTCGGTCAGATTAATAACCGTAGTCACATACTTTAGGTCCAAAATTAAAACTACGTATAACATCAGTAGCCGATCGATAATATTGTAAACAACCGGAAGGAGCCATATCCAAACTATTACAAGTGATCATGTTGATTTTGATTTTCCATTTACGTAATGCATGAATACCATTTGTTACAATTGATAATACTACCGGATTTTTACTACCTTGTCCCATATCAATATAAACTATTGAAGAAAAAAAAAATTAATTATTTACAATTATCTAAAATGGAAATTCAAACAAATTCAACATACTATGTTGGCCAGCATTTTCACCACAAATAATTGGTAAGCGTTCACCGACTGTTGTACGAACCATAAACGAATCGGTCGTACAAAATCCATTCTCATCCGGTTGAGATAAGGAAAATTCTTCAAAATCTAAAAAAAATTCAATTCATTTTAAAAAAACTCGACCCAAACAACATTAAATACAAACCCAATCGTAATTGGCAGATATTGTCCAATTTTTTAATGGTCACCTGACAAGTATTAGTTTCATTTTCAAAGCTTGGATATTGTTTATTAACAAAAAATGTTTCATTCTGATTAGTTTCACCACCGCAAGTAAATTTGAATGAACAACAAGCCGCAAAACCGTTTGCACATCGACCAATAACGGCACCTTTACGATTTAAACATTCACTCTGTATGAAATAATAAAAATAATTTAAATTATAGAAAACAGAAAAAAATAATCAATCGCTTACCTCGTAAAGACAGAGACCAGTCTCTTCATTTTCACCATCACAAGCAGTATTCTGATATCGGATGGCTGAAAATATTCCCGGTAATGATATTGGCCGTAATTGACATTCACCATAATCGACTAGTTGTACCAAAATGATTATAATAATGGTGATAAAAAATGTCCACAATTGAAAATGATGCCTACACGATAACAGCATCATTTTATCGATTATTATTCAATATGTTTTGTTAATATCGATTAAATGAATTGAAGGCAAAAAAACTGAAACAAGAACAATGAATTACTTTCGTACGAAAAAAAAGGAGTAATATCAAGAATCAATGATGATGGAGAACAAAAGTCCTTTTTCTTGTTTTCTTTATCGTTTAAATTTGAAAAGCAAAAAAAAAAATGAGAGAAAGAATGTAACGATGATGATGATGTTTAATCAATGAATCGATCATGAATCGTAGAACAAATCTCTATCTTTTCTTTGCCACACTATGATCAACTGGTTACTATCATCATCATCATCATCACTAACAACAGCCATATTGGATGGGATTTTCTTCTTCTTCTTCATCTTCTTCTTGCAGATGATCATTCTGAATGTTAAATGTTGTCTATTCTAGTTTCATCGATCGATAAGAAAAAAAAGTATTTTCAAGTCAACCAGGAAATCACCATAATCATTTTATATTTGGGATGCTGTGTGTGTGTGTGTGTGTGTGTTTAGGATTCGCCCAATCATACTAGGTGCAGTATACAAACAACATTGGCAATCGAAGGAAAATCCAGTTTTCAACATTGTATGATTATTATCCGACCAACAAAAAAAAATCATTTATAATCATATTACCGAAAACAGACGATAAATAATTTCAACATTACAAAGGTCACTGTATGTTTATGATGATAATGAAATAGTAATAGAGAAAAAAAAGTAATAACCACTATTGCTGAACAAGTTTGTTTCGATAAGGTGTTTTTTCACCGAAAAAGATGATGCTTTCAAGCAAAAAAAAAAACATTTGAAAAGACTAGAATCATTTATTACTTGATGTAATAAATTTGGTATTTTTTTCCCCACTAATGTCAACGTCTTGGTATGATTCTTTGACCTTTTTTGATCTTGAAATTCATGTTCAGATTGATTGTGTGTGTGGGGGGAAGGAATGCAAATTCATTTGGTGCATGAATAACCTGAATTTCTTTTTTTCTCATGACGGAAATATGTAGATCAAAATGAGATTGGTCATTTCGAATGATTTGAAGTAGATTTATGATTTGAATTTTATGTTTATATGAACGGGTACCATCATCATTTTTCATTATGATCAACATTAAAAAAAAGATGAACCGGTCTTTGTATTTTTTATCATCTCTTTTTCATCCAACTAGCTTTGATCTTGTTCTTTCTTCATCCGTTTGATAGAGGAAATTTTTTTTTGTAAAGAAGAAGGAAAAAAATTTGTCCACTATAAAAAGCTCGTTCTATATTCTTACGATTGGTCAATCTTTCTAAAATAACTGTCCAGTGTCAATTCAAACAATAATTTTTTCCTTTGTAATTTTCTTGTTTAGTTTTTTTTTGTTCACATCAAACAAATAATTTCGGCTATGTTCAATAGTTTTATTCTGAAATTCATATGAAATTAATATTTTAAAAATAAAATTCATTCATCAAATTAAATTAAATTAAATTAAATCATCAAATTAAATAAGAAAATAATCAAAATAAAATAAAATGGTAATTACTTCTTACATCTTTTAATTGATTATTGGATATTTAATCCATTCGATTGATTTATATTTAATTGATTATGTTCAAAATAGTTTCGTATCAGCTTGTTATTGGTACCATTGGCAATCGCTACCGTTGTCTATAGTCAAGGATCATTTCGACCACCATCAATTCCGGCTATAATTGCCATTCTTCGTTACCAGAATAGTCCATGTACTACCGATTCAAATACACCGGGTACTTGTTTAGCTCAAAATGATTGTTTAGCAAGACAAGGTACACCTGATGGTACATGTGCTTCAGGTTTTGCATCATGTTGTAATTTTAAATTTACATGTGGTGGACGTACTAAAGAAAATGAAACAATTTTTGTCAATCATTTGTATCCAAAAACTGATAACGGAACAAATACCTGTCAGGTTACCATTGATAAACAACCAAATGTTTGTCAACTACGATTAGGTAATCATTCGATGAATCAATTTTAATATTTTTTAAAACTTAAATGTTTGGAAATGTTTAATTTAAATTTATTTACTGTAATCAATTTTCTTCATTCATATGGACTAAAGATTTCGAAGAATTCTCTTTGGCTCAACCGGATGAAAATGGTCAATGTACAACTGATTCGTTTATGGTACGTACCACTGTTGGAGAACGATTGCCAATTCTGTGTGGTGAAAACAATGGTCAACATCTTTATGTCGATATGGGTCGTGGTTCAGCCAATCCAGTTGTCTTATCTGTAGTCACCAATGGTGATATGATTGGCCGTAAATGGAAAGTCAAGATTAACATGATTCCATGTAACAATTTGGATATGGCACCATCAGGATGTTTACAATATTTCCGATCACCATCGTCTGTTATTCAAAGTTTCAACTATGGTTTGCCAGTACGTGGACAAATGATCCTTTTTTTACCAATTTCATTTTGTTAATTTGATCTGCAATTTTTTAAAAAATGATTTATTTAGATGGAAGGTCGTGCCCGATATTTATCTAATCTACGATACACAGCCTGTGTTCGTGTTGAAGAAAATTTCTGTTCAATCAAATGGGAAACCGAAATTCCCGGTTCATTTTCATGGGGTGCCCCATATGAAGGAAATCTTACAGCTCGTGGTGCTAGCGGTGGTCTTTGCAATGTTGATGATTTTATCGGTATCGATCAAGGAAGTGCCGAAGGTAGCGGACCAGGTGAAGATCGCCTTTGTGGTACTAAACTCTTACAAGATGATTATGTTATTTGTAAGTATTTTTTTATATATTCTTTTATTGATTAATATGTAAAAAAAATGCAAATTCAATTTAAATCAAATTTTTTCTTCTATCAGCTCGATCAAAACCATTCCAACTTAAAGTACGATCAAATAGTGATCAAAAATTGAATGCCGAAAATTCTCAACATGGTAAGTAGTTTATTCACTTTAATATTATTTTGCCATCATGTATTTCGTGATGACCGATAATAGCGTTAAGCTCAATGACCTCATCTTGAAATGTTAAATCTTCATATGACCCTTCACCCACCATGTAAACAGTTATTTCTGACAATGATAATAATCTAAGAATTATCATTTTAAATTACATAAGTCAAACCTGAATGTTTTTTATAGAAAAAAATATATAAATCCGGATCCACCTTGATAATTTTCAATGATAAAGATAACTTTAATTAATTTTTCTTTAAATTCCTTCTTTTCTCCTATAGGTTTCAGTCTTCGTTATGTTCAACTTCCTTGTGTGATTTAATCTTCTCAAGCTCTTCTCTCTTTTCAAATTTTCATTCGGATCTTTATAACACCAGCAAATTTTCTATTCCTTTTTTTCGAAACATCAATCAAAATATACCCTCTATTTCCTTCTGAATGTTATCATCATCACCAAATCACTAAAATATTATTATAGCGAATAACAAAACAAAACAAGGATTTGACCTAACCTTCTTTTTTTGCATCGATCGAATCGAATGAAAATGCACTTGGAAATATTTCTTTGAACTTCAAAATTCATACAACAATAAATAAAACAAAAAAATAATTTTACGAGCTTATTATTATTATGGCCATCATAATCATCAATAGAATGAGGTTGAATTTTGATGATGGCGCCCATCGACAATAATTACCATTCGTTCTGTACATACATTGGAATATATAACTTTGACATTGAACTTGAAAAAAAAACAAAATTTGGAAAAAAATCTTTTCCACCTTTTCCAAGCCCACCGCTGCCGTAAAACCAAAACTTTTACAAAATTTATTGATGATATAACGGAAATAATTTTCTCAAAATTACCATCATCATCAACTTCATCATCATATTTCACACACAAACATTTTATTTATCTAAATCATATGAATCTCTAAATTATTTATATTTATTTATTTATTTATATTACAAAATAAAGGATGAGAACATTAAATTGAACATTTTTTTTTCTTATGAGAATTTTGAATTATCTTAATTATCAAAAATTAAACTGAAAATATTTTGAAAAAAAACCAAGAAATTGATATGAAGAAAATTCAAGATTATTCTACAAATCAAAATAACCCAAATTTGTTATGTAATGTTGAAAGTTACTGTCATCATTGTCGACAGGTAATTAAAATTCAATCCTGAAATAATGGCCATTAACCGTGAACTAGAAAAAAAAAGAATATAAATGCGTGTGTCAAACTAGTTTCAAACATCTTTTTAATCTTTGATTGGGTTTTTTTTTTGTTGCATTTTTCATATTCAAATAAAGAACAACATTGAAAATGTATTTAAAGCGAAAGAGACAAGAAAAAAATACCAAAAATGGGTTCATCATGCGATGGCAAGAGATAACCTTCGAACAGCTAGCTAGGGAGAGAAAAAAAAACTCCAATGAATAAATGAATTTTTTTTTCATCCTTAATCAACTTTTCTACTCATTTCTTCATGTCAAGATTCCATCGTATAGTTCCAGTCAAAATTTATGCGGTTAGTGACCCATTACTTCCGTACTAAAGATAATTTTTTTCCCTTATATATTATTTCAATATTTTGATTCAGATTGGTTTTTTAGTTCGAGTTGATTGGGTAGGTTAACCGAAACATATATATATGAAAGATGTAACAACTAGTTTGAAATAATCATAACGATTAAAATGTCAGTTGAGAAAATAAAAAAAAAACGAAGAACAGGAACCAAAAGTACTGGTAAGAACAGGTGAAAATCAATCTTGTTTCTTGTTTTTTTTATTTCATGGATTTTTATTTAAAAAAAACTGGGTACTAAAATAAAAAACAAAAAGAAAAAAAAAATCTGCTCAAAAAATAATAATTAAAACTACCATTCAAAAGTCTTCTTCTTCGTCATCGTCGTCTTCATTAAAGTTTTGTAGATCAGCGAGCAAAAGACTATCATAATTGAGATTCTCGTTGTTTTCTGTTTGATGTTGTGTCGTGTTAGTCGTCATCGTTGTTGTTGTTGGCCATAGTCAAGTTTTGATCATCATATTTGTTCGATCATATCGAATCATAAAACACTGGATTACAAACATAAATATAAAACGATAAACAGTTACGTCATAGAAAAAAAATCAATCAATCAAAAAAAAATGTTCCTTAATCATCTGATAATTACGTTGACTATTGTTACCATCGGCCTTGTGAAACATTCGGAACAAACAGATGCAACAGCAAGACAATTCTGGCGACCAGGTTCCGGAATATTCAATACATTACGTTTACAGAATACACCATGTTCGGCTGAAAGTGGTGAAGTTGGTACATGTATGTCAGAATCTGATTGTAAAACTCGACAAGGTTTCAGTGTAGGAACATGTGGCCGTAGTGGTTTGGTTTGTTGTAATATGAAATTTACTTGTGGTGGTAAGACAGCCAAAAATGAAACATTATTTGTTAATCCATCATATCCGGCCGGTGAGAATGGTACGAATACATGTCAGGTGACCATTCAAAATAATCCGGGTGTTTGTCAACTTCGATTGGGTAATGTTAACGAATGAATTTTGTTGAAATGAATAAATTTTAATGAAAATTTTTATTATTATTCACATCTCATTAGATTTGGAAGAATTTTCGTTGGCTCAACCGGATGAATATGGCCGTTGTACTAAAGATTCTTTCATGGTTCGTACAACTGTTGGTGAACGATTACCAATGCTTTGTGGAGATAATAAAGGTCAACATCTATATGTTGATATGGGTCGTGGTTCAGCTAATCCAGTCGTATTGTCCGTTATTACCAATGAATTGGAAAATGTTAGCCGTAAATGGAAAATTAGAATCTCATTCATCAAATGTGACAATTATGTTATGGCTCCGTCCGGTTGTTTACAATATTATCGATCACCATCCGATGTGATCCGTTCATTCAATTATGGACCAAAAGTATTTTGTTTAATTTGACTTGATTTTAATCAAATAATCTATATAAATTATATTTCTAGATTGATGGTCGATCCCGATATTTAGCTAATTTACGATATACAACCTGTATTCGTGTCGAGGAAAATTTCTGTGCAATTAAATGGACAACCGAAACACCGGAATCATTTTCATGGGGTATTTCCAATGATCCGATGTATACGTCACAGGCAAACATTAGTTCATATGGATTGACTGGATCATTATGTAATGATGATGATTTCATTGGCATTGATCAAGGTTCACAAGAAGGAAGTGGTGTCGGTGAAGATCGATTCTGTGGTGATCGATTATTTTATAGTAATTTGGTCATTTGTAAGTCATTACTAATTATTGTTGATGTTTTTTTTTTAATTAATTTTAATTCAATTATCAATCAATTCTAATTATAGCTCGATCAAAACCATTCCAATTGAAATTACGTTCAAATAGTGATCAAACGGAAAATGCTCGATTTTCACAGAATGGAATAGCGCTTCGATATACACAATTACCATGTGTAAACTGATAAAGTGATTCGATTAGAAAGCGATGAATGATTTCGATGAATTTCAAATCAACAATCAAATAAAAAAAGATTTTCACTGACAAAACACACACACACACACATATACCAACACTAATAGGGAAGTAATTAAACAAAAAAAGAAAAGAAAAGAAAAGAAATTCTTTTATTAATCGAAAAAATTATATGATTTAATAATTTACTTACCGATTCAAATTACCGAAAAATTAAAGCCTGAATTATTTATTTATTTATTTATTTATCATTCATATATGACAGAATATTCTTGACGAAAAAATAAAATCAAATAAATTATTTTTTGTTTAGAAAATTTTTCATTTTTTAACCAAAATTTTTCATCTGTCTGCAATAATGTTGATCATTATTGATAATTATTGGCTTTTCCTGTTTAATTCAATGATTTCCTTTATTTATTTATTTTTTTCTCATGTTAAATTTATCAACAAACCATATCATAGCTAAAATCAAAAAAATGCGACAAAAGAAAAACATTGATAAATCAGGATGTTGTTGTTATCATTATCGTTGATTTGATTTGGCTTCTATATCAGTTTATTATTTAGAGAAACATGATACAATTTTCATGATTACAGCATAGAAAATTCAATGGAAGAGTGATTTAAAAAAAGTTTGAAAGTTCAGAAATGGTTGTTATTATTTTTTCTTGTTCTTGTTGGTTAATGGTTGAAAAACGAATGTGATATAACTAAAATTTTCAAACAATGTTATGGCCTAATGTTGAGACCTTAGATTATTATCATGGTCGTTTGGATCGCTTACAAGCGGAAAAATTTCTCACTCATGATGGACAATTTTTACTTCGTTATACCGTACAACGAGTGAATGATAATGAACAAAAATTATTGGTTCTATCCTGTCAACATCGTAATCAACATTTACATTTTATAATTCATGAAATCATCACTCAAGATGTTGGATGTCGAAGATTTTATTTTGAAAATAAATCATTCGCATTGGTGTCCGATTTAATTAGCTACTATGTGATTAATCGTATTCCAATAACCATCGAATCCGGTGCTATCATTATTGAGCCGATTGATTGTCGTTTAGATTGCCGAATGATCACAGCAATTCAATTGAATGAATCAAATAATAATCAATCGACATCGACATCGATTATCAATGTTTTACTTGAACATGATGCTGAATTTTTGGCCAAACAACTACTCAAAAGTAATATTCGATTCATAATGAATAAATGTAAAGTTGCCGGAATAAATGAATCAATTTGTTCGGGTCTTGAATTGATGTTGTTACCCGAAGGAACACAGCTTCGAAAAGATCTAATTATTCGACATGAATGTCTTAAATATTTTGTTATAACAACTATTCTAAAACAAACCGATCAATCCAAACAATTGGAATTGATACGAAAATGGATGGAAATTGCCGAACGATTAGAGAATAGCATACATGATCATTTTGGTTTCGGTTCAATTATGTTTGGTCTTTGTTTTCCACGAATTCAGGATTCAACAATGTGGAAAATTTTTGGACAGAAATATGGTGAAAATATTCGCATATTCGAAAATAGTCTTCGTATTAGATTCACCAATTATCTGAACAATTCACGAATTTCATCATCATCCAATACATGTTTGCCGTTTATTATTCAACTTTGCCATATTATTGAATATTCACATATTGTCGATACTAATTTTTTGCCCAAATTTATTGATGCAAAATTTGATGTAAGTCTGATTTATATGATTATATTTTGAATTTACCTGAATTTTATTTATTTCAAATGAAAAAAGCAATCATCACTTTTGGAATTTGATAAACAAATTGGCCTGAATAACTTTGGTTTGGAAGATATAATCGAACTAACTGAACTAAGTGATCAAATTATTAAAAATCTTGAACAATTCGATCATAATTTTCAATCAATAATTTTCCGATCAACTTCCAAACATCAACAAGTGGATACAAATGTTGATCAATTATTTCGTACAGATTTTCATGTACGATTTTTATTTGAAAATAAACATCAACATCGATCGATAAATGAAAAAATTAAACTAAATTCCGAAGATTTTTATCGTCTAGAATCAAGTTTGAATGATGATCATCAATTTGTTGGTTGTATGAAATCAAGAAATTTTATTTTATAAGTTTTAATGAATGAATGAATGAATGAATACTTTTTATGTGTTTGTGAATGGGTGGGTATTTGTGATTGATGTTTGGTTTTTGTTTACGGAACAAGGGTAACAAATTATACAGAAACAATCATGCACATTATTTGAATAATTTAAGAACATTTTGTATTATAAATAAATAATATTTGTATGTTAAGAAAAAAAAGAAAAAGAAAACAAAAATTAAAATGATCTTGAATAAGAATTACAGACCAAAGAATAATAATAATAATAATGATGATGATAATGATAATGGTGATGAAAAACGAAATGTCAATATATTGATCATAATTTTAATAATCAATAAATTTTGGATATTAAATGAACAAACAAAAAAAAAGAAAGAAAACAAATTGACATTCAATTATTCATCGTTCGCTAAGCGATGAGAAAGAAATGAGAGAAAAAAAGGAAGAAATAATTCTTTTCAATTAGAACAATTCATTCATCTTGATGATGATTCTATCCAAAAAAAAATTTCAGTGATTTTTGACTATTCAGTAATCGACGAATGACAATCAATTTCATCTACAAATGATGATTTGTTGTTGTTTGTTTATATTTTAAAGCTTTTTTTTATAAATATCCAGCACAAAATAAAAGTGAACGGATTCTCAGTATCGATGCGTGTGTGTTTTCAATGATAGAATGTTAATGAATGAATAATTATTTATCTGGTTTCTATGTTGTTTGGTATACAAAATGAAAAAAAAAACAAAACGAAAAAAAAAAACATTGCAATTTATAATTTTTTTTCTTGAAGTGAGTATTTTCCATTAATTAGTCTTTTTTCTGAAATATTTTCTCATATACCTGGTTTACTTTTTCATGTATATAATATAACAATGAATCATTATCGGAAATTTTGAAAAATTTATTCTGTAGGATTTTTTTTTCGTTGTCTATTGATTTGTTCTGTTATGTTTAGTTGTTGTATCTTTTTTTCTTGTATCGCTTCATTGGACATGTGAACTGTAATGTATAATTGAATATTTGTGACTGTCAAATAAAATGATCAACGAAATTCGTATACTTGGATCGAATTTTCTGGTATATGTTTGAGGTTTAACGATTGGAACCTATGTACGAAATACAAAAAAAAATGATGAGTATAATTTCTCAAATTTCGTAAAATGAATAGAATTTTACCATTCAGACTGTCTATGATAGTAATAACCTTCAATGGTTGCTTTCGATTTAGTAAAACAGATGTAATAGAAACCGGCAAAGCTGGCGCCATTAATATCCTGTGATCGTATTATGAAGAAGAATTGTATTAAATATATAAACCAAATAGATTGATTGATTTACTTACTTTTACCGTATGATCGGGTACAAGAAAATGTTCTTTCCACCTCATGAAAACATGATCAGTATTTTCCAATTGTTTATAATCGAAATTATCACAATTAAAATTTTTCGAATATTGTGCAAAACTTTCGAAACGGTTCCAATGTTTTCTGTGCATAAAATGAAATTTAAATAAATAAAATTGATTGCAAAAAAATCTACCAACCTATCAATATCTTCATCAGCTTCCCATTTTCTTGTCAAAAATGGATATTTTTCCGAAATGATTTCGCCATCGAAAAATGTAGTCAACGTTGGATATTCTTCAGTCAGACCTTTGATCATTAGATAGCCACAAAGGTATGAGTTGGATTCGTCAACATTCTATTGATAAAAAAAACAAAACATTAAAATACTGTTGCATTGACATTTGTCATTGATTATCGAATGTCATTCATACCTGAAAAATGACTTCGACTTCATATGAATTTCCTTTGGATTTTTGATAACCACCGAATTTCGATCCAGAAAATAACAACGAATGCGTGATGCCCAATTGTGATGAATGTACCAACGGTGATGGACAGAACAACGTGGGCTTGATCTTCGGTTTATTAACTGTCGATGTTGCTGTCGTCGATGATTTCATCATGCTATTATAATTGTTTACATCCGTGTTTTTATTAGGAAAATTGGCCTTCTCGTGACAACAATCATCTTCACAAATGCAATCACAATTATCATCAATATTGTGCAGCATTTGCTGACTGAATCCAGTTAAATTTGAACTGTATCGAACGGGCATAATATAATAATATTACCAAACAAATATAAACGATGTCGATGATTCGATTGGTGAACACCAATCAATTTTTATTTCAATCTTCAAGATGCCGCTGTTATTCTGTTTCTATAGACGAATAAATCAATCACCGCTTTGTTTGTCGGTATTGTCTTTATTGTTGATGATTAAATTTTACCTGAAATCAATACATGATTATATGTAAAATTTTGCCAATTCATTTCCCATTGATTAACACGTACATAAGAAATTTGTTTAGACCAATCGAAACGGTGAATGAAATGAAAGTATAAAATAAATTTATTTTTGTCGTCACCGCGTATATGGCGAGTTAATGGCAATGTAATTTTACAATGTTATGATTTTTGTTGTTGTCTTCGTTGCCAAATATTGGATATATAACTGATATTCCATGGATTGTTTTGATGGATGAATTTTTTTTTTTACTAAATAATTGAATGGAAATATCTCTTCAAAGAGCCAAACTGATGGATATAACTTCTTACATACAAACATACATTTCTAAATGAATACTTTTTATCCATAAGAACCCAATGACAATCATATAGATAAATAGTACCGAATAAAGTTGTTTTGTTTTCTATTCTGCGAGTCAATTTATCCGTACGGATAAAACGTTACAGAAATAAAAACAAAAAAGTTTATAAATATCCAAATTGAATTTGGAGAACAAATTAATAGATAGATGGGATGAAAGTATGTATTCGAAATCCATCACCATAGCTAATCTAAATGTCATTTGTTGATAAAAAAGATTGTAATGTTTCAGTTATCGTCATCATCATCAACACATGTTAGCATTATTATCATAAACCTCTTATAGAATGATGATAATGATGTGCGCACATTATTATTTACCAGAAATAATATATTAAAAAGTTTGGTGTTATTAATATTGGCGTTTTTATTATTATTTGTTATTCATTATTTTCATTTTTTAAATAAATAAATTTAACAGACAAAAACAATCCTTTGATGATTACAATTCAAAATACATTCTGTTATCACTATGTCGAAAACGAAGACAAAAACAATGGTTACGACAAATAAAGTTTGTAATTTAGAATGTAAAATTTGTTTACTTGGTGTAAGTTATAAGATTTTCTATATTTGATAAGAAAAACTAATCTTTATCGCGATTGAATTTCATTGTTTATATATTAGGATACCGGTGTCGGTAAATCATCAATTGTTCAACGTTTTGTTCATAATACATACAATCCATGTATGGAAAATACAATTGGGTTCGTTCTTTTTATTAAATGGTAACATTCATTATAAATATGTTGTTTTTTCCATTCATAATATAGAGCTTCATTTATGACTAAAACCATGTACATTAAAAGTACATGTTATAAATTAAACATATGGGATACGGCCGGACAAGAAAGAGTAATTAATTTTTATCTAATTTAAAAAAAGGAAAATAATTATGAACATTATTCTGATATAGTATAAAGCCCTAGCGCCAATGTATTATCGGGGAGCCAATATTTGTATCGTTGTTTATGATGTCACTTCAAGAGTAATATTTTCAACAAAAAAAAAATTAAGAAATTGAAGCTTAATTGAAACATTTTTTTTTCATATACAGTCATCGTTTGATTCGGTTCAATCATGGATACGTGAATTACGAACATATTTATTGGAAAAATGTTTGATTTGTATCGTCGGCAATAAATCTGATCTTGCCGATAGACGTGTCGTCATGCATTATGGTAATTGATTTTTTTTTTTTGAATCAATAATCAAATTTTCATTTTTGATTTTTCCATAGAAGCAAAACAATATGCCGATAGTGTTGATGCATTTTTCATTGAAACAAGTGCTAAAAATTGTAATAATATAACCGAATTATTTATAAATGGTTTGAATCGATATCGCGAGATGGAACAATCATCATCGTTGGCTGGCCAAAAAGATAGCCCAAATCATGGACAAAAATCGACAAGATCAATATCATTAAAGGATGGAACGAGAAATTCCGGAAAATGTTGTTAGCTTTAAATTTTTTTTTTAAATCCATTCTCGACAAATATACACACATGCATGCATACATCCAGTCAATTTATTGTGATATTTTTTCAAACATTGTTTTTTTTGTTTTCCATATTCCATATATCGATTGTTGATTGACTTAATATTATCGACCAAATATTTATAATCGTATAATAATAATAATAATAGATGAAATTTACTGTCCAATCGATTCAAAATGATTTATAATTTTCATTAAAAGAAATCCTATTTTTTTGTAATAAATTTTTTTCCCATTCATTCATTCATTCATTCATTTCAATCATAATATTTTCTTTATTTTGTTTTCGATTTGTATTTTTAAAAAATAAAAATATAATGTATTTCAACACCATATAAATAGTACACACACACACACAAAAAAAATGAATGAATTATCATAATAATTTGTTTTATAAAAATAAATATTAAAAAAAATTTCAATAAAAAATTCCAAATATTATATAATCATTACATAAAGATTTATAAGCATAAAAAAAGTGTCTAAAAATTACCAAAAAAATAGGGACGAAAAAAAAATTCATTTCCATAAATTTTTTCTAGATAAAAAAAATTCAATAAAATTATTCAAAAGAAAAAATTTTATAATAATAATTATAATAATCAAATTGAGCATTTATATTGTAAGAATCAGAGGATTTATGAAGAAGAATAATTTTTTAAAAAAGAAGTTAATTTGTTTTCCCGGAATTATTATAAATTTGAAGAAAAAAATAGTAATATTAATAAAATTAGGAGAAAAATCTGTGAATCGGTGGAATGTTCGTCGTTAAAATGTTATTCTCAGTCATCCCATACATCCATTATTTAATCCATAAGAAAAAAATTTCAAGCCACTTTTAATTGTCTTAATGCTTTATTTTCTTTTTCCAATTCACGTACTCTTGAATCAAGTATTTGTACACGTTTTTCCAATTCTTCCATATATTCTTTCTTTTTACGTCTTGATTCTTGTGCACTGATTTTATTTTTAATTTTTCTACGAATTTTTTTCAAACTTCTTTCTTCACTTTTTGTTAATGGAAAACGTTGCGGTATTGGATAACCTTCAGCGATTAATGTACGTTTTTCTTCTTCGGTCAATATAACTATAGAAAAATGATGGTGGAAAAAGAAATATATAAAAAAAAACAGACATGATTAGAATCAACAAAAAAATAATGAATACATAAAGGGAAAAAGAGAATGGGGAAAAAATTTAAACCTGTTCAAATTTAGATTCAAAAAAAAAAAAAATATCATTTAAAATTCAGCAAGATATTTTGTTTCTGCCAACCATTTGGCCATACAACAAACAAACGAACAAAAAAAAAATTGTTCAATCACTCTGTATTTGTCGGAGTGTCTGTGAATCTTTTTTTCTTTCATTTTTTTTCCACAATCAAAACAATCATTCATTCATTCATTTTTGATTTTTTTTTGTTTTGTTTTGTTCAATTCTCAATCTAAGTTTTGGCCAATTTTCAAGCAAGCAAGCAAGCAATCCATTATCTCTTGATTCGAATTTATTTTTTTTTCATTTGTTTTTCTGTTACTGTTGTTCACCATGATCAAACATCTAACATTATCATTGTCTGTCTGTTGGATTCTTTTTTTCTTTTATCATCATCATCATCATCAACAACAACAACATCATTAAAAAAAAACCTACACCCTTGATCTGTATCTTATTTTTTTTTCTTTTGTCTGGATCATTGTTGTCTCGTGGTTATTGGGGTTCAATCATTGTGAATCATTTGTTCATTCAAGTGAAAATCATGATGATGATGATGATGATGATGATCAGGTCTATTTTCTATGTTGAAAAATATACATCATTGTATATAGTTTTTTTTTCATAATCATCCGGTATTTAATTTCAACCCGGTTAGCTTTATATGATTTGGGAAAAGAATTTCTTTTCAAAAATGATTGAGGCCGGTGTTGATGACGAGAAAGAGAGAGACAGAGAAATTAAAAGAGAGAATTCAACTACACTGTTAAAAATGGTATGACTTTATAAGTTCATAAAGTGGAAGTGTGGACTTATAAGTTCACATTNAATGTGAACTTATAAGTCCACACTTCCACTTTATGAACTTATAAAGTCATACCATTTTTAACAGTGTAGCCATATTAACACTTCGAAGTAAAATAACTTAAGTCACCGACCCAAAAGAATCAAATAATTGTAAGTTCATTCATCCAAAAAAATAGATAAAACAGGTAAAACAAAATGTATGACAGCGCCAAGTATGCTTACGTAAGTAAATACCGGTTCCGGAGAGCTTGAAGAAGGAGCTTGAATGGCTTGTAAAACCTGTTACCATTTTTTTCATTTCTTCATATAAAGGAATGAATCTTTTTTTCATCTTGTTCACACAAGGTATTTCTTTCTTTCTTTTTCAAATAATAATAATAATCATTTTTTTCTTTCAATATGAAAAAAGAAAAGAAACGAAAAATTTTTTTGTTTTGTTTTGTTCATTCACTATAAATAGGAAATATGTTTTTCATCATGATTGAATCGGATCATATTTCCTGATTTTTTTTTGTTGTTGTTGAAAAATTTTCTTTCATAAAAAGGATTTTTTTTTTCAGGAAAGTTTCTCATTATGTTCGATTCGAATGATTCGATTGAAGAATAATAATAATTTTATCAATAATTCTTACCTGCTGTACCGTGTGTTGCATTTTTTGGCTGAATCGATATTAGTGCATGTATACTTTGATTATTCATTGCTGTTGAATTGGATGTTGATGATCCAATATTTGTTATTGTCATCGTTGTTGTTGATGATGTAGAATTTTGTTGCTGTAGTTGTTGTTGCTGTTGCTGTTGTCGAGATTTTTTTATTCGACCAGAAATTGTTTGATTTCCATTACCATTATTATTACTACTGCTAGTGACAATAATTTCATTGGTTGAATTTCTAATTATAAATTTTTGTGAAAAATAATAAATAAATCAATGTTGTTATAATCCTTATTATTAATCATATTTACCTTTGTGTTTCAGAATCTGATCCACATTGCGATGATGGCGGTGTTGGTGGTAAACAAGGATTATTTAATAATGCAGCTAATGTAGAATTTTGTACGGCTACTGTAGCCAACGATTGTTGTTGTTGTTGTTTTAATTTTGTCGATGACAATCCATTGATAATTGTCGTACCTTTTGTTATTGTCGTCGTTGCCGTTGTTGAATTATATAATAAAGAATTACTATTATTTGAAGATGATGATGATGTTGATGAAGATGATGATGAAGATGAAGATGAAGAACTTGATGATGATGATGATGATAATGTTCCTGTTGTTGTTGTTGTTAGACCATTACCATTAGTTGATGGTGGTGGTGTTGTTGTTGTTGTAAATTGCAGCTCAAGGTCAATGTCTTTGAATAAAAAAAAATTATATTCAATCGACCGAAAGAATTTTATTAAGAACAGCGAAAAAAAAAGCGAAAGAGAGAAAATCAATGAATGAATTCAAAGAAAAAGAAAAAGAAGAAGAAAACACGCGAACAAATGCGGATATAGGTATGATAATGATAATAACAGTGATGGTTCATCGTGAATATTGTTGTTGTTGTTGTTATGTAACAAAAACATTCGAACGACAACAACAGAGTCGTTGACCATTCACAATAATAATAATAATAATCATCCCCCATCAAAACCAACCAGTATTTTTATCATTATAAGTCAAACCCCCCACACACACACATGAATTCATTCATTCATTTTTTTTTGTTGAATATTTATATCATCATCAAAGGTCAACAGCATTCAATCAGCCATACAAGTTGTATCATCCAATGATGTTGTCAGATGATGGGTATGAATGAAGTTATGTGTGTTGCGCAACAAGTTGATCATCAGGTTTTTTTTCAAATTCATTATCATATTATATAAATTTATTTAATCGTGCCCATCGTTTACCATTATGTAAGAAAAAGAAAAAGAAAGAAAAAGAATTTTTGTTTTAGTAAATTGTATAATCAACTTGGGTTTGGATGTTTTTTTTTGTTGTTGTTGTTGTTGTTGATTCGAATGAAAAATCGGTTTTACATTTCAATCAATCAATCGATTTTAATCGATTAATTTTCACTCACACACACAAAGTATCCATAATCATCAGGTTAATCCGGTTTTTCTCCAAGAAAAAAAGGATAGGTTTTTCATCCCTCTGGATATGATAATCAATGATTGGTCAAACTTAAATAATTTTTTTGTTTTTGTTTCTAATTTTAAATTCATTCATCTAATGTATTTTAATGAATAAGAATAACTTTGATTCGGGTTGACTATTCTGTTTCTGTCCTAGAATCATCGTAAATGATGGATTATTATCCTGTTCATTCATTCATTCATCATAGATAATCATAAAAAATTGCTGCAAGGTTTAATCATAATATTTTTTTTCGAGTGCAAATGTTTTAAAGAATACGAGTGAGAGCAAAGGAAAAAAAAGTTTCAATTAGATTCATGAATTTTAAAACTATTGAAATGGTAAATTTATGATTCTCTTATGTAAATTTTTTCGAAGAAAAACTTGACTACTAAAGATATCGATTCAAAATGTTCAAATAATTTGTTTTTTTTAGTGTAAACTTTTTGTAAAAAAAAAATGTGTGAAAATTCTCGACTTTTTTTCTTCTTGTTTGGATTCATTTCAATACCTGATGGTAAAGGTGAACGTCCGGCAATCGTATGATGTTGATGATGATGATGATGATTGTGATTATGGACCAACGTTGCTAAATGATGATGATGATTATTATGATGATTATGATTAGATGGTATTGTTAATGTTGATAATTTATGATTATGATGGCTATTATTATGACTAAATGGTAGATTTGTTGTTGAAGTAGCAGCAGCAGCAGCAGCAGCCGTACGTCTTGATCTTTTCAATGGAATTGATCCATCATTTGATAAATTTGAACGTTTATTTATTATTGTTGATGATGGTGTTGTTGTTGTTGTATCAATACAATCTTCACCATCATCACTTAATGATAATGTTTCCGACATAAAACGATCATTGAATATAACTAAACTATAATTTCTTCTTGCAATTGATGATGATGATAATGGCCAATATGGTTTCTTTTTTTTTGATTAATAATTAATTTTTTTAAAGAAATTTCAAAAGAAAAAAAATGAAAAAAAATGAAATTAATAATTTTTAAAACAAAAATTTGCATAATTTTATTAGGTCAAATGTTATCATCATATATTCCTGTTACAAATTTTGTCGGTCTTGTTATTCATTCATTTTTAAAAAAAAGTTTCATTCGATTGTCTGTTGTCGATAACTGTAACTGTTTGTTTGTTTATAGAATAGATAAAATCGCTAGAGAGAGGGTTTGATACAGAGAGAAATCAACAAAAAATTTTTGTGATTCATAAATGCACATTTAGACCTTGATAATTGGAAGATGGAAATGAAAGCAAAGGGAAATTGCTTCCGAAACAAAAAAAAATTGTTTCCTTTTTTCTTCATTTTTTTCTGTTCTATGTGAATAATTTAGAAAAAAAACATTTGACATTCAAAGAATGTATGTAATAGGGGTTTCACACTAGCAGCAATGTGAATGAAATATTTCAAATGCAATATTTCACTACATTTCAGCCTTATGGACTGAAATATTTCAATGAAATATTTCACAGCAATATTGCTGTAGTGTGAAACCCCTATAACGGAAATTTTACCAAAATGGCAGCATTTTGCCGGCAATTGATTTGATTTTTGTGGATTAAATGTCAAATTGAAATATCATTTTCAATCGTATTTCCTGTAAACTGATCAGAACTGAACAGAAAAAACTCTTTGACATTTTTTTTCACAAACAAACAAAAAAAACAAGATTAAACCTTGTCAGATGAAATATCAAACAGATAAAAGTAAAACTGAATAAAATAAAATTCGATTTTCATCAACGTGGCCAATCAACTGAATCGATTTTCATTTGAGAATTATCAATCTAAAAAAAGAAGGAAAAAAATCTCATTTCTATCTTTCATTTGATTTGATTCATTCATTCATTTCAAAAATCGTGCCAATAAGCTTTTGTTTCTGGGCTTGATTGAAATGTTAATTCTTTGATTTTAGTCTTTGATTTTCTTTACTGTTCTCGAACAGAAAAAAAAGTAGATAAATCTAGGTGGACTGTTGGCAACAATTGAATGATGAATTATTTGGAAAAAATATTTTCATTCATTCATTCATTTTTGCCATGATTGGCGTGTCCTGCTATTCAACACATTTTGAATATTTTTTTTTTTGTTGTCCGAAACAGAAACAAATTAACGTGGACCATGTTATATTCATCTATCTAACATTGTTTTTTGATTGATTTATTATGAATTTCAAATCAATCAATCAATCAATCAATTGATAGATCGATCAAATCAATTCGATAATTATTGTTTCGTATTCATCTTAAAATGATGATGATTGATAAATACTGCTACTTCTCGGCCACAAGCACGAATCTTTGTTTTCTTTCTCTTTCACTAACCGAATATAATTCATTCGAATTGCATTCATTCTGGAAAAAACCAAACAAATGAACCGAAGATTACAAATAAAAATGTCATTTTTTTTCCTATCATAATGATGATGGTGGTGTGCAATCATATTTTTGATTTGCAACAATATTATGCGTGTCTTTGTTTTTTTTTAAATGTCAATAACAAAATGGACATTTTAATTCTCAATATTATTTTCATCTTCACTATTTGACATATATCATTCTGACATTAATACCATTCCATAATAGATAACGGTGATTTGTTTTTTTACAGATAAAAAATTGAAAAAAAAATCAAAAACAAGATTTGATAATTGGTAAATGTCTATCGATCATCATCATCATCATTCATATTCTACATTGAAAATGATTATGATGTTTCCTAGTAAACTTTTTATTTGAAAGGTAAAATTTATTAGATTTTTTTTTCGAATATTCATTCAACAATTTCATCAATTGATTGTTGTTTTTTTTATCGATTGATAAGGATTGTACTATTAGTTTTTTTCTTATTTTATTTTGTTCCAGATCCTGATCTATGGATTTAAGATTAAGATTTTGACTATTTGTTTGTTTGTTTGTTTGTTCGTCCGTTTGCATTTCATTATAATAAAAAAAGAGTTATCGCCCTTTTTTTCAAATCATGAATAATGATGATAATATAAAAAAGATTGTAGCATACAGAAGGCCAAAAAAAAAGTTTGAGATAAAAAACAAAACGATAAAATAATAATAATAATAAAATGTAGAACAGACATGAATGAATTGATTGATGAAATGATGATTGATTCATTCGAATGAATTAAACAAAACAAAACAAAAAAATTATGTCGAAAATGTGAAAACAATGAATTGAATTGAATTGAATTGAATTGAATTGAATGAATGTCCGAATAATAATAATAATAATTTTGGTTCAAATGGATTAGATTTTTTTTTTGATTTTTGAATGCAAACAACAACAACATACCTGTAATGATTGAAATTCATCATCATCATCATCATCTTCAAGTAATGAAACATCATCGCATGTAGCATTATCTTCACAATCATCCCAATTTAATGGTGATGAACGACTTGATGAGAATGCCGTTTCCATATCGATGCTTAAACTTGATAGGCTACTGCTGTTTAACATTTTATTTTCACCAAATAAAAAATAATGATAAAATTTGAAGAAAAAAAATAGTTTGAATAAAAATAGATTATGTTCAATCAAACAAGCATACAAAAATTACGGAACCGGAATTTTTTTTGCTGTTGCAATTGTGTTTAAAATGTGAATTCAGTCAATAATGATATTAAATGATAA